ACTGCCACACACACTATGATAAACATACACACAAAGATACACACATAAACACATGTAGAAATACAGATATACACACTGACACACATGCAAATATACATAACCATATACACACACTGGCACACATACAGTTACAGACACACAGATGGAGATACACAACCTGACACACATGCAGATACACATTGTGGCGGAGCTCCCTGTACCCCAGCCGGGTACCTCCGCCAAGGGTCCGCTTCCTAGCTGTGGCTGGATAGGGGAACTAGCTCTGTTCACTTCCAGAGACTGGATGGCACTCGGCCCTGGGAGCTACTCAGTCCTTACAAGGACTTTCTCCATTGCATCCTCTACACCCTGGAACAGCTAGCACAGAGATTAACCCTTTCCTCCCCCCAGTAACTGGACAAGACACAGCTCTGGAGGTACAACTCTGACAATCCTTTATTGATACAGCTTCATTTTATACACAGACTGGGTTCGCGCCATTTTTCGGATAGGTCGGCACGGACTTCCAGGTGGCCAGCAGGACTCTGTGGCTGTGAGGCTTGGGCTCGCACCTCTCTCCGGTGGCTACCTCTACTTAGGCCTGGCCTCGTAGCCTTGTAGCTCCCTGTTAAGGAGAACAGTGATTATAGCTCAGTTAGGAGCAGGTAGGGCGATTCAAACCACCAGTACCCTAACAGTGTCCCCACTAACCTCAGGGACTCATTCATGGAGTCCCAGTGCGAAGACCCTGCAATATGAATGCTCCCCCTGGGTGGCGTTCACCTATACACAATGGCGGACCCCCAGGGGAGCACTCATTAATTACTTCCCTTGCGGTTTCACACTTAGGTTACAGTAGTGAACGTTCTGATTGATTGGTGTGAACATTCTAATTCGGAACCGAGGTGGTCCGCGTTCAGGAGATGAATGGGTTCCATTCGCATGAGCACTCCTGAAAGGTCAACAGGGCATTTTAAATGATACATAGAAATGCATGGGGAAACGTACAATATGGGAAAACACTTGAATAAGCAGTGGGCGTGGTACTCAGTGACAGCGGTCACAGACATATGCACACACTAACAACATACAGATACACAGAATGACAACATACAGATACACAAACACACAGATACACACACTTACACACAAACGCACAGATACACACACTGACACACATACAGATACAAAAACACACAGATACAAACATTGGCAATGCAGATACACACATACACACTGACACTCATGCAGATACACAGATATACATGCACACTGACTACATACAGATACACAGACATACTAACACACACAGACAAGGATACTGACACACACAGACATAGTGACACAAACCCATACACACTGACACACACAGACAGACATACTACCACATATGCACAAAGGCAGCCTGACATGGGGTTCGCAATGAAATGCAATGGTTTTGAAGCAGCACAACCCGCCCTTTGGACCGGTGGGGGTCATCACGGTACCCGCTGGAGAAACTTACATACCCGTCACAGTGGGTACTCTTGCCGTGCCAACCGCAAGATGAACCCAAAATTGTAGCGGCGCCTCATCCTCCATAGTCACAGGAGGGATCGGGGATCCAGCAATGGAGAGAGTGCTTCGAAGCTAAGTTTGACCAGATCTACCAAGCGTTTTGGAGGCGCAAGCAGCACAGTCCGCCCATCCACACCTCACCTGCCACACCAGAGAATGAGGAGGAAGCAACCATCCAACTACCCTGCCCTGGGCCAGAGGTCCGTCTGGAGGTGCATTCCTCTTGTCACCCACATACCCGGAGGGTTCTCAAAGCTAAGTTTGATCAGATCTGCCAAGTGTTTTGGAGGTGCATGCAGCACTGTCCTCCCTTCCACACTTCACCTGCCACACTGGAGAATGAGGAGGAAGCAACAGTCCAACTACCCTGCCCTGGGCCAGAGGTCCATCTGGAGGTGCACTCCTCTAGTCACCCACATACCGGGAGGGCTCTTAAAGCTAAGCTTGACCAGATCTGCCAAGCGTTTTGGAGGTGCATGCAGCACAGTCCAGCCTTCCACACTTCACCTGCCACACCGGAGAATGAGGAGGAAGCAACCATCCAACTACCCTGCCCTGGGCCAGAGGTCCATCTGGAGGTGCACTCCTCTAGTCACCCACATACCGGGAGGGCTCTTAAAGCTAAGCTTGACCAGATCTGCCAAGCGTTTTGGAGGTGCATGCAGCACAGTCCAGCCTTCCACACTTCACCTGCCACACCGGAGAATGAGGAGGAAGCAACAGTCCAACTACCCTGCCCTGGGCCAGAGGTCCATCTGGAGGTGCACTCCTCTAGTCACCCACATACCGGGAGGGCTCTTAAAGCTAAGCTTGACCAGATCTGCCAAGCGTTTTGGAGGTGCATGCAGCACAGTCCAGCCTTCCACACTTCACCTGCCACACCGGAGAATGAGGAGGAAGCAACAGTCCAACTACCCTGCCCTGGGCCAGAGGTCCATCTGGAGGTTCATTCCTCTAGTCACCCACATACCCGGAGGGCTCTCCACAAGTTGGGGCTCCTTAGGGCCTATGTTCCTGCCAAGGGGAGAAGGAGGGCTTCTGAAATTGCGACACTGGCCCCCATGAAGGCCTGGATTCAGAGGGGTAAAAATTACCTTCCAATCCAATTACCTTCCGGCTATTGACGCAGGACTGTGTATGGGCACGAGGCAACATCTTGTTGGGATTGGAGATAGACTGTCTAATGCGACCTACTTGCAGTACTGGTTGATTTACCAGATGATGGAGAACCCTTCCTCAATATTAGCTACCATCCTAATTATAGCGTTGGATTTAATGTTATGTTGAGTTTCTTATGTTACCTCCACAAAGTACCCAGTGGTACCAATGTTTATTTTGTTTCCTAAACTTGATTAACCTGTGTATAGTACACCTATATTTAGTTTCTCTCCTTTATTTGAGATGTTATATATGCCTTTAAGCTTTTTTTTCCATCCCAGTGAAAACATGCATATCTAGTCAACAATGCTAGTTTTAAAATCTGTGCTACCCATGTATAACTAATCTCGTTGGCTTAACAATTTGGGAGTAGTCCTTCCTCTAAGGTGTATTTTACTTATTCTTGTCTTTATACACGCCGCCTTGTGAAATATTTTATACTTTTGATGTTTCAATAGTGTATACTGGGTAACGTTTTGCCCTTAACATGCACATCAAAAATAAAGAATGAATTGGAAAAAAAAAATGAAAGACTTGTAGGCTGTATTTTGCTTTTTTTGGCAGTTAACTATTAAATAATAATACTTAACAACTAATCAATTTCAGGAAGAGTATCAAAGTTAGTTGAAGTTGGCTATCAAGGTTGAATGAAGTCAAATTATGTTGATAAAAAAGTAGAATTTTAGTAAATACTTATATATGCATAACTCTTTTTGCCAGGAATACATTGAGGTCCCAATTACCTGAGTTTTCTATAAGGAGCATTTGGTTGAATCCATAATTTATTAGGTAGTTAAAGGGAATTCTATCCATGTGAAGGTAAGCAAACCTATGTTGACTTCAAAGATCCTGTTTCAAAATATTCAATACCCATCTGCGTTTGTTGTGTGTAGTAACCTACTCCAAACATAATCTGCTACTCACACTGCTACTAGTGTGAGTCATATGGTAATATTAACTGTAGTGTAAGCAGGCTCCTAAATATTTAACTTCAAAAATACTGAATAGTTAAAGTTCTTCTATTCAAATGTGTGTTACTCTGCAGCATAAAATACAATCAATGAAGTCTACTTATAAAAAATAAATGCAACTGGGCGTCAGGTGACTCTAAAGTCAAATAGGGTAAACGATGATGCAATATGTGTCCTTGTAGAGAACTTTACGTTCTTCTGTTTTACAAATCACAATTATTTTATATTTAATAATTCGAAGAAAAAAATGTAATTCATCATTTACTAATTGGTTAAATGATTCCAACATCTTATAACAACCAAAATGCAGTGTGGCTTCCCAAACAGATGTCTCTCTGAAACACAGTATATTGTCTATATGCTGCACAAACATTTCTTTGTCATTCAACAGCTCAAGTCTCGTGCTTTGTACGTCAAATGATTTTGGATGCGTTATGCAATTGTGAAACTAAATACATTTCAACTCATTCTACATCATTCTTTATCTTTGTTGTATATTTGTCAGTTTCTGTACTGTACGGCCTAGCTCAGTATAATGTGTCCTCTCTTCTCTTGAGTATAAACTTGTGGATCAAACCTTTACAACTAAAGATTTCAATACAATTCTATTTCATAATCTTCTAATACCCAATATTTACTGTATATGGTACTTTAGAATCTATTCCTGGTATTTCAATAGATTTAAATTATGATGAGGCCTTTAAGTATTCTTTTTTGTTGTTTTTAAATATTTCAAAAAGACCATACAGTCAGTTAAAAGCACTTTTTTTTGTCAGTCTGTGGTTTTATTGAGGCTTGAGTCTTAAACACCTAAAAAAAACACCTAAAAACAAACAGTAGATATTCATCAGAAGCGATAACAAACACACATAACCATCTTGATCAAGTATCAGCATATAACAAGAGATGGATAAGGCTATGGTGGTATAGTATGTGGCCTGTCAAACAATAAACTAGCTGGCCTCATTTAAGTTGACCTAATGTGTCTCGATAGCAGGCGTAACAACGGGTAAGGAGCTAGCAAGGCACGCCAAACTCAGGAATAGGCAGGTTTGTGAGAGTAAGCAATGTGGCAGTGTGAGTAAGCTAGTGGGCATAGAGCTTGTTAGTAGGCCAGATGCATGGTGTATTACCATGCCGTCAAGTATAACACTATAGACAGAAAATGAAATGATAACTAGTATATACTGATGGGGGCTAAGGGAAATAAGTGAAATGTGACACAAGCAGTGAAATGAGCAACAATAAAAAAATTATCCGACACCACACTCTGGAAAGCTTCTATAACCAGTCCCAATGCCAGGTTGAATCACCCAACTCCGTCACTCTCCAGATCTACGTTGAGCCCAGTGCTTCAGAGTGTTGTAGCTTGAGTGACACAGCTTGCTGTTGACTGCGTGTAGTTCCACTCTGCCCTATAACCGTGCGTCTTCGGCCCGAGGCATTAATGTGCGCCTCTGCCTTGTGTCCATTCATCCCCTCATTAGAATTGTGGGACCGTAGGATCTCTGGGAGTCGGTTGTCCCCCAGGCTATATGGACGGCTATGGAGGAATACCTCTAGTTGGGCACCCAGCTCAGAAGAAGTATGAGTAGCCAGGGCTTCACGGTTGCTCATACGCATGTCAGGAGATGCTGGAGGGTAAGGGCTTTGAGCCATATTGTTCTCTGGTCCAGAGGCAAGGATGGTCTCAGCAGGAGGCTGCATGGCAGGAGATGGAGGTAGCTCCGTCAGTTTCATTTGGGATTCTATTCGGTTCCAGAAAGCCGTGGGGATTGCATCAAATGTTGCAAGGAACTTGGTCTCCCAATTGTTCATAAATGATTCTGTTGGTGTGTCAGCCATTTTGACCATGCCACAAGGGCTTGCTGTGGCTGGGCAGACTTTCACGGTAGTGCTGTGAGCACTCAGTAGTAGTTCCCCCAGTGGGGACAGAGATATCGCCCACCGGTCCAGGGGGACAAAGGGGTATGCTGTTTAATAGCATAGAACAGTGGTAGTTGGTATAACACCATCAGAAATGAGTGTGCTTAGTGTCCTGAAGATCTTTTCCTTCCATAATTAGGTTGGCTTGCTTGAACCTGTCCACCTCCAGATGCAAATCATTGTGTCTGCCTTCTGCGGTGTAACTGTCATATTCCAGTGCCTGCAGCCAAGCGGTCATAACTACCATGTCCTCCTGGACAAGCGTAATATCAGCTGCGAAAAGAGCCTTGAGTTATTTGAAGAGGTTCTGAATATCAGCTTTACTTGATAGTAAGCTCCAGTGTTGTTCTGGGACTTGCCTGCTTATCCCTTTGCGTGATCATCAGAATCACTCTTCCTTGATGTATAATCTGAGAGTTCCCACGCGAGCACCATCTCGGCAGGCAGTGATTATGGAGTCAAGCGAAGCAAATGGCCAATATCTTTAGAGGAGGTAGTGGTATTATTCCTGCAAATGTGTTATTTCTCTTCCCATAGCATCCAGTAAAGTTTATAGTAATAGTCAATCCCTTTTTTGTATTGAAATATGCTTGAATAGAGACATGCTTCTCTCCGTTTCTAGCTCCACCTTTAATAATAATTTATTTTTAAATAAGAGATGAATATACTAACAACCATTAAAATTGATAACATATAGCATATAGTTCAATAATAATAGTACCCTTTCATACTTTAAAGGGATTATATAGTCTAGAAATAATAAGTTCCTTTTATTGCTATGATCTCTGTCCACTCCTTTTGATGCTTAAAAAGTTTCAGTCAATATAGTTTACTTACGTCATTTCCAGTGCCAAAAGACATCTCGCTGCAACTGCCCACTCCACTTCCATCTTCTTCAGCTAGTCTTTTGATGTCATACACATTCTTGTCCAATCCAATACTTCTCATAAGATATCGGCACTATCTTTAAACAGGAAATCCAGCTATTATGTAATTCACTAAAAAGGATTACATGAGGACCATATGGCTGTAATTAACAAGAAAAGTACTGCAAAATGTTACATGGCAATATTTATTTGCCCCGTCATGTTGAAAAACTGTGTAGAATGTTCGAACAACTGGAGATTTAAAAAAATATAAATCTTATTACTACTTTAATTTTTTTTCTTTTGAAATTTTACACCCCTAAGAATTTTGTGTCCAGTGAAACTGCCCCTGTAGCTCCGCCTATGCTATGCCTCTGCTGGTAGGTCCAGGGTAGGGAAGAGGGGCGAATTTCCAGAAGAAGCGGTTATCATGCCTGGCTGCTGCCAGGTGAGTTCTTACTTAAAGAGGTTAAACCATTCTCGAACAGTTTAACCTCATAAGTTACCTCCAGTGCCAGATCACCAATTCTCCAAATAGCGTCCAGCTTCTAAAATTGACAACCAGGAAGCCGGGGGGCTGCCTGGCAGAGTTACTGCTGATTGGCTAGTGCGGTCAATTGAGGCTCTAAGTCAATCAGTAATTCCCCATTTATAATAATAAAAAAAGGTACGTACCTATTTTATGGCACAACAGGAGACATGTGGCACAGCACATACTTAGGGATTTACCCAATGAGCACCCAAACATAGTACTAATATACAAACATTGAATGCAATGTGTCTCCCTACTCACATAGGTTAAAGTCAAAGCTGTGGGCTTTATTATTATTATTATTATTATTATGATATTTATAGAGCGCCGTCAAATTCCGCAGTGCTTTACAATGGGTGGACGAACAGACATGTAGTTGTAACCAGACAAGTTGGACACACAGGAACAGAGGGGTTGAGGGCCCTGATCAATGAGCTTACATGCTAGAGGGAGTGGTGTAAAATGACACAAAAAGGTAAGGATAGTATTAGACTAATGACAGTTGCAGAAGAGGAATCAGTCAGGAGCTATTAACAGTTTAATTGATACGCTTTTATGAAGAAATGTGTTTTTAACAATGTTTTTGAAGGTGTGGAGACTGGGTGAGCATCTAACGGAAGAGGGAAGCGAGTTCCACAGGAACGGTGCAGCCCTCGAGAAATCTTGAACGCGAGCATCAGAGGTGGGAGTACGGACAGAAGACAGACGTAAGTCTTCAGCAGATCGTAAGGGCCTAGACGGGACATACATGTGTATAAGGGAGGATAGATAGGTGGGAGCAGCATTATGTAGAGATTTGAAAGCAAGAACCAGAATTTTAAATTGAGCTCTATATTTTATAGGAAGCCAATGTAGGGACTGACAGAAGGGTGAGGCATGGGAGGTGCCTCACCCTTCTGTCACTATCGACGTATCCCCTGGTGAAAGTCTAAACTGCATATCAAAACATGTGCAACAGACAACTATTCTAAGAAACATGTAGTTTATTAAACCCTGCAAATGCAGAAGTCATGCCCTGATGACCGTGCACTTAATGTTTCTGAACGTGTGTTAACACCCAGCATTAACATTCTATCAGTTGATTACTGATGTCCTGCACAAGTTGGTCATACCACGTTTAGACTCTATAAAAGGAAAACTGTCATCAATGTTTATTAGACTTGAAAATAAAATACATTCAATTTTAGCATCTATGTGCAATATCATAATGCACACACATAGGTAATTGTTCAGTGCATTTCCTGGCTTCCACTTGTTCTATGTGGGCGACGATCCTCAAGTCTTCTTTGGTAATAAGTAGTCATTATTTTTTAACATATATTTCTTTTCGGACTTTATAAGAACATGTAGCTCATCATAGTTAACGCGCAGATGGGAAAAAAAATACAAGGAACCAAACTATTGCAACTTTTGTTTTTCACATATCGGTCATTTGCGGAATTATTTTGTCATTTGCATTTTGTCATTTCCTTATTTTATTGCAGTACTGCAATTACATTCACTGTATGGAGTTTTGATAGCCAAAGTGCAAATGGTAAAAATTGTTACTCGTTTTTGTGACTTTTTTTCCACATACCATTTATTTTTATGATTTTATTTCAGTTGCGGCCAGATAGTAAATTTTCTTTAAAAATGTAGAAACAGTATATTGGTTTCCATTTAGATTGCTCCTTATTTATCACCCTTCCCTAAAAACAGCACCTGTTTTATATGAAGGTACAACAGCAGTCCTCCACAGCTGCTGTTTATCATCACTATTATGTTTCGCTCTTAATCCTATATGTGTAATCACTAAAGGATCAAAGGCAGGTGTTTTCAAAGCCTCAGGCAACTATCTCCTTCCCAATGAGAAAAATAATCTACTAACAATTACACAGAGAACCTGCACAATACAGATCTATGTGTGTTACAGTCCTCCCCCCACCTCCCAATTGTTTAGAATAACTACTAAGCAAAGTGGCAGAGTAGGTACAGTGAAACGGCTGACATCACTGAAATTCTGTTCTGCTCCACAGCAGTTCATTCGGTAAAGGTAGTGGACATCATTCATTGGACAAGAGGAGTTCAGAGGAGGATAGGTCCACAGAAAGCGGCTGTTAAGCATCAGTTATTGTTGAACTTCTCTGTGAGTCTATTCTGAAACCAGGTGACAGCAAGAGATGGTAAGTAATAATTACTATTATAATCTGATTATGTCTACATTTTCAACACCCAAGTATTGATCATCATTATAAAAACACAGTGCTCAAAAGTCTGCATTTATTTTATTGATCATTCTTTTAAATAATATTTTTTTTATAAGTGTGTGAAATAAAATGTCTTCTTTTTAAGAAATACAATATTTTAATATTGCAATGTTCTCAATACGCTTCATAAATCAATTTTAAGATATTTTAGAGCGTTAATCAGAACTGCAGATGTTTTGACATTTGGTTTGACACACACATACACACACACACACACACACACACACAGGTGTATAATGACACAGATCATGACTTGTCTTATGAAACCATATAGTGTCATGATAACTTGTCAAAAGAGGTTATTCTAAAAAAGCGTGTGCCCACTTGTTTATCAACAACAGGCCTCTGAAGCATGTCTCATACAAAATAAATAGATATGTACATATTGTCTTTTATCAAACAGACTGAGATAAGACATAGAATGTCACTGGAGCTTAAGGGTTAATTATTTAATTAAAATAATAATTATAAAATAATAAGTAAAAAAATATTTTAATTATTTAAAATGCAAACAAGATAATGATGAAAAAAAGGTCATAGTAGTATTCTCATAGAACATGTGTCATGTCATACTATCGTGCAAAAAATAAATTTAAAAAATTGATTTACATTGATAATTCGACATTTAGCATGCCCAGCAATGACAAACCTCTTCATTACATGTTTTCATTGTTTCTGTAAAACTAATACTATAATAATAATAATAATTAAATACTATAATAATAATTATGATTTTATTTAAACCATATTCTGGATGAGTCAACATATGCTTAATAATCCAAACAGGTCAGTAATTTACCTATACAGGAAAACTGAGCAATCAGCAAGTTTTAGCAGACAGTTTTAATTATGTGTAGAAGATATTGGTGGCAACAAGTTAGCATGTATAAGAATTGTCACACTAAATATTCCACAGGAGAGAAAAAGCCATAAACTATACAGGCACTGTCACTCTTGGGTGCCATTGAAAGCAAGTTAAGGAGGAGTGGGGGGCATTTGCCACATTTTGTCCTACGCTGCTGACACCTATGAAAACACAACTTGCTTCTTTAATGGTCCATATTTATTCTTATTTATTACTGAAAATGAAATCTCATGCTTTTTAATAAATTAGTTCCATTACAGAAACAATAATTGCTTTGTTTCTGCAACTAGACTCTAAGCAGGAGAGACGTGCAAAAAGGATAGGGGAGGGTGTGTGGAAAAGATGATACACCTCGTCGGGAGGCAAAGGCAAGGTAGAGAGAAAGTGATAGTGTTGGAGGAAGGGACAATTTAAAGGGACACTCTTAGCACAATAACTAGAACAGCTTATTGTAGCAGTTACGGTAAAGTCCTAGTGAAACCATTTTTGGGATGAAAAAACGTGGCTCTCCCCAATCAAAATCCAGTCTCTGTGCAGCTGCCAAGACAATATATATAATCCCACTTCTATATTCTCTGTACAAATCGTTACAGACTGGTTAGATATATTGGCTGTCATTGATGCTTAGTGGGTTCATTACTGGAACAATTAATTACACCTATTGTTATCACAATATGGAGCGGTATAAATTCAAATGCTGTCGCAGAATGGTTTAGAATTTTGTGAAAATCTCTTTATTTAAAAATTTTACATTCAAATGAACCCTCATTGCTCCTACGCGTTTGCTCATTCTCTGAGCAAAGCTAAAGATGGTTTACAAAATTTGCATTCATGTCCCCTGTACTTCCAGGTAAAGTGTAAACACAATGATTTGTTTCAAGATTTGCTTGATGTCGTCATGGCATTCATAATTACATTTAAGTGTGCATTCACTTATTATTGATTCTAGTCGTTAATTATAAAGATAATACATTAAGCTCTACCCTTTATTACAAAATGACAGTGAAGGTCATGTAGGAAAGAGAACAATATTTAGGGAATAGTAATATTCCAGAGGGTTTGCATATATAGAAACAATATACATTTTATATTTGCACTTTTAACAAATACTGTCATTGTGACTGTGGCAGTAAATGTCGATGGGAAAAAAATAAAGAATTAATTTTTGCACCTCTTTCTTAAGCATTATGAACATCAAAACTCTGAACAAAAAAAACAAACAAAACATTAAAACCGCACAAGAAAACAATGGCGCAGCGAGGTATTATTTGGCAGAAAGACATACTTAAATAGATGCAAATTGCAAAATACATCACAATAGACATATTAAAAGCAACTGCAACACGTTTAAGCCTATTATTAACCCTATATTTTTACATTGTGCTACTGAAATTGGCAACAAATATATAGCTTAAATAATATAGTTATTTAAGTGTGCACTGTATGTCTATAAAGCAAGCGCAATTAAAATAAAATTAAAATAAATGTATCGTACTGAATTCCAATCTAATGTACATAATGTTATCTGAAATCATATTGATACAAATGTAGTGATGTTTTCAAAGTGAGATCCATCTTCGTCAGGATTGCATTTCAAATACCAATCAATATTTGGCTGATGGGTACATAAAACCAATACAATCAGCTTCACTTTGTCATGTACCCTGGGACCTGAGGAGGGCATTGCAAGTGACACCTATAACAGGCAGGTCTGCCCACTTACTAAAACAACCATACAGGGAGCGCTGCTGGAGCAGTCTCTGCATGGTCCGCAGCAGAACGCGAGAGCATTGAATGATGTGCTCGCGTTATGCTTCCCGGGGACTGGGGACACCAGGGATTTAAATTGGGATGGCATGACAGGATCCTGAAAGCAGCACTGTCCCAGGATTGTTGGGTGGCATGTGAGATAAAACTTAAAGGATCACTATAGGGTCAGGAAGACAAACATGTATTCCTGACCCTATAGTGTTAACACCACCATCTAGCCCCCCTGAGCCCCTCATGCCTCCATAAATATAGCAAAATCTTACTGTATTCAAGCCAGAAGCTGTAGATCTGCATGCTGTTAGATTCAGAAAAACAAGCTGTCTGCTGACATCATCAGAAGTGGTAGCCTGATCCAATCACAATGCTCCCCTATAGGATTGGCTAAGACAGACAAGGAGGCAGATCAAGGCAGAGCCAGCATGATTCAAACACAGCCCTGGCCAATCAGCATCTCCTCATAGAGATGAATTGAATCAATGAATCTCTATGAGGAAATTTCAGTGTCTGCATGCAGAGGGAGGAGACACTGGATTTTTGGATGGATTTTAGGCAGCCATGACCCAGGGAGGATCTCTAACAGCCATCTGAGGAGTGGCCAGTGAAGTTATCACTAGGCTGTAATGTAAACACTGCATTTTCCCTGAAAAGACAGTGTTTACAGCAAGAAGCCTGAAGGTAATGATTCTACTCACCAGAACAAATTCAATAAGCTGTAGTTGTTCTGGTGACTATAGTGTCCCTTTAAAATTTGTGCGTTCCTCTCCCCCACAGCCATACCCCATTCCCCCCTTCTCTCTCCCCCACTTCACTGCTTTTTTTTCATCTTCCCTTTTGCCATAATCTATACATACCCTTAACACATTTAATCTCCAAATTCTTTAGTCTTCCATTCCACCCCCCTTTTGCCACTTTTGCCTTATTCATAATCATTTTGTCATATTCCCTAATTTGTTCACCTATTGTCAAATTTCCCCAATTCATGTCCTCTTCCTCTCCAGTCCTGCTGAGGTTCCCCATGGAATTAAGAGAGAGTTAAATGTGGTGAGTTTGTTACTTTAAAGTGCATTTTCCACGTTTGTGATACAGGAAGCAGGTCTGCAATGTGAGGTCCTATCCCATCACCTGCTTCCTGTTTGATATGCATCTGTCCAGGGATGGCAGGGTGGAGTTTGCGCTACCTAGTGCATGCCAGGTCTTCCAACACTAGACACCAGGAAAATAGAGACTATTGTGGCCCATCTCCTTTTCGCATAACACTGAGAAGCAGTTTGGAAAAAAATACAATGAATTATATAGGCATATGCTTGTTTCACTAGCCCAAGAAGGAGTTTAAGCACTTAAGCATCTGTGGCATCTCATTACAGATCTATTTAAATTGTGATATCGGGTCTGAGCAAGTTATTGGGGTAGTGACATAGTTACAAAGCTGAAAAGAGACTTGCATCCACCAAAATGGCAGTGAGATAGATCCTTGGATCAAACAGCTATTACCCCACTAATTAGAACATTATATCCCTGTATGTTATGTTTTTGGAAGTATTTATCCAATTGCTGTTTTAACATCTGATTGGACTCTGATCAAACCACTTCTTCAGGCAGAAAATTCCATACCTTAACTGTAAAAAAAATAAAAAAACCTTTTCTTTGCCTTAGATAAAATCTCCTTTCTTCCAACCTAAATGCGTGACCTCATTTCCTATATATAGCCCTGTTTATGAATAGATTTCCACACAATAATTTGTATTGGCCCTGGATATATTTGTATAATGTTATAATATCCCTTCTGAGATGATGATTTTCTAAAATAAAGAGGTTTAAATGTGTTAACCTTTCTTCATAGCTGATATGGTCCATTCCTATTATTAATTTTGTACTTTTTGGACTTTTTCTAGTGCCATAATATCCTTCTTTAGATCAGGTGCCCAAAATTGCACAGCATATTCAAGATGTGGTGTAACCAGTGATTTATAAAGAGGCAAATGAAAGAATGAATGCCCTTTTTTATGCATGACAATACCTTACTGGCCTTAGCCACTGGTGATTGACATTGTACACCGTTGCATAGTTTGTTGTCTATAACAATTCCCAAGTCCTTTTCGTGTGTTGTTATCTCTAATTTGCTTCCATTAAGGGTAAACGTTGCTTGTGCATTCTTTACGCCAAAGTGCATAACTTTGCATTTTTCCACATTAAACTTAATCTGCCATTTGAGTGCCCAGTCCCCCAGTCTATCTAAATCCCTCTGCAGCAAAGTAAAGTAATAATACAAAATCCAAATAGATCACATCCACTGCAACAACCTGATCTATACTTCTACTTACTTAGTTATTATTTATAAAGTGTCAACCTACTTCTTAGTAATTCACTAAACAATAATGACATCACATGTTTTGTGTATAGGAAGAGGTGATGAGGACACAGTACATATAAATTGCATAACCTAGTTACAGGGTTTATAGTATTTGTAGAAAAGAAGGAGAAATTGTGTTAGAGCCAACAACAAAAAAGGGGGTGAGGGGTTATCAGACAGATATAGAGATAGGAATAAAATGGTTATCCAATATGCTTCCCTAAAGAATTTGAGAATTTATTTAAGATTTGTTTAAAGGACAGCACACTAAGAGAAGGTCTAATGGGAAGAAATATTTCCTAATAACTTAGTAGTCCTAGAGGCATATTGTAAATGAAAGTGGAGTGCAGGGGTGGAATCCACAAACACAAGCCATTGGCAGAGCTAGGAACCAAGATAGACTGTACTTTACTAAGAATAAAGCAGTCATGGAAGGCACAATCGGTAACAAGGATTTACATTTATAATCTCAAATGCAGAATAAGAATACACAAAGTATTAGTGAACTACGTGGGGGAAAAGGTGAGGAGATAAACTAGGTACCTGCTTTTGTAATGGACTGTAAGGTGGAAATCTGGCCATGTATAAGACTGAAGAAGAGTAGGGTGCAAAGAAATAAATGGAAAAATCTGAATGTAAAGAGTTGTAGTTATGTTTTGTAGTAGAAAAAGGGAAATATGAGCTATATTTTAGAGTAAAAACAGCAACAGAACATGGAAATTGACTGGATGTTAGGACTGAATGACAAGTCAGAACCAAACAACTGGCAATGTTTTGGTGGACTAAGAATCGGGAAGTCATCCAATCAGATGGAAAAGTTAGTTTGTGATGTAATCAAAGAAGCAAAATGTTCTTTCTTTCTGAATAAATGGATTAACATTGCTAACAATATTCTTCCTATTCTTACTACTTTCTATCTCTCACACGGACTTGGGCACACCTTACCAGAATTGATCCCTTTGCTTTCTTTTTTTCCCTCCTGTTATGTTCCCCTTTTCTAAATGTTATTGATTAAAAAAAAAAAACTAAAAAAGAATATTTAAAAAAAAAAGTAGCAGGATAATAGATTGAGGGATTATCTAATATCTTGGTGTCCTCAATATAGACTTTATTAGATTGCCAAGAGAACACGGTGACCAAATAGGTGGACCAAACAGAGCTTTTAGGAACCCCAACTGGAAGAGGTAGCGTGGAGGAAAACCAGTAACACAAGAGAGAAGTGTCCAAGTTATAAATAGTGAGATTAGGGGTGGTATCCCCTTTGCTGCCATAATTTCCAAAGTAAATTCACTGTGCACTTGAATCTGATTGAAAACGAAAGCATTCTTCATGTAAGCTCTGTGAGTAACAGCCAGGTGAGGTGTGGCTACAGCTGCATGAAACAAAACAAAAAAGGAAAATTTGCTTCATACTTACCGTAATTTTCTTTTCCTGATAATTTATTCATGGCAGCATTTACTCATGGGTTAGCTCCTCCCCTCATAGCAGAAAGGACAGGAAACAGAACTCTGAAACTGGTATAAATAGATCCTCCCCCTACCCATCAGGCAGTCTTTGTTATCTAGCTTCACAACTTTTATAGTATATGGGTCGGAATGTAATTCTGCCATGAATAAATTATCAGGAAAGGAAAATTACGGTAAGTATGAAGCAAATTTTCCTTTTTCCTGACCATTATTCATGGCAGCATTTACTCATGGGTAATACCCAAGCTGAATATATAGAGGGAGGGACAGAGTTCAAAAACAGCCAATAGCTATAAAACCATTATTGGGCTGCATAAACCTTAGAAGACTTTAAAAAATGCCAAACCAGTAATCAATAGGATATTGTTATAAAATCTGTTCAGACAAGGTAATTTACCATAGCGGCTGCAAGGTCTGCAACCTCCTGGCATTCAAATGACTGAAATATCCTGAAATGGCCAGATAGGAATTAAGGCCATGACAGCCAAGCCTAGAGAAGGTACAAGGCTAGACAAACTCTCATAAGCAATAAGGAACCCATCTTGTGATGGATTAAAAAATTAAATGTTCTTTTCTGATATAAATTAAAACCAATGGATGACATCATCAAATCAGAACCTTGATAAAGGCTTGATAAAGACATAACTTCCAGATACCAGTATACTGGAACAAGCAGATAATATTGGATGAGAACAGTCACACCATGCTATTAAACATGGGGAGAATTACACTGAGAATCCTACTACTTTCTGGATGTATTTTACTTACCTGTAGATACAGGAAACAAATCAATATTTGCCTGTCAGAAAGAGGCAGAGCACAATAATGACTATATATTGCCAAACCAGACTCACAACAATACCTCACACTGTGGATGAATTGATACAGCAATGATCAGTCACAGGAGAGGTATAAACCTAGGCAAAGGCAAGAAGAATCATATACAGATTAGATGAAGACAAAAATAAATATCGGTATGAACCGTAGAAATTGTGGCAACTATTAAATTATAAGCAGGCCAACCACGTCAGTACCTACATTCAAATATAAACATATTGTAAATAGTACAGATTATGCTAAACCGTACTGTCAAATTTATTAGAGACTGATGTGCAGTATAATAGGAGATATGGAATAGGCAGGATACTGATGAGAAGGTGGTAACCAGAGGCAAATTATACATTGTGGCAATAGACACATAATAAGCAGGATAGTAGGAGATATTCTGTTATCCTTAGGAGAACAAACAACCGCATACTTACTCTTACCTTATCTTCAGATAGAGAAGAAGTACTATCGCAGAGCCTATGGTGATAATAATCAGTTTGTTTTATCTGCAGGATATCAACACCGATCCAAGCATATAATCCACAGGTATTACCTCCATGCAATGTTAAATTGCTTATCCTGAAACACCTGAGGGAGAAGGAATCTAATACAAAGCCAAAAGCAGTATGTTTCCTTATCTACTTCATTTAAAAAAAATGAAATACAAATTTCACAGTAGGTAATAGTTACTTACCCGGTGCAACAGGGCATTTGTTTTTGCTAGAATGGGCTGTATTACATTTCAGCGTAAAACCCAGACCTTAGATCATTTGTATTATTAAATCAACCAAGGCCGTGTATAAACCAGCATACAGAATATATGAATCACATACATTGTGGATGTTTCTAACAGCACCTTATGCACAGATATATCAGTTACATTTACTGTGTCTGTTCAAACAATAAATCATACATAACCTGCATCTGCTATAGGGTGGCACTATGCTTGTACACATATTAAGTTTACATGAGGGAGAAATAGGTTAGACTCCTGATTGCTGAAGTAGGTACCCAGGCTGGCGACTCTTACAGATGTGCCGTTTGCTGGGTCTTCAGGGATAAGAGGCTGAACCCTGGCCTGGCTTCATGTAGGCAGTATATCACATACATCCCCTGAGGGGGTACCCAAGCTGGCCTGTTGCTGGGTCTTCAGGGATAAGAGGCTAAACCCTGGCATGCAGTGGACCATTTTCATCCCCAGAGGGAGAGGTTGGGTCTGACCCCCGGTCACTAAAGGGGGTACCCAGGCTGGCTACCTTACAATAGTGCTTTGCTGGGTCTTCAGGGCTTAGAGGCTGAACCCCGGCAAGGCTACAAAAATACTGCCTGGTGAGCATAAAAGAAAAAATCTAGGCCTGCATAAACAGACTCCTTCCAAACTGCTGTGAAGGACAGGAAAAAAAGACTGCCTGATGGGAAGGGGGAGGATCTATTTATACCAGTTTCAGAGTTCTGTTTCCTGTCCTTTCTGCTGTGAGGGGAGGAGCTAACCCATGAGTAAATGCTGCCATGAATAATGGTCAGGAAAGTGATTTAACTCCTAAATTGCAGAGAATTGAATCTGCAGGGACATGATCTATGTACCAACACCGTTTTTTTAATCTAAAGTTGTTTTCATGCTTAGAGTCTTTCTTCGACATTCAAACTCACATTTAGGCTGATGATTTTAGATTCATTTAACTTTTACTGTGGTTCTGTATTTATTTTTATTTCTGATACGAATTATTTATTTATAAACTATTTTACCAGGAAACACAATATATACAAAATTTAACATAGAACAGGTAGGAAATATATAATCAACCAATACAGGCGCATTCTGTTTTGAGGTATGTAGTGAGGGATCTCTTAAAGGACTTTAGGCTTGGGGAAGATTTGAAAGTGTGCGAGAGGTTGTTCCGTAATTGCGGTGCTCTGTAGGAAAAGGAGGATCGGGCTGCTTTCTTTTTGTATTGAGGTAGACTAAATAAAGTGCTGGTACTGGATCAGAGGTTATAGGATGTTGGGGAGAGCATTCTGCTCAGGTAGGGTGGGAGTTTCCCAGAAAAGCTCTTAAACACAACGCTGGAAAAATGTAGGGTACGTCTGGATTCCAGCGACACCCAGTTTAGTTCTTGTAGCATGTCACATGGTAGGTTACATTGTAATTACATTGTAGCACAAATCGGCAGAACGAGTTATACAATGTATTGAGTTTATTAAGGTGGGTTTGCGGTGCAGGTGCATATACTACATCCCCATAATCAATGATTGGCATCAGCATATTTATTGTGTGTAAGGGTTGTGAGCAGTTTTTCTATTAGAGTTATTGAATTCACAGCACATTTTTTACTTGATTTTTTTGTACTTTGTATTTTATCAGAATATTTAACTTGATTATTTTTAAGTGGAAGAGATAAATTGGGGAAGTAGCCCCGTTCTGTTCTCTGGTGCTCTTCCTTTTGTGACCAAATTATTATTATTTTAGTAAACTGTCCTCTAATACCAGGCCTATAATTGTTATGTTGTATCTGTTGTTTCTGTCCCATTCTGTCAGACTGTGTGCAACACATGTGAAATAACATATAGCTTGAATAATAAGTTATTATTAACATCTGAATAACTTATTTATCTTAAATTCATTTATTGAACTTATTTTTGAGTGGAAGAGGTGAATTGGGGAAGAAGCCCCGTTCTGGCACTATGTTCTCTGTTGCTCTTCCTTGAGTGACCAAATTATTATTATTTTTTATTTTAATTTATTTCTTCACTTAGAAAACAACAGGCTCTCCGTTTCAAAGATGTAACTTTAATTTATGCCAACATATATAGAGATCTGCCATCATACCCTCCAGCCTCCCATTAACATTAAACATGGTCGTGTTCTTTTTGCCTTTACTAATGTCCGCAGTTTATATTAAAACAGTCCCCCTCCAATAAAGGCAGTTCCCATAACGCAGGTGTTGCCTTGCCCTTTAGATGATCCTTGGCAAGCTTGGTGAATATCTTTTCATTATGCCATGTTCACATTCACTTACCTTACTGTGAATAGGCATTTTTTATCAAACAATGCGTAAGTCCTAAGTCTCAACAAGTGAAATCCAACCTTCAAAATGTATTCACTGTTAGCGTATTAAGAAACACAAATATGTTGGCCTCAAGCCTGGGTATCATTCATTCTTTTCACAAAGCTCTACTCAGTCAATTGGTTTTAAATTACTTGCCAGTCTTTGTGTATCAATTTCCTTTTTTCGAGTTCTTTTGCCTTTGATTGCTGAAAATTATTTTATCAAAAATAAATAGCAAGACTAAAGGGTTTAATATATATATATATATATGTACTGTACATATATATAAATAAGTATTGGGGGGGGCTATGGGACGTAAATGCCCTACCATGTGATAAAATGTACAGTATTCACTATAGTCACAGAGAAATCCCAGGCTTCTGTGTTGACGGACTGCATAAATCATTTCTGACATAAAAGCAGGCACTTCAAGCACATTCCAGGTAAGAACACAACACAAGTCATTTTGGTTTTAGCCTCATTTTCATGCCGTATTAATATCCACATTATTTAGATTTTTTTTTTAAATATATAACTTTGTAGCTTTCTGCAGTGTAACTCCACCCAGTTAGCCAATACTGCTCTTTTCACAAAGTAACTTCCTTATTAGATGTACTCAGCTCAGCCATTGAGAGGCAAGTAAGAGCTGAGTTAATGACATTACTCCACCCCACATTCAATAATGTTGCTTTTATTATCTGCCTCTTTTCTCTTAGCATGGTTTTGATATACTATACAAGATAAGAGTACAGTGATTGGTTGTGAGTGAAGTCAGCCCCTAAATCTCTCATTGGCTGAGCTGTACTATTTAAATTCCAACCAGTAAAACATTTTGTGGTAATGGATGGCATAGCTTAGGGGGCTTTAGCTCTGTTTCCTATTCTCTATCTCCACTTTTCTTTATTCTGTTTACATACTTTGTATCCAACTCCCCCCATTCCCTCTGATCATCCATCCTTCCCTACTAGCCCCCCTTCTTTCTCAACACCATAACCAAAGCACTGGGTAATGGCATCGCCAGGATTTAGTATCACTCACTTCAGTGTTATGCTTCCAAGATCTGCAAAACATTTATATTTTTTCAGCAGGAGGAGATTTGAACAGGGAGAAAAACACTGCATTGATATTAGCCAAAATCTATCAAATGTACTTAAAGGGACACTATAGTCACCAAAACAACTTTGACTTAATGAAGCTGTTGTTGTGTATAGATCATGCCTCTTAAGTCTCACTGCTCAATTACCTGCCATTTAGGAGTTCAATAACGTGTGTTTCTGTTTATGCAGCCCTAGTCCCAACTTCCCTGGCTGTGACTCACACAGCCTGCATGAAAATAATGGTTTCACGTTCAATCAGATGTAGCTTACTTAAAAAAAATATTTTATCTCCTGCTCTCTAAATTGAACTTTAATCACATTCAGTAGGCTCCTGCAGGGTCTAGCACGTTATTAACAGAGCAGGAGATAAGAAATTCTAAATTAAATAGAATTTGAAACAAAGGAAGTATAAACATTAGATGACTTCAGAGGAAGCATTAAGGAAGTCTGTGTAAGTCACATGCATGGAGGTGGGACTAGAGCTATGTAAACAAAATGATTTAACTCCTAAACGACATAAAATTGAGCTATGAGACTGCAGGGGCATGATATATACACCAAAACTGCTTCATTAAGCTCAAGTTGTTTTGGTGTCTATAGTGTTGGGAATACAAATGTATAGTGTCCTGCTAATGCTATAGGCCATACCCCTACCATTTCAAATGTAAACATTTTAGTTGACTTACTAATTATAACCTATGCAACTAAAATTTATTTTAGAACAAGAACAATGTACTTTATTGAAGATCAAGAAGACCCATTAAGGCTGATAACATTACAGAGAGATCGTATCCAAATGAGTTTAAAGGATACTGTTGTGCTAGGAGGGGGGAGGCAGGTAGAGCGGTAGTGCCATGAATATTATTCCTGGCACTACCGCTCTACCTGCCTCCCCCTCCCTTATGCTCCTCCTCCCAATTAAATAAAGGGTTAAAAACCCTGTATTTACTTACCTTTTCGCGGCGCCAATGTCCCTTGATGCTGAGTTGATGTGCTGCCCCCTCTGACGTCCCGCGATGAGCGGTGTCTAATGCACATGTGTAGCAAATGCTGTGTGCACATTAGACCTCCCCATAGGAAGGCATTGAATTAATGCTTTCCTTGGGGGGGAAATATGACACTGGAGGTCCTCATGTAGAGCATGAGGACGTCCAGCGTCAGATAACAAACAAAAGGTTCTTTTCAATTCCCTCTAGTCGCTGTCCGGTAGACTGCTACTGAGGGGAGAGTTAGAACTGCAATGTATATATTGCAGTTTCTATGGAACTGTAATGTTTTACATTGCAGCACAAAGTGTAAAAGGGACCGTGCACCCAGACCACTTCAATGAGGTGAAGTTGTCTGGGTGCTTACTATGTCCCTTTTATTTATTTACACAAACAGGCAAAGGAATCTGCTTACTATTGCAAAAATCCATAAAATACACAGTATTAAATGTCACCTTGGTTTCTGTTTCCATTTTCACCGTGGGTTTCCATTTTCACCGTGGGTTTTGGAAGTCATCTCCATCATGGGACATGTTAGGATTTTTTTTAATTTTTTTTATAATGGGAAGATATAGAGAAAGAAGAAGATCTATAGTAAAACTATGCACCTTCTCCTCAACAGAAACGAAAATGATAGAAAAATCTGAGTAACGCGGGTTCAATGAAATGTTGAAGAGGGACAGAAAACGGGTTAAACAGATTGTGAAGAAGATTGTGAAGCCTGTTAAAGAAGGCTCTGGTGTTGTTTAAAGCGACATTGTAGACACCCAGACAACTTTAGCTCATTGAAGTGGTCAGGGTGCAATGTCCCATGTCTCTTAACCCTACAGTGGTAATTATTGCAGTTTCTGAGGGACTTCCTAGAGGGACTTCCTGAATTGAAACAGACCTTTGGTCTGTTATCTGATGCTGGACATCCAGCGTCAGATTTTTGCCTATAGGAAAATCCTAATGGGAGCGCGGCCATTGTCGTGCAGGCGCGTTAGGTCTTAGGAGGAGCATGGGCGAAGCCTGACCCAACACCAAGGGACATCAGGGCTGGATTTAAGTAAGTGACTGAAGGGGTTTAACCCCTACAGCATTGCGGGTGGGGGGCAGGAGGAGGAGGGAGTGAGGCAGGGGGCACTGTAGGACTCTATAGTGCCAGGAAAACGGCTTTGTTTTCCTGGCACTATAGAATCCGGTTAAACACACCCGATATCTTAATGCCAGTATTTGACTTTGCAGTTTACACTATAAAAGCATTACTATAAAAAAAAATTAATTTTTTACTGACTGCAGATTAAAATCCGATAATTTTTATACCTTCTCGTCCCTTCGGCTGCCGGCACTGAAACAATGGGCTCTCTGTGCACAGATCAAGCTGACAGTATGAGGAGGGAGCATGCATGTTTTATATGACCTGGACCTTCTTGCCTATCTTCCTGCAGCTACGTCCATACTCTGTCAGTTTCCTAGCTGGATTTGTACATATAACCGCAGAGCTATAGGAGCAGTAGTTGACCCGCCGGCCATACATTGGCTGACATTGTCAGCTGACCTCTTTCAGCCCATAAATGCAAGTCTGCGGATAGGAACATTACACTTCTGGCAGCAAAGTAACTAACCTTCGTATGTGCAGCGTTCCAAAGCGAAACACTGAACATACAGACTCCAGGCACCATGACCACTTTAAATCAATGAAGTGGTTATGGTGCTTCGAGCAACCCTTGAATGAGCAGAATTCTGCAGAACGTTTAGCGGTTTTTTTTTTTTTGCAAAAACAATGCATAATGGAGTATGTAAAAATACAGCATATTCTTTAGGTCGAAAGCTTTAAAATGAATCGAGTTATATTGATGCTCGGAGTGTCCAGTGTTTATCTATTCTATTTAGATCTTGTTCCAGTGTATTAAAAATAAATCAAACAACGTGAAATCATCTATTCCTGATATTTACGTTTTCTTATTAGTGTGTGCTTTCCTTCTGACGCAGGCATCAGGTGTTCGAGTTGATGATTCTGTTATCCAGCTATTTCAAGAAATGAAGCTCATGAGATCTGGGAAAAAAGCTGTGTTTTTTGGATTCAGTAAAGATGAGAAATTCATCATTGTGGAGAAAGGGAAGGAAATTCTTTCACGAGACTGCAACGGGGACTTCTTCTCACGATTAAAATCAATGTTTCCGGAGACCAAGTGCAGCTACGCTTTACTGGACATAGATTACATAACTGGTGAATCAAAGAAGCAGGACCTCATTTTTGTATTATGGTAAGTTAAAAACTACCATCCATGTTACAGTATGAAAAAAAATTAACGAATGAATATTTACTGAATCAAAATGTAATTGATACAGGTTTTATTTTAACTTTTATGTAGAGAAGTCATATAAATGAGCCTCCAATTGTATTTTATTTTAAAAATTGACATATTTTATATATATAAAAAATATATATTTACTTATTTATTTTTTAATTCAATTTAGGTATTTACTAAAGGCAATTTCAGGGCAAACTCAGAATGTAATTCCAAATGTACAAATGCAATTCAGAACAGTTATTTTTCTGATAAGAAGAAGAAATTGAATCAATGTTGACCTTAAATTTGGGCATTCAGAGGCAGATCATTTAAAGAGAAACTTTGACTTCATAGAATTTTTTATATTATGTTTGCTCATCCCCTATTTTACCAAATATATTTGTGAGCTATAAAAAATAAAACCAAATGTAGAAATTCACACATCTTTACCCTGCCACTGCGCGCCTCCATCTTAGCTCCCTGTCAGTCATCGCTATTAGCTCTGACCTCTGCACCCAGCAGTGACCATAGACAAAGTATACAGAGAATAGAGAAATTAAACAATGTGTACATTGGCTGTGCCTGGACTGAACTCATTTGCTTAATCTTTAATCGAATATAAGGGGGGGGGGGGGAATGGACCATATCAAGAAAAACAGAGTTACTGGTGTTTTTAAATGTTTTATTCAGTGGTGCTACTCGAGTGATTGAGTTACAACAAATAAAAAAGTTTAAAAAAAGAGCCCACACTGTATCCCATAATAACCATGATGTTATCAAACTCCCCTACTTCATGTGTCAAAGGTGAAGGGTATAAAATGTGCACAATAGCCCATATAAAGGCCAAAGGCTTAGGTTGCAGATAATTCCTTATGCCTTATTCAAATCGAGGTCTACAGCACAGCTAGACTGCTATTAGAACATATTTTTAGCTATATATCCCAGAGGAAGCTCCAAATTTGTATAGAGCCATCCATTTCTAGTTACATAGTTACATAGCTGAAAAGAGACTTGCGTCCATCAAGTTCAGCCTTCCTCACATTTGTTTTTTGCTGTTGATCCAAAAGAAGGCAAAAAAACCCAGTTTGAAGCACAATTTTGCAACAAGCTAGGAAAAAAATTCCTTCTTGACCCCAGAATGGCAGTCAGATTTATCCTTGATCAAGCAGTTATTACTCCTAGCACAGTGATTATATCCTTGAATATCTCTGGTTCTTGCAAGTATGCATCTAGTAGCCGTTTGAACATCTGTATGGACTCTGATAAAACCACTTCTTCAGGCAGAGAATTCCACATCCTGATTGTTCTTACAGTAAAAACCTTTCCTTTGCCTTAGACGAAATCTTTCTTTCTTCCCAGTCTAAACGATGGCCTCGCATGTAAAGTCCAGTTTGTGAATAGATTTCCACAATATGTGGCTTGTATTAAATATATTTGTATAATGTTATCATATCCTCTGGTATTTAATTCTTAAACTAAATAGGTTTTAAATTTGTTAACCTTTCTTCATAGCTGATATGTTCCATTCCTTTATTAATTTTGTAGCCCGCCTCTGCACTTTTTCTAGTGCCATAATATCCTTCTTTAGAACAGGTGCCCAAAATTGCACAGCATATTCAATATGGGGTCTTACCAGTGATTTATAAAGAGGCAAAATGATATTCTCGTCCCGAGAATGAATGCCCTTTTTCATGCATGACAATACCTTACTGGCCTTGGCCACTGCTGATTGACATTGCACATTGTTACATAGTTTGTTGTCTATAACAATTCCCAAGTCCTTTTCATGTGTTGTTATCCCTAATTCGCTTCCATTAAGGGTATACGTTGCTTTTGTATTCTTTACGCCGAAGTGCATAACTTTGCATTTTTCAACATTAAATTTCATCTGCCATTTGAGTGCCCAGTCCTCAGTCTATCTAAATCCCTCTCAGCAAAGTAATATCTTGCTCACATTGTATTGTTTACAAAGTTTGGTGTCATCTGCAAAACACTGAAACATGACTTTCAATGCGGTCTTCAAGATCATTTATAAAAATGTTAAATAGAAGGGGTCCCAGAACAGACCCCTGAGGGACACCACTTGCCACCTCTGTCCAGCTTGAAAATTTACCGTTAATGACAACTCTTTGTACTCTGTTTTTAAGCCAATGTTCTACCCAAGAACAAGCATTTTCATCTAGACCGATTTCCTTGAGTTTGAACACTAATCTATTGTGTGGAACTGTATCAAATGCCTTGGCAAAATCCAAATAGATCACATCCACGGCAACACCCTGATCTATACTTCTACTTACTTCTTCGTAGAACGCAATCAAGTTAGTTTGACATGACCTGTGCTTCATAAAACCATGCTGATTTTTGCTGATAACCATGTTCTTCTCAAGGAATTCTTGAATATTATCCCTTAATAACCTTTCAAATATTTTACCAGCCACAGAAGTTAAGCTCACAGGTCTATAATTTCCAGGCAAGGATTTTGAACCCTTTTTGAATATAGGAACCACATCTGCCTTCCTCCAATCCTCCGGAACACTTCCTGAAAGAAAAGAATCTTGAAAGATTAAAAACAGAGGTTCACTTATTTCTGCACTTAGTTCCTTAAGTACACGTGGATGGATACCGTCAGGCCCTGGAGCTTTGTTTATATTAACTTTCTTTAGTTGCTGCAGCACCTTGTCTTGAGTTAACCAATTACAATTATTCTGCAAGTTTTTAGTAGCAATCATTTGCACATCTATTGCCATGGGTTCTTCCTTAATATATACGGAGGAGAAAAAGTTATTTAAAATTCCTGCCTTTTCCTGGTCTTCATTAATTAACACCCCCGTTTCAGTTTTTAGTGTACCTACACTTTCATTTTGTTTTTTTTTAGAATTTATGTACTTAAAAAATGCTTTGGGGTTGGTTTTGCTCTCTTCAGCTATCATTATTTCATTTTGAAGTTTAGCAAGTCTAATTGCCTTTTTGCACGCATTATTTGCATCCTTATATCTTTTATAAGATGCATCTGATTTGTCCGATTTAAATGCTTTAAATGCCCTTCTCTTAGTTGTAATCTCTTGTTTTACTTCTCTACTAAGCCATGTTGGTTTTAATTTGTTTCTTTTATATTTATTTCCCAATGGTACATACTGAGAAATGTACCTTTGTAATATTTGTTGGAAGATGATCCATTTATCCTCAGTGTTCTTTTCACTAAAGAGTTTATGCCAGTCAATATATTGTAAAGCTTCCCTTAACTTATTGAAATTGGCCTTTTTAAAATTATATGTTTTAGTATTCCCCATGTGCTTTTGTTTTTTTGAGTTTATTTCAAAGGACACTATATTGTGATCACTATTTCCCAAGTGCTCACCTACTTGAATGTTGGTCAAAAGATCAACGTTGTTTGTTAAAACCAGGTCCAGACAAGCATCCATTCTAGTTGGTGCTTGTACAAGTTGTGACATGAAGGTGTCATTTAACAAGTTTAAAAACCTAATTCCCTTTGCTGAGGCACTAGTCCCTCTGTCCCAATTTATATCCGGGTAATTAAAATCTCCAATAATTAAAGTGTTACCCAGATTTGCAGCTTTCTCAATTTGCTCAAACAGCTGTTGTTCCTCGTCAATATTAACATTAGGTGGTTTATAACATATCCCAACCAATAGTTGGTTTCCCTTCTTTTCCCCCAAGCAGATATTTACCCATAAAGCTTCCACATTATCCTCCTCGCATTCCATTTGCTTAACATTTGGCTTTAAATCATGTTTGACATACAAACATACCCCACCACCCTTCTTGTTTTTCCTATCCTTCCTAAATAACATGTACCCATTTAAGTTAGCTGCCCAGTCATGTGTCTCATCCCACCATGTTTCAGTTATGCCTATTATATCATATTGTTTAGTGTATGCTAATGCCTCTAGTTCCCCCATTTTGTTATTTAGGCTCCTTGCATTAGTAAGCATACATTTAATATTATGCGCCACTTGTATATTTTGTGAATTTTCACCATTACACAGCTTCTCTGTTCTGAGCTTGCCCCTCCCCCCGTTTCCACCCCCCTTATACTGTGCTAAAGCCCATCTCCTTTCTGTCCTATCTCCATTTTGTAGATTGCTATGACCCTCCCCCCCTACTACTAGTTTAAAATCTCCTCAAACCTTCTAGCCATCCTATCCCCCAGCACTGCAGACCCTCTCCCGCTTAGGTGCAATCCATCACCACTATAAAGGTTGTACCCAATCGCAAAGTCGGCCCAGTGCTCTAAAAACCCAAAACCCTCCTTCCTGCACCAAGACTTAAGCCACGCATTGACCTCTCTAATCTCCCGCTGCCTTTCCACTGTAGCACGTGGCACAGGTAATATCTCAGAGAATACCACCTTGGAGGTCCTTTTCTTAAGTTTGCTACCTAATTCCCTGAAATCATTCTTTAGGACCTTCCATCTTCCTCTTACTTTGTCATTGGTACCAACATGGACCATGACCGCTGGGTCATCCCCAGCCCCTCCCAATAATCCATCCACTCTGTCAGCAACATGCCGGACCCGAGCACCCGGGAGACAGCAAACTGTCCGGTTGAGCCGATCAGAGCGGCAGATTGCCCTATCTGCTCTCCTAATGATAGAGTCCCCTACCACCACAACCTGTCTTGCCTTCCTTACATTTTGATCCCCACCCGTACTAGGGGGGCTGTTAGCTCGGCTGTTAGAAGTAACAGCTTCCTCTAATACAGCTACTCCTGAGCTGATGCTCCCAACATCTTCCCTCAAACGGGCAAATCTGCTAGGTTGCACCAAATCAGGACTAGCTAGCCCTTTCCTCTTCCCTCCCCCCCTGCTTCCTCGCCCCACTGTCACCCAGCTACATGCCTGTTCCCCATCTGTCTTATCTCCTCCCTCTCCACTACCTGTCCCCACTAAACTCTGCTCAGTGAGCAGTAGACTCCTCTCAAGATTGTCAATCTCCCTCAATGTTGCGATTTGCTTCTCGAGATCTCCAATCTGAGCTTCCAGAGAAGCCACTCGCACACAACCATCACAGAGGTATGGACCCTGGACGGGTACATCCAGGCATCTATACATGCAACAAGATGTGCATTGAGTTAAACCAGCAATCATGCTAACACTCATTTCCCCTTTAAACAGTAAATAAAAACAATTACCTTGATAGTTTAAACCCCCTGCTTGTTTGAACTCCTGGTTTTCTAACTCCTACTTGAAAGAGTCTACTTAATAGAGGCTGCTTTCAAATAATGTGTTCTCGTTGTGTTCTCGTTAAGACTGTTTTATGTAGTATTAGCAGCAGTTACTATTTTAAGGGACAGAATAAAAGTATTACAATTCAGGTTATGGTACAAGGAGGTCACCTGTTCCTGTCGGTCTGCGTTTTGTGTCATTTAACTGAAGTGTTTTATCGTACACTCCATGGCTGTGTATATGTTGTATGGAGTCTTTCCACAGAGTGGACAATGAATAATTTGTGGCTGAGGAAGCCCTTTTTGCAAGATTACATTTATGATTTCGTTTATGGATAAACATGAATGGAGCTATCTCTAAGGTGAAATATAATGGTAATGTCGGGATTGTAAGACTTTCAACTACTTGCTTTGTATTCCTAAATTTCAAATACAGCTTTGTATTCCTAAATTTACAGTGTTTCTTTAACCCTGCAATGTAAACATTGCAGTTTATAGACATACACATTTATATATAGTTCAGCTAGATATTTTCAAGATAATACATGCTGTGATTTAGAAAGATGCAATAAAACCAGCCTTGAATTGATGTAACAGGTATGGACAGGCAGGTGAACAATTATGACTTTGAAAACACCCAGCTAATCTTTAATTCCCCAAGGAATCAGTAGGCCCCCATGGGCCATGCCCAGGTAAATGCAGCTATCTCCCATGGCCATACAGAACACAGTCAGGCATGGTTTAGCAGTGTTTAGAATTATTCTTTTAACAACTGCCTCATGTGACACAGTAACAGTCACACTTCTTATAATGCAAAAACTCTCAGGGATTTTATCAGCTCTTTTCTAATTGTGTCACAATCAAATAATTAAACTACTCATAGTGCTTGAGGGATTTTATTTATTAATCTCCACTGCCCTTGAGAAAAAATGGCCGTAAATGAGTCTGTTTACAAATCGTTGACTAGATCTAAATGATCTCCCATGGTTTCTTTCCTCGTAACATACGGAGAACCACCTTGGATATTTACAAAGATAAATTCAGGCTAATCCAAATGTGACTTACCCGTTTACAATAGAACGTGGCATTAAGCCAGGTGTAATGGCAGATCTGTTGAAAGCTTCTCTGAGCAGCCGGTCACAGGGGAAAAAAATGAAACTTGAGTTCTCACAGACTAATTCTACACGAGTTCACTAAAGTTATATTACATTGTCCAAGTTTCAGCTGCCCAGCATAGTTCTCAGAGTTTGGTGAAAATTAATTTAAGCTTCTTGTAACCAGAGGAATTTATAATACAAAAACCATTATTTTGTACAAGAAAAAAATATTGTTGTATGTTTAGATAAAAATAAAAGTCTTGTCTATTAAAGAAAGTAGTCCTTGTTGTGCCTGACAATATCATTTGATTGTGTTGTAATTTAAAAATGTTTTAATTCTTTAATTTTTGTTATAATGCATTTGAAGTGCATGGGTGCTTGTGAAGGTCTCAAGCAGTGCAATCAGGTGGTGCTCTTAATGGTGTCTTTATAGTAGGCCATATCAGACGCAATATTCTTGCGTAGATCTGCCAACATCCACTGGCACTGTAAACAGGTCTCCGGATTTAGAAGGTTTGGATTTATGCTCCAGGAGGAGGTTGAATGATGCCCCCTCGCCAGCATTGATAAACAATTTCTCAGATGAATAAGAAGATAGTTGGTCTGCCAGCTCCATCTTGTCCCATTCAGTCTTTTGCAAGCCCCGCAACTGATCTCCTATATCCTTGCTGGTAGGGACTTTATTGGCTCTTGATTTATTTTTGTTTTTTGGCCCATTATTCTCACCTATATTGATTGCAAGATGTGTTATAGATTTAGAGCCCAGATTCCACCATAAAACTTTGTTTTCCTGGGGGGCGTGGCTTGACGGCTCACCAAGACGGTCGCATGAGCGGTTAGCTCCGTGCGACACCAACCCTGCACAGCGAATAGAGAAGCAGTGGGTAACCTAAACCCCACACAGACAGTCATCGATGCCCGTGACCACCATGGCATCTAAATCAGCTAAGAAGCTGAAGCATAAACAGCCCGCGTTGCTGGTTTCGGCGCTGACACTGCCACGAGCACAGGCCCAAGATGGCGCCGACACGCCACACTCGCCATCCGCGTACTCGGACCGCAGCGACCTCACCTGCATATCGGAACCAGCGGAGACACCTGCAACCGACCTCTCCATCCACAAAATGTTGCAAGCTCTGCAAACATCCCTTCAGGCCGACATGATGAAAATGTCGCGCGACATCAAAACGGAAATCCAAGCGCTTGGAGACAGGACAGCGCACCTCGAGGACAAGACAGATGAGGTTATCTCTGCCCACAACACCCTGGCAGATGCCTACACCGAATTGAGAGACAAACTGGACTACCTCGCGGGTAAGGTCGCGGATCATGAGGACAGGGATAGGCGCAGTAATATACGCCTCCGCGGCATCCCTGAAGAGGTTCTCCCACAAGACCTTCAAACCTATGCTGTACGCCTCTTCCAGGCCTTGGTTCCTGGCCTGACACAACAAGAATGCCTCATCGACCGCATACATCGCTTACCGAAGCCTAAATCTCTCCCAGCCTCAATCCCGAGGGACACCATAGCGAAGCTCCATTACTACACCAGCAAAGACAAAGTAATGAGGGCTGCAAGGACCTCCAAGGCTATACCGGAAGAATTTGCAAGCGTCCACCTTTTCACCGACCTTTCTGCTGCAACCCTGCTGAAGCGAAAAGAGCTGGCCTGCATCACCAAATCTTTGAGGGACGCCAATGTCCCCTACAGATGGGGATTCCCAACCCGCATAACCATCCGCCGCAATGGCGTTGACCGCCATATCACCTCGACAGACGAAGGACTTACGCTCCTGAAAGAATGGGGCATCACCCCATCGCAACCTCCCCAGCAGAATGCCCAGATGAAGCCGCAAAGATCACGGTCACCGAGAAAGATCCCGACAGATTGGAACGTGATGTCTACAGATAAGTGAAACGAACTGACACTCTGTTTTCTAACATAGCGGGGCACACTAGCCTAACACACTCACCCATCAGGGTCATGGACTATATATTTTTTTTTTTTTCCCTCTCTTGGGCTCAACGCCACGCTTAGTACTGTTTTTCCACCTTGCCTATGCCGCACATACACTTATTAGGTGATCGGCCGCTGAGGCTGAGCCTTGCTGCCATGCCCGGGCCTTAGACCTGGGCCCGGCCATGGCAGTGACGCACCGGTTATAGCACAAACAGTTCTCTATACAATCTCTATGTCCCGTTGAAGTTTAATGTCTGCTGTATTGTTTGTATACATAATGCTCCGCCCCCACTCCCGCAAGACGCACTTGCCTGACACTGACACCGCTACAATGGCGGACGCACTGTCATTATACATCAACATGAGCCTGGCATTGCCTCACTAGCCTCCTCTGTGGCACGCGCACGGTAGGTGGTGGCCAGGCAATCTCAGTAGGTGGCACCTCAGACAAGCAATTGGGCATCATGCTCTAACGTTGTAGGATACTGTCCACATGCTACCACACCCACCATCCTCATTGGGCACTGTGTTGGCTAAGGGCACGGAAACGATGAGATCGCCCTCTACTGTCCCACCCGGACTCAATACTACCCTCTCAACTAAGCTGGGATCCCCCAAGGGTATAACATGGTGAACGGAATTGAGGTTACCCCTCTTTACTTAGCTCATCAGGGTGGTAAGACCTGTCAACTCCCACCACCCCCCTAGGCTCAACCGAGCCCTCTCAACACCGCCTATGCCCCAGGGCGCTCCAACCGGCGTTTTTTTGTATATAGTTCTCTATTATCACCTGTTTCAACATTCGATATGTTTCTGTTTTCCCCCCTCCCACCCTCTTCTCCCCAAACAACGTATACACGTTATCAGGAAAGCACAACGACCATATAACGTGTTAATAACAAGCTCTGTTGACATTTTGGGGGGCATGGTTCCCTCGCCACATCTGCAAACGCACACTACCCAAGCAGGACACCCTAACACGAGCGCCAAACCCCTTCAACTGGTGGACCTAGTCCCACCACTGAGTGACACAGCAACCGCTCCCCTCCCACCATGACACTCAAGATTCTATCCCTGAACACGAAAGGCCTCAACTCGCCACACAAGCGTAGACTGGCACTTGAAGAAGCAAAAAAACACAAAGCCCAAATCGCCTTCTACCAAGAGACCCATTTCAAATGGGGCGCACGTCCCAAATTCTGCTCCAATGCATTCCCTCATGATTTTCACTCCTGCTACAAAAAAAAGAAGCGGGGAGTGTCCATCTTGATAGGGAAAGGAGTAGCTTTCTCATTACTTAAGAAAACAGGAGACAAGCATGGGAGATATTTGCTACTCCAATGCTATATAAACAATGAACCGTACACGCTTATCAACATTTATGGCCCACACACTAATCAGACGGAATTCACAGACAAAATTTTCGCCCTAGCGAGTGCACATAGATTTGGAACTTTGGTTATTGGTGGGGACACTAATTTCCTCCTTGATAGCTCTCTAGACTCCACATCTACCGCTAGGCTGACCAACACATCCGCACGTAAATCGCACAAAATCTCGTCGTTGCTCTGCAACCAGATTCTCCAGCACAACCTTTTAGACCCTTGGAGAGTCCTCCACCCGCTAGAGCGGGATTATACCTTTCACTCTTTAGCCCACAATACATACACTAGAATCGACAGGTTCTTAATTCCGACAACGTTGATGCAGGCAGTTCAGACAGCAGATATAGGTCTTGTAACTTGGTCAGACCATGCCCCAATAACCCTAACCTTACGGGAAGCCTGCTCCGCTGTGGGCAAAGGAACATGGAGGCTGAATGACTCCCTGTTGAGGGACCCTAAAATTGTAGACCAACTCAGAGTAGACCTCACCGACTACTTCAAAATGAACCTAACCCCCGACGTAGACGTGACTACTGTCTGGCTGGCACACAAGGTGGTGATAAGGGGTCTTCTGATTAGACCGGGTAGCCACGCTAAAAAGCAAAGACTCAAAGACTACTCGACCTAATTGCCCGGATAACTGATCTTACACATAAAAATAAAACACACCCCACGCAAATACTGTGTCAAGAGCTGTCCGTTCTACATACCAAAATTGGTACCCTGGAGCAAGCCAAAACCACTCACATACTCCAACGTTATAAAAATAATTTCTTCTCACAAGGGAACAGGGCGGGTGCTCTATTAGCCGCAAGACTTAAAACACGCACGGCCCACTCCAGAATAGCATATATCGTCACGGCTACAAAACAGAAACTCACAAACCCTCAAAACATAGTTGACGCATTTGCAGAGTACTATAGCAAACTCTATAACCTTAGAGAAGACCCCAAGATCACACCACCATCCACGCAAGACATTCTTAATTTTCTAGCACAATCTGACTTACCCAAACTATCCCAAGAAGACATATCTTCCCTCACCGCACCGTTTACCACTCAAGAGGTAGATGCTACAATCAAGCAGCTTCCTAAACACAAAGCACCAGGCCCAGATGGCTACACCAACTCCTACTACCAGACCTTTGCCCCCATCCTATCGCCACACATATCTGCACTCTTCAACCAATGCTACTCACAAGGGGCCCTACCCTCCGAAATGTTAAAAGCCCATATCTCCACCCTCCCAAAACCAGGCAAACCTCAAACACAGTGCCAAAATTTTAGACCCATATCTCTACTGAACGTAGACGTTAAACTATATGCTAAACTTCTAGCCAACCGGTTGTCTACTATCCTCCCTACATTAATACACAATGATCAGTCAGGCTTTGTCAAAACGAGACAGGGCTCGGATAACACAAGGAAGATCTTAAACATCCTATCCCACACACATAGCGCTGGGGGAAAGGGCCTTCTCTTAGCGCTAGATGCGGAGAAAGCCTTTGACAGGCTCAATTGGGACTACATGCAACAGGTCTTAAGGGCATTTGGCTTCACAACGCCCATGATCTTGGGCATTATGGCGTTGTACAACACCCCAACGGCTCAGGTTTCCAACGCTGGCTTTCTCTCCACCCCATTCAAAATAACCAACGGCACACGCCAGGGGTGTCCTTTGTCCCCATTATTATTTGTCCTTTCCCTAGAGCCGCTAGCGCAGATAATCAGACGCCAACCCGAAATTAAGGGCATGGTGGTGGGCAAATCCGAGTACAAACTGTCCATGTTTGCGGACGACATTCTCTTAACATTGAGTGACGTGTCCTCGTCCCTACCCGCTTTGATGCTGCTCCTAAAACGCTATGGCGACCTGACATACTATAAACTAAACCAAAATAAAACCCAAGCTCTACCCATAGGCCTTACTAAAGACTCAGTGCAGGGCCTCAAAACTATACACGACTTTGACTGGAGGTCTGACCACATCACCTACCTTGGGGTCAAAATCGCGTCCACAACTGAACTATACCAATACAACTATAAACCACTCCTCAACCTATGCAAATCTGAGTGTCTAAGGTGGAAACCAGTCAAGCTATCGTGGCTAGGCAGAATCAACACAGTAAAAATGGTCCTCCTTCCTAAACTGCTGTACGTTTTCCGTCTCCTACACCTACAGGCTCCACCAATGTTTTTTAAATCACTCCAAAAAGTGCTGTCCTCTTACATATGGGACGCCCATAGACCCAGAATTTCCCAACGCCTCCTCCAGAACCACCAGACGGATGGGGGAGTAGGCCTACCAGATATATACACATATTATAAAGCTGCCGTCTTAGAAGCGGCAGTAAAAATACACACCTCAAAAGGGGTCTACCAATGGGTAGACATGGAAATTGATCAACTCAATAGCACATCCCTAGTAAATATGTTCTGGACACCTAAACCACTACGCCCCAAAAACATAACACTCCTCCCAACCACTACGCTAACACTACACCACTGGGACATGTTACGCCAGAAACAAACTGCACCTCACAAATACCACCCACGTTCCCCGCTGACAGCCCTGAAAGCGTTATCACCCTGGCTCTCACTGAACTCATGGGCTAAACTGGGAATAACCACACTCGATCAAGTCCTCCAGCTGAACCGCATCAAACCCTTTCCAGACTTACAAAGGGAATTTCACCTACCTAACTCCTCAGTGTTTCAATACATGCAGCTCAAGAGCATTCTACCCACTCATGTCTCCCACACAGCTACAGTACACAATCCAGATCCACGGGATCTGGAGACTTTATATGACAGGTGCTGGAGAGCCCCAACCAAACCCAAATCCCTTGCCGCTTGCTACAAAGTCCTTCTACGAACCTCACCACCTCCACCCCCCATATTTGTGACACAATGGCTAAAGGAATACACAACGATCTCCAGCAGGGAAATACTAGCGTCTCTTAATGCACTCAAAGGACTAACGCAATGTTACTCCCACTTCGAAGCGCATAAAAAACTGGTGTATAGGTGGTACCTAACTCCCCAACGGCTTCATCAAATGTATAAAACGGTTCCCCCATACTGCTGGAGATGTGGGACGGAAAGTGGAACGATGACACACATTTGGTGGTCATGTCCACGCATCCGCCCGCTGTGGCAAGAGGCGCAAACTATACTGCGAACCATAGGCATCACAACACCACCCCTAGATATACACACAGGTATATTTCTGACATGCCCCAACCTCTAAACAAAAAAGGTTAAAGTTATAATGGCAGTGAGAAATCTAATCGCAAATCACTGGAAGCTACCACGCTGCCCCTCTAAGACTCTCCTAGTGGCCAAAATCCACCAATACTATACCCACGAGTGTTTATCCACCCAAACAGCGGCACTTAAAGTGCGCCTCCTAGCAACTTGGGCCCCGTGGGTAGAGTATTGGGAGGGGCAACCCACGAACCCTTCCTCCTCACCCCACCAGTGCAGCCTTCTGAAAAACCCAACACCTACAGACTCGGATTCGAACTAAGGTGACAAGCAATGGTACGTGCACATTGCACCCCAAGTATTCTGTATTCTGTATTCAGCATTCTATGTTTTGCATAGCACAGCATGTACTAAAGAGTGACTTCACGCTTTACTTTATGACGAGATGTATCATTGTTAATCCTGACAACCCCTCCTCTCTTCTTTCTGTACCCCACCCCATCCCTCTGAAAAAATGTCAATAAAAACCTTAAATATGAAAAAAAAAACTTTGTTTTCCTTGAATTAAACTCAGAGCTTGGAGGAGTGCTTCCTCGCTGTTCCCCAGTGTTGGAATTTTAATTGACATTCCAATGTAGTCTGTATGAGGTTCTCCATAAAGATTCCAACTTTATAAAAAAACATACAAATAGCAGGTCTGTTTTAAAGAGGGTACATATGTCTTCTTAGAAGTGGCAAGGAAGTTGCAAAAGACATAGATTTATTTATTTTAAAGGACCACTATAGGCACCCAGACCACTGCAGCTCAATGAAGTGGTCTGGGTGCCAGGTCCCTCTAGTTTTAACCCTGCAGCTGAGCTATGTTTCACTGAGGGTTAATCCAGCCTCTAGTGGCGGTCTCACTGACAGCCGCTAGAGGCGCTTCCGCAATTCTCAACTGTGAAAATCACAGTGAGAAGACGCTGACGTCCATAGGAAAGCATTAAATAATGCTTTCCTATGGGCGGTTTCAATGCGCGCATGGCTCTTGCTGCACATGTGCATTCTGAGTTGACGTTGGCAGGGGGAGGAGAGGTCACCAGTGCCGAGGGAGCCTGGCGCTGAAGAAAGTTAAGTGGCTGAAGGGGTTTTAACCCCTTCAGCCCATCGGGAAGGGGGCCTTGAGGGTGGGGGGACCTAATGACCCCATAGTACCAGGAAAACAAGTTTGTTTTCCTGACACTATAGTGGTCCTTTAATCTTTCCAGATGCACTCAGCACACTTCGTTGATCAAGACGGCAGCCTTGGTTTAAATCTAAAATAAAACCCATACATTTTGTAGCATATTTTATTAGGAAGGGGACTGGATGTCTTTACAGGTGATGGGCATATTTGAATATTTTGTTTTTAGGAAATAACATATTATGGACCTTATTTATATATGATAGTTAATATTTCTTTCAAATATTCATTTTTGTTTTCCAGGGCCCCTGAAGATGCACCCATTAAAGAAAAGATGCTCTTCGCTAGCTCAAAACCATACATGAAGCAAGTCCTTTCAGGTATGTTACAGATGGTTCTAGGTTCTGCAATAGCCTAATACTGCAAACACCTGCTTTATATTGTTGTGTATATTCAAATGTATGTAAAACAATGAAGGTCCGATCAGGGCTGGTGCTACCAGAGGGTAACCCAGGCTTTCAGTGCTACCTTATACCATTTAAAGAGCAATGAATATGCAATGTGAGCAGGACGTCATCATGGCTGTGTAAGGGAGAGAGCAATGAGCATTCAGACAGTCTGTAGACAGTAAGTATAGAGTTTCTCTATACTGTATGATATAATAAAAAAATTTAAAAAATCTACTGGTGATTTCTTTGTAAGGTCATGGACCTTAAAGGACCATTCCGAGCACTGTAACAATTTAATCTTCATAAAGTTGTAATGGTATCTTACCTTAAGGGATAATACCAATCACAAACGGTTTTACCCCAAATTGCTGTTGATGGCACCTGTTCTCCTGGTCCTTCAGACTTCTTCTTTAGCCCCGACATTCTTAGCCTACCACTGGCTTTCCGTTGATAAAACAAGCTTTAGAACGGAACATATTTTTCTGGAAGGTTCTGCAGTAGGAAACCTTAACTGCGATCTCATCACAAAACTCAACATCTTAATTATGCAACACGAACCAGGGAGATAAGCCAAAGGCAATTTGGAACCAAGTGCTGTGGGCTGATGAATGAAGATAAAACTGAGTCAGCTGACTACAATTCCCAAAGGCATGTTTGGAGAAACAAGAGAACCATTTGAAGAAAAGAACACCTTGTTACCGGTTTAGTACGGGAGTGGATTTTATTATGCTTTCAAGCTGTGTAGCTTCCAGGAGCAGATTAAATATTCTAATGGTAAAGAGAAAAATGTATTATACTAAATATGAATAAATCGCGGAAGCTAATCTCTCACAGTCAATAAATACATTGAAACTGAAAAGTTTCTTGGTTGATCTCAAGAATCCAATGCGAGAGAGGCAGGATAAGAATTTTTCTAAACTATAAATAGTATGTAAGCAGAGTGTCAAAAAAATTGTAAAGCAAGAACAAAAAGATTGTTAGGTGGCTACAAAAGACCTCTGGAGGTTGTGATCTTTAGCCAAAGGCGGTGTCACTAATCAACAGGGTACCCAACTTACTCATATGTCATGTTTATGGTTTAATTATTTTCAGTAACATAAATTCAGCTAATAATTTGTAACTGTTATGATATGATTACATGATATGAGGTGTGCAGAGATAAACTTACAATGAAGATACGTTGCCTGCATACAAGATGGTAAAAAATAATGGACTGAAAATAGGGAGCTACCAAATCACACTAAAAGTCTTGGCGAGAAAGACCTTGAAAATAAATATGGGGAAGAAATTAGGGTATATGGCATAAGAAGGGAGATCATGTGTTGTGTTTGGAGATATAGATTGAAAAGGGAGCATGGAGAGAGGTCATAAGATGTTTGTATGAAGAGAGGGCTGCAGAGATTGCATGAAAGGAGAAATGATCAGAAGGTTGAGCAATGGCAACTGAAAAAAAGCCAACATGAAGAACGGCAAGGAACAGGCAGAGATATACAAGGTGTACAATTGAAGAACAGTGGCAGGAAGAGTAGTTGAACGAGAGTAAGAAAGAAGGGAGTGTGCAGAAAAAAATGAGAAATTAATTGTAGGCTTGGGGAGACAGCAGGCAACATGGCAATGATCAGGGGACTCCTTCCCAACATCTGCAAAGATTATTCCATCACAAACTACAAGGAACTGTGACATCTGATGTCAGCTATAATTTACATGGGTGTAAAAAGGGGAAAAGCACACCACCCACCCCAATGGCCATGATGACCACTCTCCTCACCGTTAACCTCCGCAGCCCCTCAAAGCACACCCGGAAGCTGCGCGACCCAGGGGTACCAAATTTTTTACATATATTTTGTGTTTTCGTGAATCAAGGCTGACAATTTATCTCCATTGTTTCCCTAATTTTTCCCATTACCTCTGGCAAGGCAGAAGGAGATGTTTTGTTTTATTCTTTTAAGTGTGGAAATGTGTACATGAGGTATTTATCTTTGTTATTCTGTAAAATTTTGAAGTTGACTGGAGACACCGATTTTTTAGGAATCTTGCAGCAAAACAAACATTCTGCATAAGGAAATCAGTTAATCAATGCAGCATTGTGAGAGTTAAAGCGCAAGCTGTGCCGCTGATTAACAGATTTCAAAGTTCCATGTGCATTGCCACATTTCTGCTCAGTTCTGGAACGTGTAGCTTAGTTATCAGCTTTCTCCTAAGGAAACGTGTTCACTGATCTACAACTCCCAAATACCTTTGCTGTGTCTCCTGATGACAAGTACTATTGGACACTATGAATTAAGAGGAAGGGACAGAAAAGGAGCCTTAGAAAGATACAGACAGTAAGGAAGGTGGTACCGAGGACAACAGTTGAAGGCTAAAGTCTTCTCGGTTTACATGTGATTACACCTACTGTGTTTCGTACTACCAAATTCTAGCCAGAAAGTCAGTACGGATCTCAGAATACCATGAATCTCCTCTGTAAACAAGAATAATTAATGCTGCAAATAATTTCTGGGTTGTATCATAAGACTTCAGATTCATTATTATAGCTGGAGCCATGTTCTATTATTAAAATGTTTGTAAATTACTCTGTCCTTTATAAAAACCCTGATTTTTTTGTCCCCCCAGGAGTCAATAAGCAATGGGAAATTCACAGTCAAGATGATCTGACCATTGATCAACTGGCCCAGAAACTCTGCACTGGCAAAATTAAATCATTGGAAGGACATCTCATATAGCTAAACCGTGCCACCAAAAAACAAACTTAAATACAGAACAGTGATGGCTCACCCTCACCTTAGATGCTCGTAAACTACATTTTCCGAGCTGAGGATCATGGGAAATGTAGTTTACAAACACCTCGGGCAATAAGTTTAGCCATCAGTGAAAACAAAAAACACAGTCTGCCAATGCAGTGTGTATAGAATGACAGTTTAAATCATTTCATTTGACTGAAGTATCTAGAGATTTTTTATATATTTTCACTATTAAATCGGTTTTAGGTTGCCTACATTGGCAATATTTTTTATTTAAAAGATTCATATACCTTCTAGAATATGGACACTTCTTTATTTATGACTGGCTTTAGCAGATCAATGCTGGAACTGAACGGAATTAAATGCCAATTAGGGTATAAACATGTATAGTAATAAAATGCACTAAAATTGCAATATTTTGTGATGTGTCCATGGAGTCATAAATAGACACAATGGCCTTGATTTAATATTTTTGGATAAACGTTTTAAATTATTTATCTACAATAGTCACCATTAAAGTAGATGGGGATTTTCATAGATAAATCATTTTCATAGATAAATCATTTGAAAGGTTTATCCAAAAATATTAAATTGAGAGCTATATCAGAGATATAATAGATAGTACCGCTGACCCACTCAGTGTAACATATGGTAAAAAGATGCAGCTTGGAGGTTCCACCAAGTTCTCACCCTGTAAGAGGTATAACAAAATATAAAGATTCTATTCATTTCACAAGCAGTGCAGTTCTTGAACCCCAAGGTCCATACTACCAGTGATAGCAATACTAGAAGTCTTGAATGTTGATTATCTCGCTATATAAATTTCTCCATCTTTGAAAGACAAAAGGTAACAGTGACTTTCATTAACTTCTGTCAAATTGCATAAACATATTGCATATCTTCAGGATTTTCAATTAAAACAAATTAAGCAATTACAATTGTGTATTAGTAGTTTTTTTTCTTCAAATGTTTAATTTTTCCTTTTTTTCTATTTGTGTACTTCGTTATACTGGTTTGGTGGGGTCAGACAGGGTAAATATCTCTTGAATTAAAGCCCACATGATATTATTTGAGTACAAGACATACGAGTTGTCATATGCTTTGCAATCCTGCTAAATTATGACTCCTGTGATGATCTGCCCTACACACTTCAAAAATCAGAGAGGACACCTCCATAGAACGAGGAAGAACGTGGGACCAACCCCCATTTAAAAACAGCCCAGATAGAATTCAAGTGGAGATTTGACAAAAACCTTAGTAATTGTTTCTTGAAAGCCTATTATAGACCAGTTCTTTATCTGATAGACAATATACAAAACATAAAACAAACACACCAAGCAAATAAAAATTCATACATACCTGGGAGGTCACATCCAACATCCAGCCATGCATAAACATGGCAAAAAGGAAATGTTTATCTTCAAAGACAGACAATTTTTGGCTACAGCAACGTTTTATTGGCATTTAGACAACCAACAATTCACATGTTTGTTTGTTTTTATACTGGAGACCAGTTACAATACATAGGGCATCAATCTCCTATTCCCTGCTGGTTTACATTCTTAGAACGCTCACCTCATGAAATTCCTAAATAAAATGTGCAGATTCCTGTACAGAGCACACAGTTTTTTTCCCTTTTACAAAGCATCCATATGTTGTCTGCTATTCGGAAGATGAATATGTAAATTGACTCACTGACACAGTCAGTGTTTTTTTTTTTAAATGGAATGTACTTTTTTCAAATTAGCAAAAAAATTATATAATTTGACTTCCTATTTGTACTTCAGAAGTATTTTTGGCTCACTATAACAATATTGTCACTATTTTAATCTCAAGAAAGGGATGTTTAAGGCATTTTGGTAGAGATCACTTTTTCTTGATATCAAACCGATGTTCCGCTATTTTCATCCTTATCTTCTTCCTGGAAGCGTAAAAATAAGACCATAAATAGTAATAATGCATCGCAAGATTTGTGTATGACAAACTATTTGATAATTCAGCAAGTCTGTGAGGGTCACCAGGAAACTGTATTTACAATAGTAGATCTTTGTGACATGGTAGAACTTTAAACTGATGGGTTCAATGAAGATGCAGGGTTCCATCTGAGACACAACAAGAACTCTCCAGAAAACTATTAGAAGGCACCTTACGTAGAGACTATCTGTACCTTGCAGCTCTCCATAAGAATTATTTTAGTGAAAATGAAAGTATAATTTTATAATAATTTACATAGGCATTCCAATTCATAATAATGTACTTGAGAAGTCACCCAACAAGGCTCTCGCATCCCTCTTTAGATAACTTCACTAGGGTTGGTTGTAGATGATGGGCAAATGTACATTTCACTACAGCTGTTATGCACAAAACAAGAATTAAAAATGTATATACATACAGGTAAACAAAAATCAGTGACCATGTTTGCCACTTTTCCAGTTTTGTTTAATAATTATAAAAATAAATAAAAATGTGTAACTGCATTGTAAAGTTGATTCAAGCTACACTATAGTCACCCCTCTCAATGTTTTTGGAAACTAATGTTTACACTGCAAAGTTAGTTCCTCCTCTATTGGCTGTCATACGAAGAGCCATGAGAGGTGCTTCTGCAAAACATTCAAAATTCTGCATTGGAAAGCATTGCGTTTTACTCTGACTATGCTCGCAGTGCTTGCCGCACATGCGCAATTGGTCCCCAATGAGGAGAACTGGATTGAACCATCCAGGGCCAGAGTTTGCTAGGAGAGGAGAGGTCAGCAGCAAGGGAGCCACTGCTCTGGATCAGGGTGAGTGGAAAAAGTTGTTTTTATTTTTTTGTATCTTTTCAATGCCGAACGGGGGGAAACCTAATACTACTAGAGACAGGAACACTAGAACGTTAGGAAAACAGATTTGTATTCTTAATGTTATAGTGCTCTTTTTTAGCCCCGTACATGTTTTGATTTAAAGAAGTAATTCTACAAGTAGCTTTTGTTTTGTTTTAAAATCAAGAATAGGGATGCACCAAAATGAAATTCAGGATACCTTTGGCCAAAAACCGAAACCGAAAATGACTTTTTTCAATCAGAGGCGGCGAGGTAGCTGTGATCTCCCTGCTCTGCTCCCTCGCGCCCTGTCTAATGATGCCGGGAGCCGGAATATGACGTCATGTTCCGGCTCCCGTGGCATTAGCAAACGGCGCACAAAGGAGCAGAGCAGGGAGATCACAGCTCCCTCGCCGCCTCTGATTGAAACACAGCCGCACGCCTCCCAGCAGCCATTGGGAGAGGAGGCACACCAGGTAAGCCAGAGTGGGCATTTGGGGGGCGGCCTTTTTTGCAGCCCCCTTGTTAGTGCCGCCCAATGCAAATGCCTAATTTGCCTTGGGCTATTTATACACCCCCTTCCCCTGTGTGCGGTATCGCGATTCAAAATTTCAGTGCATCCCTAATCAAGAATTGCGATTAGCGATACATAATTAAATCTACTACAATTTTCTGCCAGGCTAAATGTAGGTAATCAATGGCATTAATATAATCTATTTAGGAGACAACTTGAAAGAAATGTATTGATTTCAAACTTGCAAGATAAGATCTTAATCTACGTTAAGGAGAACAAAAGAAGTCCCCAGCAGATCAGTACTCATATCTTTGGGAGAGGGAGAAGGGCTTGGGGGTGTGTAATATTTTCTTAGATAGGCATATTTATCCAGTAATAAGACATATGACATATGTGGTAATGACTAAATGTAATGTGTTCCAATGACTACCCTTTCAAGAGAGTATGCAAAGAAGCAAGGAAAAGAAAAGGTCTATATACATTCATATTAAAGCCTGTATATAAACATCCAGTGACGGGAAAGAGGTCTGTGAGGAACAGAGTCAGTTAGATTAGTGATTAGTATTTTTAGAGAAACAGGAAAGAAGACACACTGAGAAAGGTAGAAAGTATGACAGTTAGTACCGTCTCTTGAAGCTGGTCTTTCAGAAGTTTATTACACTCTTTTTCCTTAGCTAGTTGTTCCTGAGAGGCCTTCAAAAGACGTAGAAGTTTGGTAGCTGCTTGACCTAAGTCCCGTGTTAGTTTTTTTTCCTTGTCAAGCCTTTCCTACAATATTTTCAGTGAAGCAAGATGGTTAGTTAGGAGGATTCTAATAGGGTTATCCAGAAAATATGGTTAGCAGATTCCAGGATCCAGTCAGTCTTTGTGGATTGTAAGAACCAGTCTCCGCTTATAGCCTTTACTCAGAATGCCTAGTGGATCCAGACATAAAATTTTATGATGTATGTCATCCACAATCTGTGACTGAAACTAACGCACACCGTAGAGAAAATTTGTTATTGGAAGTCATTACTACCATAGTGTTACCAAATCTGAGCAGATGGTTACCACCTGACAGAAGAACAGTAGAAGATATTAAAATCCTAATTAGAAGGATGAAAACATCCATAATCACAAAATACAAACCTTAAGTTCATGTGCTTCTTCTGCCCCTGTAGCGCTATCACCTTCAAATTTTAGCTTCTTCAGCTCTTCCTGCAAACTGAACACCGATTTCTGTTTGGTTTTTCCCCGAAAAAATTGATTTGAGAAAAGGAACAGAAGCGATACGTTTGATTTTATTTATTTTTTTAAACCTTGGTGTGCTTCATATATACACATACATACATATACACACACACACACGCTTATCTACTAAATTGAGCATATATGTAAAATTATTGGAGTGTAAAGATTTTATTTTACCTCTTCTAAGTCATTTGAAATATTCTGCTCTTCGGTTGGCACTTCAGGGTTGGACTGCGGCGTTTCCAACCGAGCCTGTTAAATAAATTAATTAATAAAAGTAAAACAACAAAATGTTAACAGTTTACAACTCCAATAATTATATAAAACCATAAAATAACAACCACATAAGCTCATGAATGAAAGGAATATTTTTTTTTTGGTCGGTTTGGGAAAATGTATTTATGAAAAAATATGCTCCCTACGCACACATTATAGAATACAGGGTTTTTGACCAACGTACAGGAGGAGCTGTGTCGCCATTTAACACTGGATAGATTGGTGTCCATTTGTCTTATTAGAATAGTATTATCGTTATTGAATATAGACAGGGTTATTCACTAAAGTGACAATTCAAAGTGAATTTTACAATAGCCAAACTGGAAAAATTCTCCCATACAGCTTAGCTTCTTTTCCAGCTACTTAGGCCTTACATTTGAAATTCACTCTGTATTGTCCACGTTTCTCACTTTACTGAATACTCCTGACAGTCTGTATAGGTTGCCTAATAAATTACTCATTGGTTTTTTTTCTCAAGATCATTACAAACCTCTTGTTTAATTTGATGTTCCTCTACTGCATGGGTTTCCCTGTCATGCACATGACTTTGCATCTCATGGAGCTGCTGCCTGAGCTGTGAGAAATATCATACACCGACATTAAAAGCCAAAAGAAAAAAAATACAAGAAGAAGAAGAAAAACAAACAAAACATAAAAAAGGCACTGAAAAATACATCTGTAAATCTGAGGATTATTTATTTACAGAGAGAGTTTCTCTCCTATTTATAAGGGAATACAAATAAATATATATATAAATAATCGAGCAGTAAGACTGCAGGGACCTGATCGATACATCAAAACAGTTTCATTAAGCTAACGTTATTTCGGTGCTTATAGTGTCCCTTTGAGGGCTTAAACTAGAAAGATTTATTAAAAGTGCTGGAAGCAGAATACTTAGATTTTAAAACACAATTATACAAATGTAGAAAAATGGTGGAATGAAACCGTGCATGTTACCAGTGATAATTCTTTGCTTTGCTTCCTTGCTTCTACTGTTGTGGATTCCAACTGCTCTTGGGAATCTGATAAGAGCTGTCGCAGCTAATGCACACAATAGAAAAAAAATAAACGTTATAGAGTTTTGTAGCAAGTTAAAGGAACACTATAGTCACCTAAATTACTTTAGCTAAATAAAGCAGTTTTAGTGTATAGATCATTCCCCTGCAATTTCACTGCTCAATTCACTGCCATTTAGGAGTTAAATCACTTTGTTTCTGTTTATGCAGCCCTAGCCACACCTCCCCTGGCTATGATTGACAGAGCCTGCATGAAAAAAAACTAATGGTTTCACTTTCAAACAGATGTAATTTACCTTAAGTAATTGTATCTCAATCTCAATCTCAATTGAACTTTAATCACATACAGGAGGCTCTTGCAGGGTCTAGCAAGCTATTAACATAGCAAGGGATAAGAAAATCTTAATTAACCCCTTAACGACACATGACGGAAATATTCCGTCATGATTCCCTTTTATTCCAGAAGTAGTGTCCTTAAGGGGTTAAACAGAACTTGCAATAAAGAAAGCCTAAATAGGGCTCTCTTTACAGGAAGTGTATATGGAAGGCTGTGCAAGTCACATGCAGGGAGGTGTGACTAGGGTTCATAAACAAAGGGATTTAACTCCTAAATGGCAGAGGATTGAGAAGTGAGGCTGCAGGGGCATGTTCTATACACCGAAACTGCTTCATTAAGCTAAAGTTGTTCAGGTGACAATAGTCTTTTTTTTTGTGTGTGTGTGTGTGTGTGTGTCAAATACAACCAAGATAGCTGAATACACTGGCTATGAGGACAAAGTGCCAACAGCCAAACAGCATAGAGGAGAGACCAATAGCCAATCAGTAGTTAGATAATCAACAACCGACCAATCCTTACAATTACTTGGGGAAAAGTACCTAACACATTGCTTCATTGGAGGTAGGGCTATGTTTGGGTGATGGGGTTTCTCCCAATAATGATGTTGTAGAGGCAAAATAGGAAATGCACAAAAAAAGATAAAAAATCATTGTAATAGTTATTTGTGTTATGTGAAATTATGACACAAAAAAACCTAAAATGTTTACTGCTGGTGTTTTATGGTTAATGAGTTATTAATTACATTTAAAACTAAACTGCTGTTGGGGTCATGTAAACATATTTAACAGCAACATATTGTTAGAAATATTGATATAATATTAAATGCAATGCAGTTTTACCAAAATCAATGTTCATTTTAATTAAAGGTAGAGTATCCATGCAAAACCTGTGTGGGGAAGACGATTACCCAAAACATGTAATATCCATCATAACGTGCACACACCATGTTAATTTACATTTCATAGGTCCCGTAAAATACCTACAATCTCTACTTCCTTTGAGTAGTTCTGACATTCTGTGCTTGCAGAGTTCATCTGAGTTTCCAGCTGTGCCTCCATGAGGGAGATGCATTCTTTTAACTATAAACATTTAAATATTCAGAGAAAAACAACTGGCTTTATTTGCGTGCAAGAAAAGAAACATCTGTTTTTTTTTCCAAAAAATAAAAAGGAAAGAAAAATGCTTTGAAGTGGGGACAACATAATCTGGAACAGTGTAAGAAGATGCCTTATAGAGATCACGAGAAGGCTATTTCTTAAAATAATAATATTTATATACAGACAGATAGCGGCCAACCACATATTTAACCCCTTAAGGACTGGACTGTTTTTGCGATGTTGTACATTTGTGACCAGGCTTATTTTTACACTTTTGTGGTGTTTGTGGTTGGCTGTAATTTTCCGCTCTCTCATTTACTGTTCCCATACAAATTATATATTGGTTTTTTTCAGGACAAAAGGGGCTTTCTTTACATACCATTATTTATATAATCTCATGTATTTTAATTTAAAAAAAATAAAATATGATGAAAAATTGAAAGAAAATACATGTTTTGACTTTTACTTGAAAAATCTTCTACTCATCTACAAAAGCGAATGAAAAAAACTGCTAAATAGATTCAAAATTTTGTCCTGAGTTTAAAAATACCCAGTGTTTACGTGCTTTTTTTTGCATGTTATAGGGCTATAGGTACAAGTAGGATATTGCGGTTTCAAAACATACATTTTAAAAATTTATCAATAGTGACATTGTAACACTATTATCTGTCATAAATCTCTGAATAACACCCAACATGTACATATTTTTTTTAAAGTAGACAACCCAGGGTATTCAATATGGGGTATGTCCAGTCTTTTTTAGTAGCCACTTAGTCGAAAACACTGGCCAAACTAAGCATTCATATTTGTTTGTGTGTGAAAAAAGTAAAAAAAATAAATTAAATGCTAATTTTGGCCAGTGTTTGTGACTAAGTGGTTACTAAAAAAGACTGGACATACCCGTTTGCAATACCTTGGGTTGTCTTCTTTTGCAAATGGTATGCCATCATAGGGGTAATTCTCATTCCTGGGCTACCATAGGCTCTCAAAGGCAACGTAACCAACCTGGCCATTTTCATTGTAAAAATATTTGACCCATATATTTGACCCTGTAACTTTCAAAAATGCTATAAAACCTGTACATGGGGGGTACTGTTTTACTCGGGAGACATCGCTGAACACAAATATTAGTGTTTAAAAACTGGAAAACGTATCACAACAATTATATCATCAGTAAAAATGCTGTTTGTGTGTGAAAAATGCAAAAAAAGTCACTTTCACTGACAATATCATCGCTGTGATATGTTTTACTGTTTTGAATCACTAATATTTGTGTTCAGCGAAGTCTCCCGAGTAAAACAGTACCCCCCATGTACAGGTTTTAGGGTTTCGTAGAACGTTACAGGGTAAAATACAGTGCTAGCAAATTAAATTCTCTGGACTTTCGGCCTGGGTTGGCAGGCAGGTCCCTCAAATTGCAATCAATAAAATTACTGAATTATGTAAAAATATTACATAAATACGCACGTAGAATTTAAATATATATGCATATTTATATATTTGAAATCTACGTGTATATTTATATAATTATTTATGTAATTTTGTATATGGACATATGTATATTTCTTATTATTTTTATTTATTTTTATATACATAGATATATATACAAATTCATTCTAAGTGTATTTTGATATAAATATATATATATATTAATTTTAAAATACAGTTAGAATAAAATTTCATATAGATATAATTTTTTTCAATTTTTATTATTTAAAAAAATTTAATTTAATTTAAATTACTTATTATTTATATTTTATAATAATATATATATACAATATATATAGTTATTATATATATTTGTGTGTAATTTAATTATAAGTGTATTTTTATATTAATATATGTACATATTAATATAAAAATACACTTAGTATGACATTATATATACGATATATAGACATATTATATACATATAATATATGTCTATATGTCATATATATATAAACACATATAATTTTTTTTATTTTTTATTAACATTAACTTTTTTATTTTTTTTTATTTTACACTAGCAGGGAGAGTCCCCCTGCAGGCAGACACATGGACACCTATTGTGACCATGTGATCGCTCTGTTGAGCGATCACATGGCCACAGGGGTCCTAATCCGCCATGGGGAGACTGTCTGGGCTGCAGGCAGTCTCCCCACACCTGGAGCAACGCTGATCGCCGCCGGGGGAACGACGGCGATCAGGTAAGTAACTAGGACCGTTAGGACGGTTCAGGACCGTCATCGGTCGGCAATGGAAAAATGCAGATGACGGCGGTCCTGAACTGTCCTCGGTCCTGAAGGGGTTAAAGGAACACTCCAAACATGGCGAAACCTTATGATCACTGTACAGGATGGGGGGCAAGGTCCCTCTGTCCCAGCCTCTTTGTACATAACTGTTCAGAATTGCAACCATTTGCAAAAATTGCTGCAGTCATAAGCAAGCCCTTTATCCTTCTGACGTCAGGGTAAACTATTTGGAGAAATTCATAATGTTAGATGGGGAGTGGGGACTGGATCTGCAAAGCCTTTGTAGGCGCAATCCAGGCAAGTTCAACTCTAGCTATCTAAGGATATACGAGCCAGAGCTCCGCGCGTGCATTCATAGTCCGCGACCAAGGCAAATTCTCGGTTTAATCCCATTCACAAAGAACTGGTAATGCGACCGTCAAAGGGTGATTCGCAGCTGTGGTATGGCTACCAACATCTTATCAGATGAATTAAATTCCTGCAGAGGCTTTAATACATATCCCATAAACTGCTGCTGAACTGATGTGCATGGAATAAGATTAAACCCTATAGACAAGAAGGAGATACTGATTGGAAGAGCCCTTTTCCTGAACTTTCTCCTGCTTCTGCATTATTGTACAAGTGCAACTCTAGAATGGAGCATACATATTGATTGTTTAAAATGGTGAGAATACAATTTATTTTTTTTACATAATTTTTTCTGCAGTTTCTGCACAACTCTCTGTAGAATGCATGAACTTGGAGTGTCCATGTATTGGATGTAAATCTGTGTTTAAAATATCATGTCATTCAAAACAGAACAAATAATAGCAATTTATCATACCTGATCTGTGCTTTGAACATCTAACTTCAGTTTTTCCACTAAGTCTTCTAGAGATTTCACCTGGATTTGGGACTGTAAAAAAAAAAAAAATTGTAAAAATAAATAATAAGTTAAATCAAATAATGTCAAAGCCTAGTGTACTCCCCAAAATGAGATGGTATCGGTGTTGGTAACTTACTACATGTGACCATAATTAGCACTGAAAAGCCAAATGAGGATTCCTATAATTTACAGTATCGCTTTCCAGTACCAGGAATCCAATCTCATTGTAGAATCAGAAATCATCAGTAGTACATATAAAATGGCAAGCCTCGAACTGTAGCTGGTTTAGTAAATAAGTTTAAGACCAAAAAAACTTTAAACATACTTTGTACTGTGACTGTATTATAATAAACCGCAAATACTTTCAACACACAATAAACACAATATATTCAAATCAAGTTCCTTAAGGTAGTCTGAAACAAGCAGCCATGGATATACCCTTCTGGTTATATTATATTATATCATGGGGGGTTAGAAAGAAGGGAAGTCTTCAGTCTTTTCCTGGTTAATAGTGTGTTCTGGAAAAGCCAACTCAAGATGGTAAACTCATAAATAAATAGTCCAACAAGTCCAAGATGGTCAGCATGTGTGCACAAAATAAATTGTGCAAGACAAAGATTCGTTTCAGAGAGGGGTTAAATAAGATGGAATTTAAATAAAATGCGCACCTTCCTGAGCTCCTCTTCAGACTCTGTAAGCTTCACTTTCCACACCTGTTCTTCTTGTTCCACACTCTTCTGAAGGTCTTTGAGCATCCCTTCCTAAATAAAAATTTGAAGAAAAAAAAAAAGGTTATAAAAGGACAGCGTGAAAAAAGAGACAGATCTGCACTATGCATAGTGTTTGCCTATCTGCATTTACATGTGTGCCATTGAATGTGCAGTGTTCTATGGGGATAAGCTTCAAATTCCAACTCACCGTCTCAGCGAGAATGGTTCTGTACTGCTCGCATTCTGCTTGTACTGTATTGTGTGCTTCTTCTGTCTCTTTTAGTTTCAGCAATAATTCCTACAAAGAAAGAGAATATTAAATTACAGATATAAACATTGATCATTATATTCTATAAGATTTCTGATTTCTATATACCCAATCACACGATTGTCTGTAGAATATGATTCGTGACAGTTTTTGTTCTACATTTGCACATACCAGACAGCCAATTCACACAATTACTCTAGCGGCAGTAATGCTATTTTTTCAAAGTCATTTTAACGTGTTTCAAACCTACGCCCTCCTGTGTTGGGCTGAACTTTGGTGATCCTATAATGTTAGACATGGACTGTAAACATTTCATCTTCAACCCAAGACCTCGATATAATGTTGTTGGATAAGCTTTCAAAATTATTTTTATTATTATTTTTTTCAACACATTACAATATAAAAACATAGATAATAAATATCAGCATGTAAAAAAAAAATATATATCAAAATATTACAAAAGTTTAACATTTTTCACAATATTAAGCAATTTTAAAAGTTTACTCAAAATTATTAAGTCATTTGGAAACTTAACCAATAATATTAAAATTGAGACCTAAATCACTCTCCAGAAATTTAAACACACCTTGCCAATAAGTAATGGTTACTGCAGAACATGCGCTTGACACACAGGAGTTTGTAAAATGTATGTTTCACTCAATCTAGGCATATTAAAAATATGTGAAGTGAAAGTCTGCCATCTGCTGGCTTTGAAAAGCTAGGACCGCCTTTGTAATAATGTCTATTTGGTGTTTGAGGTATTCGTTCTGTAGCAATGCAGAGTCCAATCTGTCCTTATAATGTCAGAGTTAATGGTCCAGTACTTACAGATGAAGCTGTATTTTCAGATTGTTGGCTCAGAACGCCCGATGACTTTTCCCTGAACTCCTGTAACCATTCACTGTATGACTGTTAAAATGAACAAGAGAAGGATTCAGTTCAGGACTTCAGAATTTGCTTTATACGCTGACCTTGCAAACTGCATTTTCATTTTTATTCCCACTTATACTCAAGGAAAGAAAAAAATAAATCAGTGACATAGGGAGATGCCCATTTTCTTGTGTAAAGTCTCTCAATACACCTCAGAACCTAGATTAAAAGGCTGCTCGAAGCACATTAACCACCACCATTTAGGAGCATTTGGACAAAAACCTTAGTTCTTTTCTGCTCCCAGAACCACCACCATCCCCTACTCATCTGCAATGACAACGCAGAGTTTACACTTCTGCATCGCCAACATACATTTTTGTCCTATCGTACCAGCCAGTTAGAGAAGTGGTAAACTTGCTGCCTTAGTACTTGTAAACCCAGGAAGACCACATTAACTGTAAGTGTCATTGTGCAAGACACCCAACAATATATATATATATCCACTTACTTCACATTCTTGTAGATTGTAAGCTCATTTGAGTAGAGCTTTCTACATCTCTTCCCCTTTCTAGAATTGTAAAGCAATTTTATACTCGCCTTTTCTGGGAAAGTAATTCTGGGCCAATACAGATACAAAATGTAGAGGAAGAATACTAAAACTCTCAACTGAGGAAGATTACATCAGAATTGTGTATGATAGAATTCCTTCCAAAATGACCCAAAACGGCCATGACAGCTCCTGATATAGCATTCAATTGTTCAGATGGAATCAGATTTCCAAATAATTGAATAAAAAAATACTTTAAAAAAAAAACAAAAACAAAAAAAACAAATGTGGGGGCTCATGGAATGCTTTTCCCATTTGCTGGCACCATAGACAGCAACACGGGGGAGGAGGGTTGAAAATAATCCCCAGTGGTGACATGATAAAATGTATAACGTTTCCTAGCGTAAGGAACATTCAGCTGTTTCCATTAAGCCAGCTTTATCTCAAGATGAATTAAAATGGAGACAGCTACCACTCAGACATCTATGTCCCAGTTCTGCCCAGGTTAATGACCCCCAAACTGCACAGCGTTGAATCATGTAGTATTCCTTGTGCGTATGGGATTCTAAAACATGATCTGTTCAATGTAATAAAAGGCAGATAAAATAAAAAATAAAGCATACACACAATGAAAAAGTACTATACCTGCTGTGATTCTACAGTAACCTGGGGAAATAAGGATCTTAATGTTTCCTTTGTCTCTGTTTGAATTTCATTCAGCTGTTGTTCTATACTTTCCTGGAAATGGAAACAGCAACATATAAACATCTTAATATATATCGTTTAAGGGACTATCAGCCATAAAACTCATATTTAACTTAACTGCAAATTAAACGGTATTTGATCAGTGCATTATCAAACTAAATATGCTACCAGCATTCAGCACACTTTGTCCCAGTTCACGAATGCTGTAACATAGGCTGAAAAAGATTTCATGTCCAATAAATTCTGCTTTAGGTCTGATAAATGAGTAATGCCAATGAAAAGCTTTCAGTTCTCTCAGGTGTAAAGTTCCTTATAAAAGGTTGCGGTTTATCAAAAAGAGGTCAAAATAAGAAATGCCTTCTGGTTATCCACTAACGTGGGAAATGTCAGGAATTCAAAGTGAATTTCAAATGTAAGGCCAACTAGTAAAACTTGAATTTTTCTACTTTATTTAGCCTTAAAGGAACATTCCATGCACCCTAATCACCAGAGTTCAAAATTCATTTTAAATTTAAAGGGACACTTAAGACCTGCAGTGTAGGGCTTAGGTCATTGGCTGAGAGCCTACAGCTGATACTCTCTACCTGCACTTTCCATGGAACACTAATAGTCACAGTACAGTGACAGCAGTTAATGTTTTAATCTAGATCATTGATGTGCAGGTACAGACCACATAGTAATGTGACTTATGGAGAAAAAAAAACAACCTTTGTGTATATAGGAATGACGATGAATAGAGGGGCATCAAGCCATCAAGCACAAGGCCAGATTGTATCTCCGGTTTATTTCACCTTTATTGTCTTCTCAGAGTTCCATTTCTCTTCCCACGTTTTCTCAGACTTGCCCAGTGCATCCATTGCTTGCCAATTCTTCTCTCGCAGATCCTTGAAAACAATAAATTGTGTAACATTTTAGTATTTCTTGAAGGAGGATGACTGCCAACAATTGTGAAAGCTGTAGACCAACGTAAAATTATTTCCCAATGCCCTCAAAGGATTCCCAACTGGAATAACATCATTACAGAATTCTAAACCAGTTTCCTGGCACAAGTCACCTCAGAATGTGCCACGAGTACATTGACTTCAGGGCTGCAATAGGTTGAATTTTTTTTTGTATACGTGCCAGCATTAATTGTGATTCCAATACAGCAATTAAAACGCGCAAGTCAATTTAGCTAGAATCACCAGCTATAAATGCTGTATCAGTGTCTAGTAAGGCTGCTTGTAAACATGACATTTAGAATCTGCTGCTTAAGGTTTAAAAAAAAGAAATAAAAAAAGTAGCTTTGCCTTTGAACGATTTCTCCTGTTAAAGTGTGCCTTGGTGGAAAATAACATTGTGAACAACATATTTTTCCAGTCTTGCGGCTTATGATCTTTGCAAACGTATCTTACAGATCTGCATTATTAATATCATTTCCTTCCTAACTGGACAGCAGTGATAGGCTCTGAGGGCTGGGGACAAGTTAGACCAGAGCACTTTGTCACTGCCTTCCAGTGTGAACAGAATTAATGCTGCAAATGTGGAAACGTAAATTCTACATCATCAATGCAGCAGAGCAGGAGGTAGTCTCTGGGTGTTGGGGGAGCCTCAAAAGCCCCACTGTATATCACAAAGTTCTCAAATAGCTTGATGATAAAAAAAAAAAAACCAACCATCACCTCTTAGTAGCATAACCACTACATTGTGTTGTAATGATTTTGTTGCTTATAAATTAACTGAACAAAACTGTCCATACATAGTTAAATTATTAATATCTTAAAACTGCAAACTTACATTGTTTTTATTTTTCTGCTGTTCAATTGTGTCCTTTAATTCCACAATTTCCTTTTCGAAGGTAGAAATCTGTTCTTCACTTTTTTGAAGCCTGACAATGACAATTATAGAACAATGAAACAAGAGCACAGGAATAATTAATATTCAGTAAAAGCCCTATGCAGACATCTAGTTTGCAAGATTTACCTTAATATTGTGCAGATTGTGAAAATTGTCATACAATGTGTAGCATATAAATCGATTAATCAATCAAGAAGACATTAAAATTCTCAATTTAATTTCATCATATTGTATATGAATACTACACGCACATAGACATGCTCTGCTGTCCGTCAACCTCAATTTTGAAAGGTTCCAGGAAAACAGTGACAACCCTAGATATTTCACTGGGAAACCTTAACCAATGTTCCAGGACGGCTACCAATCCAGGTCTTATCAGCAGACCTAATTTAATGCTAGTGAATAAATCTGAAATTCGTTACCTTTGACTGTCCTTGATCACAGTTTAGGTTTAATAGCATTTTATTGTCATGAAGAAGAGAAAAAATGAAAATACAGGATCTGAAGACCACATGCAGATAAATACAAAAGGATAACAGCCCAATGATGTCCAATAATAAAGGCATCATTGCATACCGCTATACTCTAGTATTTTGGCTTTATATTAAACATAAGCACTCGTGCACAAATTCAGAAAGAAAAAAGCTAAATTAAATAAGTAATTTGAGGAGGAAGAACCCACAGCACACAGTGGGGGACCTAGGTAAGAGAGCAAACCGTTACTGGGAAATGGAGACAGGTTACTGGTAAGGATGCTTGGAGAAACCCTTTAAACGGAATTGCTGGTTGAAGGATTGAACACTCTAATGTAACAGAAGAATCTATGCCAAGAGTTCATAAATGGAATACATTGTAGCAGGTCACATAATAATGATACAAATTTAAAAAAGCGCAGTATCAATATTTTTTATGTACAGGCCGTATGCCGGTGTACGTACAAGTTCATGGTACATTTTAGCAATTTGTGTTCTTACCTGGCTTGCAGCTGTTCAATTTCAGCAGCTTTACTTTCCTATACAATTACACAAACAGAGGAAAATAATTGTGCACACTATAACTGAAAAGCATTCTCCAATAAAAAGTGTTCCTTTTATTCCCATCAAATACAACAGTGTATTTAAAATTGTATTAGTATATAAAAGCATGCTTCATATACTCTGCTGCTACATTTGTTCATACAACAGTAAAGGTCATTTTTGACTAATTAATTAAAATGAACAATATAGACATAAAAACGATTACATTAGCAACAAAAATTATAATACACTGTTGTTGCAAGAGTTTTCCTTTACCGTGCCTTAAATAACCCTTTAAAAATTATAAATGATGGAAACATATAAAAAAGTAGCTTGGATTTTGAATATCTTATATAAATAAACAACTCCTCATTCTCCAAACCAGAGAATTGTATATACCAACAATCATTGTATTTGCTCTGCATTTATTCCTTTGAAATTGTTCGTTGCCAGAGTGCACAGCGGCATAAAATACTAAAAATTCTCCTTCGATTTAGCTACGAATCGTCACATTATATTGTTGTCATTTGCATGACACCTATGTACACAAGTGAGAATTATAAATAGCTCCATTGCCTTTTTGATAAAAGGTTCTTCCACATAACATTTAGATTATAAAACATGCCTACTGAGGTATGCTAAAGTTTATACATTTATATTTCTACTACACCCTTTTATTTTTACAACACATAATATTTCCACTAGACAGGATTAGCTGATATTTTTTTTTTAAACAAAACTATAGAAAATGATTCAACATTGAAGCTTTTACAATTTATGCTCCTAAAATGCATGCATAAAAAATGTGTTCAACACCAAAAGGGACAGTAACAGGTGTAAAGAACTTGGCACTAGGCAAGTGTGACCACATGTTCCCTGTAAACAAGGATATACACTGATCAGCCATAACATGAAAATCACTGACAGGTGAGGTTTTCCTGGTATGCAGTGGTTAGTGCAAGGAAGGCCAACCGGTGAACCAGTGTCAGGGTCATAGGCGACAAAGGCTCAATGATGCACACAGGGAAGGCTAGTCTGTCTGGTCCGATCACACATAAGAATTACTGCTGCTCAAAAAGCTGAATAATTTAATGCTGCCCATGATAGAAAGGTGAAAGGGGAATGTTATCCCGAATTCAGCACAAAAGTCTTGCAATCCTTAATGCATGATTTATTAATGGATTCAAGGGTTACAGGTTTCAGAAGTGTCCCAGATTAAAAGGATCTCTGTAGTTGCCCTAGTGCAGTAATGGCTTAATTTTAAGGCAGTTGAGCATCTTGGCAAATATAGTTCACAAATATCTGGGTTCTAAGATCCGTGAGTAGGTGATTTTTTTTTTTTTGTAACTAAAACAAACACCCTTGAATTGACACGTTACTCGTTTCTTACTTGTTGTTGCTGGTCTGTTTCTGTATCTTTGCTCTGTCCAGCTTCCAGCAGAGATTCAATAGATTTTATCCTTTCATTCAGTTTGACATTCTCACTTGTAACATCCTGAAGTTTTTGGTTTAGCCTGTCTGTCTCATCAGTCTTCTGCTTGCTTTCAGATTCATATGACATCAATTTAGTCTGAAGATCTATCAGAAAAGAGGAAATCACAAAAATATTAACTTTTTATATTGTCAATCAATATGTACAAGACCAACAAGGCCAAGAGAATTTTAAAGTGAAAGATATAAATAAGAAACAAATAATTTTGAGGCGCTGCACAAACTACACCACCTATCAGTGAAATAACTACGTGGCTTTGGGCTGGTACACATCTGGAACGCAAACACTATGCTATGTCTTCTTTTGTAACAATCTACAAGCTGGAAGGTGAAAGATTTAATGTCCAGCAAATAGGACAAAGGGAATATGGTGGGTTTAATGGTGTCCAGAATTTCAAATCCAGGGTTTGACACAAGAACACATGTAAACTGATATATGTTGATGATGATTTTTGGGAGGGCAGGGGGCATAATAAAAACCTTACTGTATGGTTATTTGTATAGGATTAAAAATATTTTTTTAAAAATTAAACAGGTAAATGTACATAGCAAATCTAAATTAAGAAAAAAAAATTAAATACATTATAAAATAGTTTCAAATGCGCACACACTATGTAATTAATGTTTCAAATTTTCTATAAACAAATAAATAAAGTTTGTTTGACTCTAGCCAAGTGTAACAATACATAATATTAACTCATGATAGAGTTTTAAAAGTTCTGAGAAAACAGGACAGGTGAGACATTTCACGTACAAGCATCACTGACTGTACAGTTCAGGATAGAAGACTAACTTTCATTACTAAGCAAATACTGTAAATGTCATGAAGTGGCGTGTGACAATATGTGACTAACACAAGAAATATGATCAATTCAAAGTAAATGAAATTAACTAGGTTAAACCAGATTCCTCACTACCACAAACTAAAAGATGCCGTACAGGCATGTTTGCTCTCTTTTTGGTTCCTCCAGGTCAGATTCTCACCTGCCATAGATTTCTGTTGTTCTTTGGCATTATCAGAATCTGACAGTAAGCTTTTATAACTGCTCTGCGACTTGCGCAATTCCTCATTCACTTCATCCAATCGCTTCTGCAAAGTGGCTTCACTCTCCTGCTGTAACGTCTAGAAAACAAAATAAAAAGCACAACAGATAAATGTATTAGCAGTCGAATAAATATTCCTTGAGGTTTACATAGCCCCGTGATCTTTTTACAGCATACAAAAAAAAAACCACAAGGTGCAAGAGAGAACTGAGCTCTCAAGCTCACGCAGCTTTCCCATTGGTGGGTCCCTGCTAGGATCTAAAGGTGGTTTTAGCCAATCTTGCGCCATCACAAAAAGAACAAGAGCCACATGCATTTCAGACTGACCCCACCCAAAAGGGCAGTCCAGATCCAAAACGCAGGCTGGCTTTCTCTGCACAAGTGATACAGCAAACCCAGACAATCATTTCAGCCTTGTTAGGCATTGTCAGTAAGGAATATCACATACCCCTCTAGGCTACATGAGCAAGAATACAGGTCATCACTAGTATTAATAGGTCAGTCATATACATAGCTTGTGGTGACACAACGGCATGCTGTCTAAACGCTAAAGTGTTCTGAAGGATACTCTGCAGGTGGAGGGGGGGGGGGGATGTACAGAACTGTAGATATTAGCAATATAATAAATCTATATTTATACTTATCTAAATGTAGAATATTACAAATTGAAAACCATAAACTATGAAGAATTACATATCTGCCGGCATCTTCACAGATCATATCAGATGGAAAAATGCTTGGCCAGCTGGCTATATTTCCCTTCAGTTTATGGGGTAGATAGCTACCTACTCATTGTGGTGAAAATGTATCCCAGAGGTAGACAACCTTCGGCACTCCACATATTGTGGACAAGATCCCCCCGATGCTTTGCCAGTATTATTGCTGTAAGAGCATTATGGGAGATGTAGTCCATATCATCTGGAGTGTCGCAGGTTGCTTGCCCTGGATTACTGTAGCCAATAGAAACCCGGAGACAACATGCCAAAATGACATTCCATTATAAGTAAACATCTTCACTGGCAAAGGAAACAAATGTACTGGTTCATGTCTGATGGTAAATCATTTAGCAACACAATTGTGAAAAGGTATTTATTTCCAAGGAAAGTGAAATGGCATGGAATATTGGAATATTACTGACATTTTAACAAAGAGTTTTTATTCCTCTGCCATCCTTTCACCTGCAGATGTTTGCTCATTTTACAAGCTGCAAAGGAAATTAAAGAGTAATCTGCAATTCAAAGCAGATTTGTTTTGAATGTCCTCTATTCAGAATCCAAAATTTGCAAAAAAGCTAAATTTGAGTTAAAAAAAAAAAAAGAGGGATTTTTTTTCTAGATGTGATTGTCCTTGGATTCCGAGAATCTGAGTTGTATCTCTAGCATAGAACCATTCCTGCAAACCATGGCTGAGGGTATAAGTATCCACATAAAGAAAGGAGGGGGGGTGGAGGGGGGAATGGGCAATCCGAAAGATGGGAGGAGGCATTAATCAATCAGGTATGGAATTATAGGATAGTATCTGAATGTCTGATCTATGGATTTCTTTATACTCAGTAAGATAAAGACTAAATGTAGGTCAAAGATCTGTCTGATTTCCATTCCATGGCTCACAGGGGGGAATGGGTAATCCGAAAGATGTCCCGAACGGTTCGTCGCGGACTCATCGTTGAGCAAACTTTGACCCTGTACCTCACAGTCAGCAGACACATTCCAGTCAATCAGCAGCAGACCCTCCCTCCCAGACCCTCCCACCTCACAGGAGGGTTTTTTTTTTATCATCAAGCTATTTGAGAACTTTGTGATATACAGGAGGTGGGAGGGTCTGGAAGGGAGGGTCTGCTGCTGATTGACTGGAATGTGTCTGCTGACTGTGAGGTACAGGGTCAAAGTTTGCTCAACGATGAGTCCGCGGCGAACCGTTCGGGACATCACTACTGGTAAAGCTTTACACCACCAACCTCTCATGGGTCTGATGGGACAGACCACATTTAGGACCTTGGGTGTACCATATCCAGAGACATCAGAGAGAAAACCCAAAAACAGCATGCAATAAGTATTGGAACTTTATTACACTATTCCAGACACTAGAGCTGCAGGACAGCAGCGCAATTCTTGACCATACAGAAGTGCTTTCATTGCACACTATCTAGCCCCTCTTTTGGTCACTTGCATAAGTACCAAATTTTGATTCTTCCTTTCTGACCATCATGTCCCCAATAATGAGTTTTAAAAGAATTTGTCAACAAAGCTGTCTCTATTATCCTATACAAAGAGCTGACCTAATAAGTTTTATTTAAAGTGCAGAATGCAAAAGCAGGGAGGACATTCCTGTGAATTACCTGTAACTGGGAGACTTGCTTCTCATAGCCGGCTATTTTAACATCCAATGTCTTCCTGCGTTGTTCCTCTTGCTGCAGAGAGTCCGATTTTTCACCAAGTTCCTTAGTCAATTTGCTGCATTCCTGACGGAGTTTGGCCAACTCTGCATTTTGTCTAGAAGTGAAATAGTGTTACTGCTGTGTGAGAGATTGCAAATGTATTTTCACAGTATTTCAGCACAATAATATATGTCAGCCAATAGTCAGCAGAAAAAGAAGCAAAAACAAACTCACAGCAAGGAGAGAATGTTTGTGAACCCATCAAAATAACTTGTATTCCTTCCTTGAGGAAACAAGGAATATTGAAGCGTGCTACTTAAAGGACCACTCTAGGCACCCAGACCACTTCAGCTTAATGAAGTGGTCTGGGTGCCAGGTCCCCCTAGGATTAACCCTTTTTTTTTATAAACATAGCAGTTTCAGAGAAACTGCTATGTTTATGAATGGGTTAATCCATCCTCCAAATCCTCTAGCGGCTGTCTCATTGACAGCCGCGAGAGGCGCTTGCGTGCTTCTCACTGTGATTTTCACAGTGAGAGCACGCCAGCGTCCATAGGAAAGCATTATGAATCCTTTCCTATGAGACCGGCTGAATGCGCGCGCAGCTCTTGCCGCGTGTGCGCATTCAGCCGAATGGGAGGAGAGAAGGAGAGAAGGAGGATCGGAGGAGGAGGAGGATCCAATACAACTTCAAACAAAGATACTATCACCTCCTCACTTTAAGACTGGGCCAGGTAATTCATCTAAACATTTTTTTTTAATTTAGTTTAAAACATTTCCATGTCCATAAAGCATTCTTCCAACACCTAAATGTATTATCAGAGGGTTCTTTTACGAACATCCCCTTACCATTTATGTACAATTTCAGTTTCTGTAAATAAACCCCCAAAATTCTCATGTTATTAGAGTACATTTCCATTGTAGCTTAATAGAATGCAGAAATCTCAAGTCAATACATACAAAGTTTGACATAGTTAGAAGCATTTCTTAATGCGATAGTTCACATATAGTAGGATGTTATTATTACTTTCTTATTTGTTATCAGGAAATTATTAGTTTTTCAATATTTGCAGCTATTTATACAGTATCTTGTCAAGATAGACATGACACAAACTTGATTATTACAGACGAAGTCACATAACTGCAAAACTATGAACGTTTTAACTTAGAACTGCAGTCCTAAGTCTCAGAGCAACTGCCTTTTTTTGTCCTGTTTTAAAGCTAGCTTTATATCAGACCACTTAGAAGCGGTTTAACAAGAAAAAAAAAAAAAAAAAGACACATTGATAATAAAGAATTAACACTTTAGCATAAACAATATGGTGGACGACCATGGTTGGTTAATAGTGCTCGGTTAATCCACTTGGGCACAGGTTGGACCAAATTTAAATGCGGTCATATTAATTTGGCATTCCCAATGTGACTGAAGAGGGGGAATTGTCTGAGTGCCCTGGGTTTGTCAAGCTGTTCCCAAATGACATAAAATTGAGGAATGGCACCGAAAGCTATTGACAATATAGCCAATATAGAAAGTCGTAGTGTTTAGGTCACATAGAGTGCCATTGTGTAGTATCACTAATTTCAATGAGGAAAGGGTGGTTTATACAAAAGTAGATATATTATTATTGTTATAGATTCCCTTGATGTTGAATTTCTTAGAAATGCAATTTTGCTGGGGGGGGGAGGGTGGGTGGTTTGCTTGTCTTTTGTTAAGTAAAATAAATACTTACTTGCTCTCGGTTTGGCTAGTGGCTTGGTTTAGAGCATCCCTCAGGATAGAATTCTCCTGCTGCAGACGAGCGAGCTGTGCTTTGGGTCCATTCTCGATTTCTTCTTGAAGGTTCCGAATCTGAGTAAGAACAAAAGAAAACCCATTTTAAAAAAACACTAAAGCAAAACTGGAACTTGAAAAGCAACCTCTTGACTTCAAACCTAAATAACATGAAAGCAATAGCTACTAATGAATCATCAAAAAACTATTGAACTATAGTGCTCAAGGTATCCTAAAAATTTACCCTAGGTGAGTAATTAGACCTGCAATTCATTACTCTAATCTGATCTAAAATAAACTAGAATACTGAAGTGCACCAGCAATCTGTACTTGGGTTTCTGATGTTTGGGCCATAAACTTCTCATTTCAATATGCTCTTACACATTAGTGGACAATGGATCCCAGAGGTAGACAACCTTTGGCACCCCGCATATTGTGGACAAGATCTTCCCTGATGCTTTGCCAGCATTATGGGTGTAAGAGCATTATGGGAGATGTAGTCCAAAACATCTGGAGTGCAGACGGAGTTAGTCATGTTGAGTTTTTAATGTTTCTTTTCTTAATTAAGAAAGATGAAAATGCCTTATTATAGTATGTATGCAGCTTACTGTCGATAATAAATATATTAATAATTGGATTATCTTCAGATCAAAATGGCTTGAATATTTATCCAGAACAAATAAGAATGGTCATCCTCAAATGTGTAAGCAGTTGGCAAAGTTATCCGTGCTTATCTTGGGGTTGTTCACTAAGCAAGTTATGGACTATATAAGACGGAGGTGCCCAAAAGTTAGATCCCCAGATGTTCTAAAACTACAGCTTTCATGATGCTTTATCGTTCTAAAGGTATTCTAAATGGGAGTGGTAGTTCTACAACAGCTGATCTAAAAGGAAGCAATTCTCAAATCAACTTCTGTACTCACATAAATTGCCAGACTTGGCACCTGTACTGTCCTGCAAGGATATGATAAGTTACAATGCCTGTGCACAGATAGACTGCATCAGAATCGAAGCATTTCCACCTCAAAACATAAGCAGTAATATAGCAGCACCTTGTTTGGGAGTATAGATTTCGTGCTGTGTTGTTAATCTGCTAATTCTGAAATGTATTAATTTTATTACACTATTGGGAGCTGGCTTGTGCACTTTTATTTTCAGCTGATTTCTAATATATAAAGGAGAGAATGTCTATGTTTAAAAAAATATGAATACATTTAGGTCTACTTGCCAGATAGTTTTTCCAGAAATAAATGCATTGAGATTTCACATAGATTAAAGTATGTCTTTATATACGAAGAATACAATCATATAATAGCCTTTACCTTTCCTTGCAGCTGTTGAGCTTCCTTCACGTGTTCCGTGTAACTGGCCTGCATGCGGGCTTGCAGAGCAACAATCTCCTGGTCTCGTGATACTATTTGCTCCTTGAGTTTAGATTCCACACCAGTTAATTTGGTCTTTTCAGTCGCCAATTCCTGAAACAACACGGATCATGCATTCAGCCAACATGATGTATCTATTACAGTATTAGAGAGGCAGAAATTAAAGGGGAACCATCAGGGACATGCCCATTTGTTACTGACTGGCTACTCATTTGTTTGTGTGGTTTTTTTTGTTTTCCAGTTTCTTAAGCAGGAATCAAGGGGGGGGGGAAACTAACATACTGAGGTGCATTGCAGTCGGAGAACAGTGTTTTTAAAAAAAGTCTTTTAATATTTGTTACGTTTTAGGACATTAACAAATTGAAAATTCATTAGATTAACAGAGTTTTGCATCTCAAAAATAGCCCCCAATGACAATTTATAACGATGATTTTGAGTGTGTGGCAATAGCGGAAAATAACTAAGAAACAAACTATTGCAAGTGTTAACGAGAAACAAGGAGGTTATTGAAGATATATATTATTGAAACACAGTAATGCAGTGCAAATTTAATTACAAGCAAGGATGTAACAATAATCACTAGATTTCTGGAAAACACCAACTTCAGTTTGTTTGAAAACCTGAAGGATTTTTAAAGCTATCTTTTCTAATTATTTTTTTTTCCCAGTGGAATGCAATACAATATACTTGCCACTAGATGTCACTAAAATTGTCCACGCACTAAAAGTGTGTCTTAAAGTGAAGGTCTATCAGACACAACAGCATGGACAATAGACTACAACGAAGCGATACTGGGACAGCTCCAACAGATGTCTATCATCTACTTATTCCCCACCCTGTATCTCCAGCACTCATTCAGAGTTGAGATGTGGTGCCATTTTTCCACAATTTACTTTTTTTTTTTACTCCAAATTGTTACTGCTTTCACTAGATTTAATTCGATACATTTTCTTCTTTTACTTTATTCAGTCGTTGTTATTTATTTCTTTGAAATCAATAATGGTCAATAAGTGAAGTCTCTAATATGTCACTCAAGAGCTGGGATTGCAACAATGTGTTTTCCCAGTATATTGCATGTTATTGTTTGTTTCTTCAGATTACCTACCAGATTCCATGGTGACCGATATGTCTAAAAATCTCCTGCGTGCTTCTATTGTATCTGTGTGTATAAATGAGGTGTATACTGCATCTGTCTACTTCCCCATACCCAATCTTTACGGGGCTTTGCAATATGCTGGCATTATATAAATAAAAGATACAGGATTATTCACTAAAGTGACAATGCAAAGTGAATTTCAAATTCAAGGCCAAAGTAGCCAAACTGTAAGCAAAGTGAATCTAGAGAATTATTCCAGTTCAGCCATTATGGTCTTAAAAGAAAAAGAAAAAGAAAAAAAAAAGTAGACAGCTATACTATCATGGCTAATTCTTTTTCTGACAAACATACATTATTATAGCAGTCTTTTAGAAGACTAGCAAATGCAAGTTCTCCAAAATGTTCTAGAACCACAGGTATAAAGTTTCCTCCAAGGTGAGCTATTCTCTATGCACCAATACAGTTCCAGTACGCAGGAGAAGCAGGTGTTGGGTGTCACGTGTGGAGGCATTTACCTTGTTCAGCTCCCGTAGCCTATTTTTAGCAGCCACGGCATCTTCTTGTTCAGCTGATAATTGCTTTTCTTTCTCCTCCAACTGCTTTTTCAGAGCTGTAACTGGGTCTCCTTTTTGAGTAGCCTGCAATAAAGATCAGAGGAGAATTTGATTTCATTAACTTTGATTGACATTTAAAATTGGATTTGTTACCTACGACAGTATTTTTTTATCCAGCTTATAAAAATGACATATTTACATAAGTATGTATGTTATAGAAATATTAACCCCTTCTCTTAAAAATAGATCTGTGCAGGTTAATTTTTATTTTGCATTGAAAAACAGCGCAAGCAAACTATCTTAAAGGGATACTCCAGGGACCCAGACAACTTCTGCCCATTGGAGTGGTCTGGGTGCCAACTCCCACTACCCTTAACCCTGCAAGTGTAATTATTGCAGTTTTCATAAGCTGCAATATTTACATTGCAGGGTTAAGTCCTCCTCTAGTGGCTGTATATCAGACAGCTACTAGAAGAGACTTCCGTGTTCATAGAACACGAAAAGTGTTTTAAAACGACGCTGGACGTCCTCACGCTATGTGAGGACCTCCGGCATCGCCGAAATCCCCATAGGGACGTCGGCGGGGGAGGAGAGTAGTTGGAGCCTGACACAGTGCCAAAGGACATCGGTGCTGGACTCTATTAAGTCACTGAAGGGGTTTTAACCCCTTCAGCAACTTGGGATGGGGGGTGGGAGGGAGAGGGGCACTAGAGGGTCCTGCAGTGCCAGGAAAACAAATATGTTTTCCTGGCACTGGATAATCCCTTTAAAAAGTCAGACATTATGTCTGGTTGGCTCCAACGCTGGTAGTCATGAAACTAATTCCTCTGTGATGGCCTCCTCTCTGCCCCTCTACATTTCTCCCCATTGCTCAATATCTACACTAACTTGTGTAGGGCAATTTTTTTACTGCATTTTAGCAGCTAGGGAGAGCTCTGAGCAATGAAGATTTATTTATTTTATTTGTTTTGCAGGTTGCAAGAGCTTTCTACTGTAGAGACAACACCATTTACAAACAAATGTAACCAAATATTTTCATAGACAACATGGTTTGCAAACACTGGCCTCAGTCTAATTTTCTTGGATAAGCTTTTCAAAAGATTTAATATTTTTGGCTAAACTTTTCAAATTATTTATATTTTTTAACTGTTAAAATAGCAAAAAATATACCACAGTTAACGTATAAAAAAAAATTCAACATATCAAAAAAATATAAAAAATATTAAATGATTTTAAAAACATTTCCAAAAAAAATATTAAAATCAAGGCCATTGTAACATACTATTTTCAAATACTTAGTTTATTATTATACAGAGGTGCATTCTGTACACCTTACCTAAAGGAACACTATAGTGTCAGGATACAAACATTTCCATCTAGGTTACCTGCCCCACTCGTATTGCAGTAAAAACGTGATATTACTCACCTTTTCTCCCATGCTGTGCCAGTACCATAGTGGCTGGACCCTCTATTGCTGAGATCACAGGAAAGCATTGGGAGGCAATTGCGCATGCGTCACTCTGCATCAATTGGCATCTCCTCATAGAGATGCATTGAACCAATACATCTCTATGGGGGAACCTTCAGCACCTCCATGTCTGAGTGACTGTACCTAGAGGTGTTCCTAGGAAACAATGTAAGCACTATCTTTTCTCTATAAAGTCATTGTTTACAGTGCTCAATCTGCAAGGACACGCTAGGGACCCCAGAACCACTACATTAAGCTGTAATGGCTCTGGTAACTATAGTGTCCCTTTAAGTACTGTACATCTGCTATAAAGATGTAGTGTATGATTCACAGCCAACTCTGCAGTCAGACAATTTAAAAGTAAAAAAAAATAAAATAAATAAAAAGCAGAAGAAAGATACATAGGAATTACATGGCGAGTGTGGAGCTGAATTTTGAGTACTAAAATGTATCTATCATGGTTTTAACCTGTAATTTAAAAGCAGATTAATTAACATAAATTGGTATTCACCATACAAACCTGGGTTAAGGACATCAGCAACATTAGTTTTGTTTATGAAAATATCACATTCAACAGAAAATAGAATATTACCGTGTGCCAGGTACCCTGCTTGGTGCCATTCTTCTCAGTCAGAATCTCGATGAGCTTTTGAGCTTCACCTTCACTGAACGCCATGCTGCTTATAGTAGAAACCAGGGTCTTGTAGGGAAGGTAGATCGCTCCATCCAATTCATTAATTACTAAAAAATAATAACGAATGATAGACAGTTACGTAGTGTTCTCTTAATCATTGGGGATGCTTGGCAACATTGTACTCTCTTGTTTACATCGAATGCAGTAGCAATCATTGTACAAGGTTCCAATTCTTCCCCACACAGTATTAATGTAGATCTGTAACATTTATTAGTAGTATTTTTAATTCGGTAGTATGCTGATTTTAGCAGAGCCCTCATCACCTAGTGAGTCTGTCAACTTTATTTTATCTTGACAATTCTTTGAGGTAGTGTATCCTTACTGTACAGTTGTATAAGGCTTAGGTATATGCTGGCACTATCTAATGTTTAACGCAACCTCTAAGAAAAAGCTTTGAAGAAAGTCTGCGATTGCACGCTCTTATTCTGCAAGAAAACAAGCTAAAAAAATATATGAAACATTATGATCACCTGCTTTCACTCTACCCTATTGCAAAAGCCTGCTTTGGCTACCAGGATAACTTGTTAAGTTGGAACAGATGTCTACAGCCATTCTTAACTGGGGTATATGAAATTGTAGGGTCAACCACTATTTCCCAATCGTTTACGGAGAATTCCCCCTGCCTTGAGAATGTAATTTCTATTGATGTTGTTTCCAAATGAACATGCACATATTTAAATTAATCCCATATTGGAGAACAAGCCTGATTAAAGATAGTACAAAATATGAATTATTAATCTGAAGTATGAAGGTCACAAAAGAGAGGGCAAGCACACACACAGACACCAACACAAAAAACCTATAGCTTTGGGGCAAAATATGGAAGACTAAATCTGAAAACAGAACCTCATTTTTTATGTATTGGAAAATAAACAAATCCTTGATTTCTTGGTTACTTGGTGTTCATGCACAGGTAATGGGTACCTTGTACAAGACCTACATTGTATCACTAACGCTCAAGCTACCTTATGATGCCTCAATTATGGTCAAAATTCAATAACAGGATATGTCAAAAAGCACTAGTGTGTGCTGTGGATACCATCTGCAGTAAACCAACTCTCCTACACCTGTTACAATTTGAGTAAATTATATTTATTTACACCAGCTCCAAATTTCTAATTTGCTATAGATTTGTTGATTTTAGACACCCTGAACTCAATTAGCCCCTGTATCTGCGAATATTGCCTGGCAGGCGGAAAGCTGAGCCCTTCCCGTCACATCTAAAACAAGCCAAGGTGGGTTCTCAACCTCCCTGGACCCAACACGTGGGTGGCCACAGAAGAGGATGTCATTGCGCCATAGACTGGCAGGGAGAGCTTGGAATGGGGCAATGCATGCACCTGTCACCCAGAGGCGAGGAGGCTATCAAATTTGGCAAGTATGGCATCTGTTGGAGTATGCCTAATTAGACACCCACCTCTGCGCACAGCTTGCAATCTGGCAGGGCCAACCTAGGACTATTTTGAGCTGGAGCTCCATCTGCTCCTTGCGTTTGATGGGCATACCACCTGGGGTATATATACCACAGGTTGAGAAACCAGGGTGTAAGCTACCTAACAATTCCTTCAATGTGTAACATAACCTCACTAGTAAACTTTATTGCAGACCTAGGTAAAGGGTTAATGTACCAGACAGGGGCTGATTTTTTTTATTATAAACCAAGGGATATTTAAGATTATAGGTTTAGACAGCCCTTTATATATGTATTTGAAAGAGCCAGGAGGGTTCGGTTGGAGGTCCTTGATTAGCTTGCTATAAATATTGCATCTATTTGAATAGCACTGGCTGGTAGAAGATCAGGGGTTCTGGGTCAGCATTCATTTCTGCTAGGGTATCCTCAGGTTCCATAATGCAAAGCATTTCCATGAATTGGCCATAATATGTCAACCAGGAATTGGACTTGGCACCTAGAATTTGGTTTTCTCAGAACAAACAGCTGTGTCCTGAACCTAGGAAATAACTTTCTAGATTTCATATTCTTTTTCAGACTTGCTACCTTAGCTACAGGCTGTGTATATGTGCTCAGCTGGCAGAGACAGAACTGGGGCCTAAACTGGCGCAATGGGTCCATTAAAGTCCTACCCCAGCTCTGTTCTGCATAGTACTGAAGCAATGTGAAGGTACAATGCTAGAACACATTGCATGTCCTTAGCTGTGCAAACACAACAGCTGGAAAAATTGTAATTTTGTCTGGTGCCTGAATTTGGACCCTGGCTCTTAGAATCTGGAGAACTCTGTCAAGTACCGTTTTAAATAAACCTGGCATCCACCTTTAAATAAATGCAATTAACACTGCATATGTGCACTTTCTGTACCAATGTATCTTCCTAGGAATGAATGAGAAGACCTTTACACAGCTGCACAGCAACAGGAGATTCCATTAAAGGACCACTCTAGGCACCCAGACCACTTCAGCTTAATGAAGTGGTCTGGGTGCCAGGTCCAGCTAGGGTTAACCCTTTTTTTTTATTAACATAGCAGTTTCAGAGAAATGGGTTAATCCAGCCTCTAAAGCCTCTAGTGGCTGTCTCATAGAGAGCCGCTAGAGGCGTTTGCGTGCTTATCACTGTGCTTTCCTATGAGACCGGCTGAATACGCGCGCAGCTCCTGCCGCGCATGCGCATTCAGCCGAAGAGGAGGATCGGAGGCGGAGAGAAGGAGGAGAGCTCCCCTCCCGGCGCTGGAATAAAGGTAAGTTTAACCCCTTTCCTCGCCATCCAGCCCGGCGGGAGGGGGTCCCTGAGGGTGGGGGCACGTTTTCCTGGCACTATAGTGGTCCTTTAATGTGAAAACTACATGAGTCCTAATTGGTTTCATTGATCTCTAGGAGTTCTAAAGCCACACACTAGGGCACTCGAAGGCTTTGTGACATTTCCGGTTTATCGATGGATTTGGAATAAGACGTTGGTGCAATTAACTCACATGGTTTTAAGTTGCGTTCTGCAAAATGCACGAGTCACAAAAAACGCATACAAGGAGAATGATAAATACTTATTATCGTGAATATTAAATACGGTTATTTGCACCAGTTATAAAACATGTTAAAATAGATTAAAAATGGGCAGACAATAGGAAGTCAGATGGATTCTGGTAAATCTCTCCTTATCCTAGGAAATTGCAACTCTATATAGCAATAGTGTTTTATTAAAACATTTTATGGAGTCCTGAACCAATTTAAACATGTTAATATCTAGAGTTTATAATCTCTGGTGGTAATGTAAAGGTGTTTTTCCAGTTGTTACAGAGACACTTCATTCTATGGGCCATTGTTTAGTTCAACAGACAAGTCTTTTATTAGGGTATGAAGGAATCTTTAAATATATTTTTCCTGTGAATGACTGTGTACGCACTGAAAATGTGTCATTTGGTGCGTGCTGTAGGTAATTCTAGTACCGGGAGCTATATTTAAATTCTATTAACATCTGGTTTCCTAGACATAAAAATGCTTGTTTAGCCTCTTATTAAACAGTGTGGAACTTAGTAAGAAAATTATTTACTCAGCCTTTATCCAGGTGATGAAACCTAAAACCTGAACAAGCAAATTCAGTCTTACTTCTGGTTTGTTCCGATGAATGTTTTGACTAGTTAGGATTAACTTTAGCTGACCAGGCAACTTAGAAACCGAACTTTATCGTAGGGAGAAATTCAGCCATGTAAACAGTTGCTAGGTAATTGCTACGTTGGATATGGAACAATCAAGATCTCTTGTTACACAGCTTTCTGATAAAGGCAGGAGATGTTTTTACATATTCAAACACACGTTTCGTTCTCTGCCAAACACATAAAATCTCATACACTGCTTTGTACAGCAAAACCAGGAAATATTACATATAAAAAATAACTAACAGGCAGTCAGGCAACATTTTACTGGCATCCGCCAAATCCAAATGATGTGAGTCTTGCATGCAGCTGCTCGGCCATGGAAACCCATTCCATGAAGCTCCCACCGCACAGTATTGTGCGGATATTAATGCCACTGAAAGTTTGGAACCCTTCCGCTATGGATTTAACGTGACCTTTAAGCACCATCAGTCTCCGTTCTCGATTGCACCATTCTGTGACTTTACGTGGTCTTCGCTTCGTGGCAGAGTTGCTGTTCTTCCTAAACACTTGCCTTTCCAGTAACACCACTTACAGTTGACCAGGCCCGGACTGGCCATCGGGCACACCGGGCAAATGCCCGGTGGGCCGCGGTGGCCGTGGGGCCGAGGCCGGCAGGGAGATCACAGGATCTCTCCTGCCGGTCTTTGCAGGGCCGGCGCTATCTGAACGCCGGCCCTGCAGTAGTCTACAGCGGGCCGGTGGGGAGATCAGAGATCTCCCTCACCGGCCCACATAGAGAATACTGCGGCCGCCGGGGGAGAGAGGGAGGGAGCCAGCCTGCCAGGAGAGGAACCCCGGCGGAGCTTTAACTTACAGCTCCGCCGGGTTCCTCTCGCGAGATTCGGAGCGTTGCCATGGCAACGCTCCGGGTCTCGCGAGAGTGAACTCTAGCCCAACAGGCTAGAGTTCACTCACCACTTGGACCACCAGGGATGGATGGCGGCAGGAGTAGCAGGATCCCCCCTCCCAGGCATAAGGTAAGCAGGGAGGGGGGATATCAGCAGGGCACATAACACTCCCAGCACCCCTGACACTCACACACACACACTGCACCCCTGACACTCACACACCACACACACTGCACCCCTGACACTCACACACACACTGCACCCCTGACACTCACACACACTGACCCCTGACACTCACACACACACACTGCACCCCTGACACTCACACACACTGCACCCTGACACTCACACATACTGCACCCCTGACACGCACAGCACCCTCACACACTGCACCCCTGACACGCACAGCACCCTCACACACTGCACCCCTGACACTCACTGCACCCCTGACACGCACAGCACCCTCACACACACACTGCACGTCTGACCCTCACAGCACACACACTGCACGTCTGACACTCACAGCACCCTCACACACACACTGCACCCCTGACACGCACAGCACCCTCACACACACACTGCACATCTGACACAGCACAAACAAAATGCACCCCTAACACTCAGAGCACCCTCACACAGTGCACCCCTGACACACACAGCACACACACTGCACCCCTGACACTCTCAGCACCCTCACACACACTGCGCGTCTGACACAGCACAAACAAAATGCACCTCTAACACTCACCGCACCCTCACACACACACAGCACCCCTGACACTCACAGCACCCTCACACACACACACTGCACCCCTGACACACACAGCACACACACTGCACCCTTGACACTCACAGCACCCTCACACACACACACTGCACCCCTGACACGCACTGCACCCCTGACACTCACAGCACCCTCACTCACACACTACACGTCTGACACTCACAGCACACACAAAATGCACCCCTAACACTCACAGCACCCTCACACACACACATTGCACCCCTGACACGCACAGCACACACACTGCACCCCTGACACTCACAGCACCCTCACACACACACTGCACCCCTGACACGCACATCACACACCCTCACTTACACACACTGCACCCCTGACACTCACAGCTTCCTCACATGCATACACTGCACCCTCACACACAGCTTCCTCACATGCACATAGCACCCTCATGCAAACACAGCACCCACTCACACACAGCACACACACACTGCACCCATCACACACACAGCACCCTTACCCACATAGCACCCTCACGCAAACGCAGCACCCATCACTCACACACACACTACACCCCTTACACACACACACACACACACACACAGAGCACCCTCACACACACTGCGCAATATGCTTTCCTGGCATTTTTGTCTCCTGGTATCCCAACTATGGAGACACCAGAGACAAATTTCAAGCAAACACAGTGCAAGCATGTTATTAAATTTGCTTGCGCTGTGCAGAACAAATACAGGGTATTTTTCTCATGCCAGAGCTCTTCAGCAGAGCTCTGCGCATGGTCTACCCTGGAAGAGCATTGAACCAACATGCTCACTTTGTGATGGGGCGTGCTTGTCATTGGTGATGACAAAACACACCCTATCTGGCCCCGCCCCCTTTTTAGTGGGCCGCTGTAATTAAAAAATGCCCGGGCCGAATTTTCTTCCCAGTCCGGCCCTGCAGTTGACCGTGGAATAACTAGCATGGATGAAAGTTTACCAACTGACTTATTGCAAATGTGGCATCCTATTACAGTACCACACTTTAATTCACTGAGCTCTTCAGAACGGACCATTATTTTCAAAAATGTTTGTAAATGCAGACTGCATGGCTAGCTGCTTGATTTTACACACCTGTGGCAATGGGTCTGATTGAAACCTGAATTCAATAACTAAGGTGTGTCTCAATAATTTTGACCATGTAGTGTACATCCTTCTGTTTGTGATTCTTCCCTATGATTAATTGTTATAACGTAAAGTGTTCTGGAAACCCTTAAATAAATGTACACATTCTATTCAGAATGATAATCATCTAAAAGGATGTGGCTAACCCATTTTTATTGAAAGGGTTAAATTAACTTCAAAATAAGTGTTTACAAAAACAAGTTTGTGATATATTACAATATGAGACTGACTGGCTACAGCATGCAAATCATACTTCATTATTACATTGCAGAAGACATTAGCAACAACAACAACATTTGAATAAAATGGTTATATAAAATGTATACTAACCTAAAGAGTACATTTATACACACACACAAATACTTATAAAGACAGACACACCTGTCTAAGGTAAGCTACAATAAATTAAAATTGTACGGTTTCAATAAAATGACTTATTCACTTCTGCTGTGCTATGACTATATCTGCCTTGTCCCTAGAAAGCAAAAGGGTACAGTTTCCTGAATATCAAGAATGTTAATGTGTTCCATATATTGTCTCTGGACTGTAATTAGAGCCACCAGCAATGAACCTTCTACTGAATGACATTCAAACAAATCACACTGCCGCAATTCATTCGCTACGTGTTCTCCCAGAGAGACACACTACCAGGAAAGACAGAAAGGGTTATAAAGGAAAAGAAGTAAATGGTGAGAGGTCATAACTTTTATTGGTGCATATTTTGGAATTCCAAAAAAAAAATTTTAAAAAAATATTTGGAGGCCTAAATTTCCCTGTCCTTCTTTCTTTCTTTTCTAGGAGCTAAAAACCATATGGTTTCAATGTAATTCAAAATAATAAAACTTGCATTATGTGCATTTGGAGGAGGTTGTGCAAATGAAATACAGTGGCCGTGTTTATTTATTAGTGTATAATATATCTAAACCCATTTAGAAATGCATTTAATAGCAATGTGCAAGGGGTGTGCTGTGCATAAAAAATACAGACCCAAAACAAGGGTTTGACAAGTTGTCATTTTTACACCAATTCTTTTTAGGTCCCTACCAAACATTTGAGATACTTTGAGTTGGACCATAATCTGGGTGATGAAAATGATCACAAAACTGGCTGTATCCAGTGCTTAAAACTACAATAACTAATGTGTTTTTTGTGTTTAATTTATACTATGGTAAAAGTGTTAAATTAGATTATATTTTATATAAAGGATTAACATTTATTCCATTCAACAGACTTAATTTGAAAAAAAAATATATGTATATATTTTAAAATATTCTTTTGATGCACACCTTAAGGAAATGTGCAGGCTAGCAGTGGCCTTGCTGTGTGGATAGGTACTAAATCTGTCTGGAGTCTCAAGTGAGGTCCCAAAAAGTACACAGTCTGATTTAACACCTTTTCATTGTTAGTCCCAAGGTTTCTGTAGCAACGAGAGAGAAATAACACCTCCAGTTACATCATTTGTGATATTGCCACTTTAATGCACCATATTCGGAATTACTTATACAGCACAACATGCAACTATTACTGTGGGTGCAGGTTTTTAATTCAGTGGGTGAATTTTTAATGCTGCAAGCTTGGGGTTAATGCTGGGGATGCAGAGGTGATACTTAATAGGAAACACTAAGTATATAGGGGTGTATATAAAAAATACCCCTCTCTGTCTTATTAGAGGTACATTTGCCAGAAGCTCAAGGAAGCAAGGTGAAAGGTCAGTGTAGGTCTCACCTAAGGGGGACTGCCTTGACGTTGGTAGGCGGGCATTCCCTCCAATGGCCATTGGAGTAACTAAATGACCTCCATTTGTTTAATTATACATAGGGATTTAGGAGAGAGCGCAGGTAACTTTTTATTTGGTTTTTACTGTATGTATTGGGGCTGATGTGTACTGTGGTCATTGCTGCCACCCAGGAGTAACGGGAGTCAGCGCAGGACTTTTTTTTTTTTGTATTTGTATTCACTTTTTCTATGACACAGCTATTTTACAATGCTGCCACCCATCCCATGTGTTCCCTATTAAGGGTTAATAAGTATATAGGGGTGTATATAAAAATACCCCTCTCTGTCTCATTAGAGATATCTTTGCCAGAAGCTCAAGGAAGCAAGGTGAATGGTTAGTGTAGGATACGCCTGGGGGGGGGGTCTGCCTTGACGTTGGCAGACGGGCATTCCCTCCAATGGCTATAGGAGTAACTAAATGACCTCCATTTGTTTAAAAATACATAGGGATTTATGAGAGAGCGCATGTAACTTTTTCTTAGGTTTATATTATAGTCTAAGTTAATACAAAGATCCAGTCATAATTTGATTTATAGAACATATTATGGTATAGGACTGGACATAAGGTGTGGCATAGGGTAGAGTTTTTGGAAGGGGCTTAAGTCAACATATGTGGGGGAAACCATAGAATTTACCCTTGGGATGAAGTCCCTGATTATTGTGCCACTTAGCAACAGCTCTATAACAAATAATATAAGCCGAGATCACAGGGACAACAATGTCAAAGGGGCAGGAAATTTGTGTTGCAGGGAGGTAACATTCTAGCTTAAGACTTAATGCTTGGGTGACAGAGAAAGGAGGGCAACATCAAGAGACAAATGGAGAGAGATTAAAGCATTTCAGAAAATCTAACCACACAAAAGCTTTAACGCCTGCAGTAAAAAGGACTTTTAAATTGTGAGTCTGTCATTTCCAAGCCTTCAGACAGACAGCTAAATGAATCTCATTTATTTTAATGAAATTCAGTTCTACTCTATCACACTAATGAATGAATAAAACGAACATGACTGCACTATAAGGTTGAAAGAAACAACAGTAGATCTTCAAAAAACAAAAAACAAATAAAAACCACATATCTTCATAGCCACCAATAACTGGAAATGGTCTAAACGTGATAAAACCACAATGAAAGTGAAGAGGTTAAACTGATGATTAAAACGTTAGCCTTTGGAAAAGGACAGTGCTGGGAGAATCAGTTTGATGGAAAAAGGAAACAACATTTATCAGTAGCCCCATGACACAACACGGCTCTTCTATGAAAGAAGCAATCTGAAAGGTAAGCCATCCGCAGCTCACCACACCCATGATGCAAAGCCAGCCAACATGACCGCAGCAGAGCACAGTAGCTGTGTGCTGGCCGTGTGCTGGCTTGGGCAATACATCCAGACCTGGGCTGTCCAGAATGTATATCCCCCCCCCAACCGTTGCAGCCTCATGGGAGTTGCACAGCTCTTAAAGAATGGTTAATTTTCATGGGAGTTGTATAGCAGTTAGAGCTCTGAAAGTAGCCTGTTTCGGAATCATGATATCTTTCCCAAGGGAAAAAAAAAAATTATTTGACTTTATTTTTACATCAAAACTTCCTGGTACCATAAAGATTACCCACCAACCCATCTGCATACATGAATGACTGCGCATAGGCCCCAAAAAGGTACAGGTAGCACAAGCAGAGGTGCTTTAATATAGTCTGTGCCCTGGCTGACTAGGCTCTTGCAAACACTTAACAATGTAAAATGTCTGGGCAGTGAATCAACTCAGAATGTGTTCCACAGGTACAGTAAAAAAATTTCTATTTGACCAAAGACACCTGTGCCAAAAATAGGGACTACGAGGATTTTTATCATCAAAGGACATCAGATTATTCAAAAAATAAATGTACAAAGTACAAAGTAAAGTTGCCTTTAAGAATTTAAACTGAAGAAAAACACTGGCTTTGAAGTAATCCGCTACTGATCCACATGATGCAGGATACACAAGGAAACACAATTTTAGATCTCACGGCAACTTTTCATCGCAAACCATAAGAAATCCATACACCTTACACTAAAATTACATGTAGGTCTACACACACAATAATGTGAGTCTTTGTTTTTGTTTGTGTGTTTTTTTTATTATTATTTTGTAGCTTAAAGATATTGCATTAAATAGAAATATGCATTATTGTCTTTACATCTAACAAATAATGCACTAAAACCCATATGTCTAGCAAAAATGTGATACACTTTGTGTGCGATTTGGCTGGTGTGTTGTACTGTAAATAATTTTAGTTTGTTGCTGGGGGGAATAATTCTTCCATGAACTTGTGTAACTATGTTTTTACATTTGAAACAGTATATATTATACATGCAATAAAAATATAAACACTTGTTCTGTGTCGACGTGTTATGCATATTTGATTTAGTTAGATTTAGTTTGGGGTGTTAAAAAATAATAAAAAATAATATTTTTAAAAACCATCTTTGTACACGTTGTAGTTTTTGTAACCTCAGTTACACTTTGTCTGGAAATACTCACATTGATCTGGATCTTGGTTATAACCAACCATTTACACATTTTCCAAAGAAACTACAGCAAATTACGAAGGAGAAATCATTCATTGGCAAGAGAGAACACTAATTGAATTAACTAGTAACTGAATCTTCACTTGCCTTTTGCCCAATGTACCATTGATGAAATAGTATGAACATTATTCACTAAGGGCAGAATGTGGCAATTCTCATATTTACTAAAGGCATATCCACTTGAAAGTGAGGAATTTTAACTGAATGGGACCATCTCTTTCAATACAATCCGATGTCTGGTTTAAAATCAGCCTGTTTTTCTCCTGTACAAATCCTATACAAAAGTATAGGATTTGGAGATTTACTGATAACTAAATTCTGAAAACCGATTAACCTGCTTCATGCGAAGTATTTGCCTACTGGCATCTAGCATCCAGTGGACACATAATTAAAAACCCTTGGTAATATGATGGCTAGTGGGTGTGGAAGCTGGCAAGTTGCTACTGAAAAAAGTTAAAATAAAGAGCACATGGGGGTCAGTATGACTCGCCATAGAGTTATCAGGAGGACTATCATGGGTGGAGACATGTCCACTGAATGATTAAGCAACCAGCAGCTGATCAACCATTCATGCCTCATCGTCTTTGTAAAAGAGGGACATAGCCCTAGTCTCTCCATACCTCCCATGTAAACCCAATATACCTGGCTTGGAACCCACATTACCCAAGGGGAGCCTTGAACAGGATAAGCATATCCTTAGCTGTAATAAAAATGAAAAACTTCCATGATACTCAGTGCAGGGCTGTTTGTTTATTATTTTTAAATACTGTACTGGGTTTTGACTACTTGCCTGTGCTGTAAGAAAGTATTATATGGACAGGTTTAAATCCAGTGTACATTCCTAGTTTTTATAAATATAAAACAGCATTTGAATTTGTTAAATAAACTGTATACCTGCTTCAGATTTTTTCTTAGATGCATTCTTCTTCTTCGGTGCTTCTTCATGGTTTACAACAGTTTCAGCTTTTTTAGGAGGCAACGAGTTGGTGACTGGTGGGCTTGGCCTCGATCCCACAGGGGGAACAGCAACCGCAGGCACTTCCTTGGTCACGACCTCGAAAACTGCAGCTTGCTTAGGAACAGTAGCCTGTGCTAGAGCCACTGCTGGGCTTGGAGATGGTTCCACCTTCTGCACTTTCTTCTCCTGCTTTTTCTTTTTGTCTTTAGGAGAAGGTGCTGTTTTTTCTGGAGCTGGTGCAACAGCAGGTGTAACAAGCACTTCATTCTTTTTTTTGTCTTTAGGAGAAGGTGCGGCCTTTTCTGGAGCTGGGGCAACAGCAGGTGTAACAGGCACTTCATTCTTTTTTTTGTCCTTGGTAGAAGGTACAGCCTTTCCAACCACTGGAGCTACGACAGACGCGGCAGGTGCTTCGTTCTTCTTTTTGTCTTTAGTAGAAGGCACCGATTTTTCAGGAGCTTGAGTCGCAGTCTTTGTCACAGGCACTTCATTCTTCTTCTTGTCTTTTGAAGGAGGAGCTCCTTTTTCTACAGCCGGAATCGTAGTAGATATAACTGGAACTTCAGTCTTCTTTTTATCTTTAGGAGAGGGTGTTTTTTCTGGGGCGGGAGTCACAGCGGCAGTAACAGGCACTTGACGCACTGGTACCTTAGTTGATACCACTACCACAGGTTCGGGGTCATTTTTTTGCTGCTCGTCGCTGTCCTGAGAATGTTCGTATTCGGGGAGTTTACCATTTGGTTTCTCGTCCTTCTTTTTGGATTTTCCCTTCTTCTCGATGACTTTGCTCTTCTTCTTGTCCACTTTGGGTTGTTGGCCCTTCTCTTGTTCTCTGCGTTGTTTGGCCAAAGCTTCTTCATACGATGTCTCCTTCATTGAAAATGTAGACACCAGGAAAATTCCAATGGCTGATATAACCATGAAACCACCAAACACCATTACTCCTAAAGTCTGAGGATCGTACAAATCCATGTTGAGCTTTTATTCTGTAGTGTCTACAATAAAATTAAAAAAATAAAAAGAATTAGAGAAAGGAACTGGGAAAGGAATACTTCTAAAAATACAAACATATTCAGGTGTTTCGGGCTAAATGCGATTACATTCGACTAGCATGCATTTGTAAATGACAGGCAAATAGGAACATCCAATTTACCAAGATAGAATTCTCAGATTGGTTCTTAACTGCAGTTCACTGACTGCCAGAAGTTCGTAAAATATTATTAAAATGCAACAGAGGGTGTACTAGGTTTTGTGAAAATGTCCACTTTTCAGAAAGTGGAGACAGAAGGGTGCTGCTACATGCCAGATTATTCAACACAGCAGTTAACAAAAAGTTAGCCATGTATTCTTAAAAAAAAAAAAAAAAACACCAATGTAATGTTTTCTTTACTCTTACCTAATTTTGACAAATTTAATTCAACCTGTTTACACTAACATAAGAATTCAAGATGAATTTCAAATTTAAAGGACCACTATAGGCACTCAGACCACTTCAGCTTAATGAGGTGGTCTGGGTGCCAGGTCCTTCTAGGGTTAACCCTTTTTTTTATAAACATAGCAGTTTCAGAGAAACTGCTATGTTTATAAATGGGTTAATCCAGCCTCTAGTGGCTCTCTCATTGACAGCCGCTAGAGGGCTTCCGCGCTTCTCACTGTGATTTTCACAGTGAGAAGACGCCAGCGTCCATAGGAAAGCATTGTGAATGCTTTCCTATGGACTGGCTGAATGCGCGCGCAGCTCCTGCCGCACATGCGCATTCAGCCGAAGAGGAGGAGAGGAGGAGATTTCCCGCCCGGTGCTGGAGAAAGAGGTAAGTTTAACCCGAGAGCCTGGCGGGAGGGGGACCCTGAGGGTGGGGGCACCTTCAGGGCACTATAGTGCCAGGAAAACAAGTATGTTTTCTTGGCACTATAGTGGTCCTTTAAGGCTAGAGTAGATGACTGGAATGCATAACTGACAGAGAAATCTTTCAGTTCGACTATTTTGACCTGAAATTTGAAATTCACTTACCTTGAATTTTCACTTTAGTGCATGCTGGGGCATCCTTTTACACTATAAATCACAATTCTACACATGCCTGTGTGAGCAGGTGTGCCCAGGGCATTACTGGCCCATGGGAACTCAGAGACAGATTTAAATTGTAAGCTAAAATAGTCAAACTGAAATCACAGGTAATTTAATTTTTCAATTGACCTATTTTACCCTAACATTTGAAATTCACTTTAAAATAAACAACTAACCTGTTAGTGAATATTACACAATAAAAATAATTATTGATTTTAATGAAATCTTTAACTATTTACAACACTATCCGCGCCCCAAGTACCTAAATACAACCGTGATATGCAACATAAAAAACGTTAATTTTTACAGCCATATAGTAAAAAAAAAGTTATTGACATACACAAGTAAAGTTAACAAGGATACTTCTGTGCCTGAAGGCAAAAGGGACAAAATGTAAAACTTGTATTCTCAGATAAACCGGTACCTCACTGCACTGCTAGCTATTAAGGATAGAGTGTCTTTGAAATGAAAACGGTCACTTGTGATACTTGTGAGATTTATGCATTAGCCAATAGCCATCTAAAAAGTTAGTTATAACGTGTTATTTATTTTAACAGACCTTGCCAGTTTACATATTGTGAAATACATCCACACTCAACCTGGCTATGTACCACAATACTGAAGGGATGCCAAAAGTAGCCTTGTACATGGCTTTGTAGATGCCCAGGTACATATAAGTGTGTTCGAGGGGACTTTTTTCTGATCTCTGCTGTATTATTCACTCATGTAAATGATTCAATAACTTTTACTAATGTGGGGGAAGAAGGAAACTCACTTCCAGATAAGTGACTTTACCGTGTTAAAGTGCATAACAGTGGTTCAATGTTACAGGCGTTTAGCTGCTCTTTATATATGACGATCTATAAATAAACGATAGCAATAAGTTGAGCTATCATGTTTACATCTGCCCTGGTGTTGCAAAAGCATATAATGCTTGACAAGCCATTGTGTCACATCCAAGGGTGCTGTGAGGGTCCATGTACGCACACAGCACTATGAAAGGAAACCTGATACCATTTGCCAGGTCTTAAACACATGCCCAAGTGTGCATGGAGTATCACGAAAAGCTGTCTAAGCTTAGATCAGGGCTGGACTGACCCACTGGGAAACCAGGAAATTTATCAGCAGGCCGCTGAAGTCTGGGGTTTACTTTTGCCAGGTTCCCAGAAGTAAAACCTTAATCCTTCGATTTAAAAAAAAAAAATGGCAAATGCATCATGGAACACAAGAGGCAAAGGTAAACTTGGAGAGTGTACCACTTTAACATATACACAGATCTTGATTTATTGTATACATTGTGCACAAAATTGCTAGAATATGTATGCTATGTAACAGATATGTAACAAATAAAGTGTACCGGTTTGTTGCTTCCCAGTGATTTAGATGATGCATTTCGTGTGACAAAGAAAATTGTACATTAATAATAGAAAACAAAATAGTTTGTTTGTGTAACTAGATATATTTCATGACGCATTTCCTCAGTTATGTCTTTTATTTTACCTCTTTACACTCTTAGACAATGTCTTAACCGTGAGAGTTAAAAAAATACACGGAATGAGAAACCAATCAGAAAGGATAGGTTAGGTAAATGCTGGTGAGAATTATGGGAAGTGGCACAGCAAAGGGTCATCAATGGCTCCAAGGCAGGTGAGTGGAATGCATTATTAAACATATTGGAAGAATGGCGCAACCACTTTAAAAATGTAACATGACAGGTGCACTTTAAGCAGCATATAGAATTATGGATTGTGACAGCAGAGAAGAACCAACTGACCCATCTAGAATACGATTTTGAAATCACTAGACTTTTAATAATTTCTTCAGGATGGCTTAATGAACATTCAAAGTATTAATAAAGAGTCCCTCCAGGTTAGAACGGGTACATTCTTTTTTAAAAACACATTTTCAAAATGCTTTTAAATAAGCAAAATACTTAAATCAATCAGCTAGTCACATTGCATAAATATTATAGATTTAACAATGAATGTCTTCATCTTGTCTGTTATTTAGTTCAGAAAATATTTTGCGTAAGTTAAGTGTTTTATGTACACTGGAATTCTCACTGCTTGCAAAGAATATAATTGCACTTTAAAGTTTGGATTGCACAGTTACACTTTTTAGAATACTCTTTGTACTTTACAAATTGAATTTGTCTTAAAGGCATAGCGCACCCATATTTGGTTTTTATTGTTGTGTGTGTTTCAGGAGCTATTACACTAACACTTGATAGGGTGCTGCTCTCTCTCTCACACAATTTTGTACTTTTTAGTAAAAAGAAAGTTCATTAGAGGATTAACGTTATAGTGCCTTTTTTACTTGTTTTTTTTTCCCTTATTTGTCAGATTTATTACATGGTTAAGCTCAGGAGAGCTAAAAGAAGCCTCTGCTTAGGAGCTTACAACCCCCCCTCTAAAAATGGATTGTCTACTTACACTGGGGAGGCGCCATGGCACTTCTGGCAACTTAACCACTACAGAGAGCTGTAGTGGTTATGGTGTTTGGAGTGTTCATTTAAAATACATATAGCATGCTCAACCAATGAAAGTCATCCAGCTTCATGGAATTGACGTTGATAATGTGGACATCTAATTCCAGATTAACAATGCGGTCCACACAGGGGCAGTTACTGAGGGATGGTAAGAGCTCTAGTATATGTCAAACAGTTCCTGTTTAGTATTAAACAGGACACTTCAAACAACATATCAACTGCAGTGAGCGGGTATATATGTCATGTAATATATATGTTAGATTGACATATGGATTTTGAAATGCTCTCAAAGCAATATATATATATATATAAGCCAAGAACACAATGGTCAGACACTCCAGGGAAGACACGGGTTAAATGAGAAGCACACTTTATTTGGACATTTATTAGTATCCATTCTTTTCAGGTATTTTTTTAAATGTCAGATTAATCAAAAGGTTTCAGTGGGTCAAGCCTAGTACTTTTTGTATTTTATTTTGGTTGTGGGTTTGTTTTTTAAATGCTTCCTTTTACAATTGTATTTAATGCCTCTAATGCAAGTATGTCAAACTCGCGGCCAGCGGGCCGAATGCGGCCCACAAGGACCACCTTTGCGGCTCGGCGAGCCGTGAGTACATGCTTGGTGTTACAGCAGAGTCGGCACCTGCTTTCCCCATATTGCAGGTGCCTACTCTACTAAAATTACCCGGCCGGGGAGGATGGCCGCGAGGGAGCTCAGTGTTCCAGCTCCTCACTGCTCCCTCGCGCATGCCAATTGAAGTGAAGCATCACTAAAACGTGCGTGGGAGCAATGAGGAGCAGGAAGGACCCCAGGGAGATACCCCACATCAGCTCCATAAGGTAAAAGCAATAATGAAAAGTATGTGTGTGTCTGTCTGTGTCAGTGTGTGTGTGTCTGTCAGTCAGTCAGTATGTGTCTGTCAGCAAGTGTGTGTGTCTGCCAGTGAGTATGTGTGTCTATCAGCAAGTATGTATGTGTCTTTATGTGTGTTAGTGTGACTGTGTGTCTGTCTGTCAGTGTGTGTGTGTGTGTGTCTGTCAGTGTGTGTGTGTCTGTCAGTGAGTGTGTGTCTGTCAGTCAGTGAGTGTGTGTGTCTGTCAGTCAGTGAGTGAGTGTGTGGCCCACATAAACTTGAACCTTGTTTATGTGGCCCGTGCCACACTTTGAGTTTGACATGCTTGCTCTAATGCAAGGTGTATACATTAACATATTAGACAATGTGGTCACAGGGCTCACCCCTTCCTAATATGGAGCTCCCAATCCTGTCTAACAGATCTTCCATGCCGGCGTAGGCACATAGAGAGGACCACAGATCACAGAGAATACATGTGAGAACATTCATGCACAGTAAGGACATTAAAATTTTCTTTTTAAAAAGACAGGTTCGGCATTAGAGTTTTATTTTTAATTTAGCTCCTGTCACAGTGTAGCAGCCATTGTGCATTTGATTATCAATGGTCGTCACACATCTTTTCAACACAAAAATACCTCGATCATGAAATAAATTTTTCTGTAAATTTAAAAACGGAATACTTTGAAGACTACCTTCAAATGTTCACTGTATTTACATCTGCCAACTCGGGGTCACAATGTATTTTTTACATAGGTCAACAGTGAGACATTTCTTATTTACCAATTAGAGTGGGAATATGAGATTTCAGAATTTCACAGCGGTTGCTCAATATAAATAATTCTCAACTATGCTGCCAAACCAATAAGCAAAGCTATGTTTTAAGTAACAATAGAACTCTGAAACTTAAATACTAGTAGTTAGATACTATCATACAATCATGCAAACTTGAAATTCAAACTGATCATTGTTGTAATCTAGTGAACAAGTCACTCCGGGGTAGGCTTAACACCGATTTTAAACATACTGAATAAAAAATACAAAAATAAATAAATTTTAAAAATTTATATTTTCATCTGAATGCCTCTCATTTGCACTTTTCCCAGACATTTGATCAAGTTCTTCCTCAAGCTTAAAGACACACACTAAAGTTACAAACAGATTTATTTTTAAAGGACCACTCTAGGCACCCAGACCACTTCAGCTTAATGGAGTGGTCTGGGTGCCTGGTCCAGCTAGGGTTAACCCATTTTTTTTATAAACATAGCAGTTTCACTTGCGTGCTTAGGAAAGCATTGTAAATGCTTTCCTATGAGGCTGGCTGAATGCGCGCGGCTCCTGCCGCGCATGCACATTCAGCCGAAGAGGAGGAGAGGAGGAGGAGAGCTCCCCATCCGGCGCTGGAGAAACGTGAGTGTTTAACCCCTTCCTCTCCCCGTAGCCCGGCTGGATGGGGTCCCTGAGGGTGAGGGCACTCTCAGGGAACTATATTGCCAGGAAAACTATAGTGGTCCTTAACATTAGCATGTTGGCGCTTAGATTGTCCAATCTAATGATTTTCAAAGAATAGAGACACAGGGAGTGCAGCAATTGCCACACTACCAATCAAATGCCCCTTTAAATCGGGATGTGAACAGGATTTTTCACCAAATTATTGGACTACTAAAAAAAAATTATTTATTTTTTAAACTGAGTTCTCGATTGATAGAGAGAATAGGAGCAAAGTATAAATATATGATGATTAGAGGATTTGAAAGGTATACTTGTAAAGACAGCTTCCTAGGATGTTAAGACCCCTTTAAATGAAGATCTGGGCTAAAAGGGATACCATTTTACACAACAGGAATTATGGAGATCTGACAAGGGAACTGCAGTGTATAATTCAGCCTTGTAATTTATACTGCAGGCTACAATAGTTTCATTGTGAGTTTATGAACAATTTAAAAGCATTTATTTTTTCCTTGATAATGAATAAGTTTGTTTTTGATGCTTCCAGTACAGGAAATGAAAAGAATTAAAATAGCACATCTACTGTTCAATCGTGAATGCTCCATTTAATAGCATCAAAAGCGTTCTTATAAATCTAGTCATACATTTATGATGATTTATTCATTTTGTACAGCTTCTAAATTTCTTACTCACATCTAGTAAATTAAGCACTCTAATTACGCTATATGGACAAAATTATTGGGACACCTAACTATTACACTAACAGGGACGTTTAGGACATTGCTTTCTAAATACATAGACATTAATATGTAGTTAGTCCCCCCTTTGCGGCTATAACAGCTTCCACTGTTCACAAGATTTTGGAGTGTTTCTGTGGGGGTTTCTGCACATTCATTCAGTAGAGCATTTGTGAGGTCAGGCACTGAAATTGGACGAGAAGGCCTGGCTCGCAATCTCAGTTCCAGTTCATCTCAACGGTGTTCGATGGGGTTGAGGTCCAGGGACTGAGCGGGCCAGTCAAGTTCTTTCATACCAAATTCATCCAAACATGTCTTTTTAGACCTTGATTTGTGCACTGGGGCACAAAAAGGAACAGAAAAGGACCTTCCAAAAACTGTCCCCACAAAGCTGGGAGCATAGCATTGGCCAAAATGTCCTTGCATTCTGAAGAATTAAGATTTCCCTTCACTTGATATAAGGGGCATAGCACAACCCCTTAAAAAAAGCCCCATACCATTATTCCTTTGTGACGAACTGAACCTCACCACAGGTTCTTGGAGGGGCCGGCTGGCCAGCCTCTTGCCTTAGGACTATGGCCTCTGCAATAGACCTTGGCTAATATACTTTTAATAGGCTCTCTTCATGCAATTGGGGTTATGTGGTTCGGGAACCAAACAGCCGCATGAACCAGAGACCACTTTTTAAACTTTATTACCACTTAGTAACGATTCTACCCGCAGTGTTTGTCTGGGTGACTGCTGTTAGCATGAACGACCACGAGGTGGCGGCCATCTTGTTCGCATGAACGCTGGCAGCGGTGTTTGGTCATCTAGTTCCTGGAACTAAAATCGGACATGGAAACTCTGGAACACCGCTGGACTTCTATCATCGTCTGTGTTCGGTTCTATACAACTAAGAAGGGCACTGTTCATTGGAATCATTCGTCTGGATGAGGGGACAAGCTCCAGGATAAGACTATTGACTATGTTCAGTAGTTTGTTTGGTTTTTAAACTACTGGACTAGACCGACTGCAAGCCCTGATTCTCTGGAACTGTTTTAGGCAGGAGCCTTGTGTGCGGTCGGTCAAATTATGACTTCCATGGAAATCCCAGACCCCTGAACTGATCTGGGTGATTTTTGGATATGTTGGTCCCCCAGATCGAGGCTATCAGGGGATATGACTTGTGGGGTTTCCATGTGTTTTGGGGGTACTTTCAGGGGTTGTAAAATGTATGTTTTCGGTGCCTGGAGATAATGGAGTTCAGTACAGTTCCTGACTCAATTATCTCACAGACACAGGGAAGGGATTATCCAGTTTTTTTTGTGAGAGTGTCCTGGACCCGAGAGCCAATCTAATTACAGTGTGTACTTTTCCATAGTCAGTGGGGAATGCCCCTGGAATATGTCATGGTAAACCATTTGCATGGGGACTTGCATATAAACCGGCCAGTTGGCCTGAATAAATTAATTCCCGTTGTATCCTTCATCTAGTTAAGGCTGATGTTTGGGTATATGTCTGATTGCTGGGGAAATCTACTTTTCATCTGGAGAACGTTTGACTCAACACCCGAACTGCGAGCGTGCGTAACACCCTCCTCCACCAAACTTTACAGTTGGCACAATGCAGTCAGGCAGGCAATATTCTCCTGGCATCCGCCAAGCCCAGACTCGCCCATCTGACTGCCAGACAGAGAAGTGTGATTTTTTACTCCACATAACATGTTCCACTACTCCAGAGTCGAGTGGCGATGTGAGTCTAGCATGCAGCTGCTCGGCCATAGATATATTTCACAAACTGCAAAGATGGCAAAGATGGCATCCTATCACAGTACCACACCTGAATTCACTGAGCTCTCCATATAGCATAGCATGTAAACAAGCAGAATGTTGCCACTGTAAACACTTATGTTTTGCATAGTCAATAAATATAGTCTCTGTGGAAATGCATGAGGACAGGACTGTCTACTTGGAATCAAGCAAACCTAAATTCTGTATGTGCTCTGCATCTTTTTAGTAAGCTTTTCCATGTGGAATAACTTCATAAGTAGTGAAAGTTCCCTTTTAACGTGATCCCGATTTCTACCGAAAGTTGTAATATGACAAAGTGGTATCGTTTTAATTTGTAGACATTTGTCTTCTTCTTTTCTTCTTTTTTTGCTTTATTGCATTAACTTGGCTCACCCCAAGTTAAAAGTTGTGCCTAGAGGGATATCAGCTACACCTCAATGACGAGGCCCAAAAGAAGGCCGAAACAATCGTCTGGGGTTGCTGCATCTCTCGTGCAGAGGGAGCTTGCTGACATCTTAAATCTGGACTACCCGTACAGGTGGGACCAGTCTGATATACTTCAGATATGTTCTCTCTGTAATAGCACAAGTAAGGAAAAGCTATTTTGAGATCTGAGCAGGGATGTACTGAAGGGCAAGCTATTAAGTTTACTCTAAGCTTTTGTCTGTTCTCAAAATTCTCATTCTTTTTTTTTTTCTTTAATTTGTAGACTCTCTCAAAACAGGGCAACCAAGCCAATTAAAAAAAATAAATAATTAAAATCTACTGTGTTGCATTGCCTTAGTAGGACCTGGCCTCACCTGGACAATTAATAAGTGAACAATGCAAGGCGGAACACTTTAATCTTTATACAGAATATGGCGGGGGGGGGGATATAGACATTAAATCCACATTAGTTAATAAGTAGAGTTGTCAGGCCTTATCTTATGTATTTATTAAATGTATACAGGATTCCTAGGTTTTGTACATACATGTACAATTCACATACACAGCAGAAGGTGTGTTTACAAAGATCATGCCAAACACGACACAGAAATGACAGGTGAACGGTGAAAAAAAAAGTGAAATATATTTCATTATTAATAACAAGTCAAGAGGTCTAAAAATAATTATGACTTACAAAGATGCCGTGCACAATGTAGAGCACCTGCAATCCTCTCCCACCCATTGGGCACTCCCTCCCACATTTCTCTGTGCCAAATTGTTTTTAAAATAACCCTCACTCTGTTTCCCTCTGCACTGATCTGTCTAAATGGTCCAATCACAGGAATAGTCCGCTCGTGGCCCCAGTGACGTCTGGGGGGACGCAGAAGTGGGGGCGCTGGGAGCTTCACCTGCCACTTGATTTAAGGTGAAAAGGTTTTACTGCAAATTGAGAGGGGGACATTCTCCACGAAGAGGTCGTATTGCATGGGAAACGTCCTCCATCTCAAAAGGGATATAGTAAACCTTAATCAAATTCTGTAATTCCCAATATTCCACTTAGCAGGAAATGGTTCTTTGAGGTTTGCTGTATTTGTTTTTTGTATTTAATACGATACTGTATGTTGTTGCAGAGACTATTTCTGACGGCAGCGCTATTATATATTTATATATTATTTATTTTAATATCTGAATTTTTTCAGTATCAATAACAATATCTGTTGCATTCAGTTTGCCTGCATAATGCTGAATATAATATTAAAAGAATATTAAAGAACACACTCCTCAAACCAGTATCTACAACAACACATACAGGTAATAAAAACCAGCTACCTGATTTGAAATTTCCAAGCTATGAAATCACAATACATTTTTTTTTATTTATGGCTTAGTGAGCTCGCAATCAATTTTCCAGACGCCGGGAGCCTTGGCAGTTCTCCGCAGGCTTTGCAGTTCTTTAAAAATGAGAAAACCATAATGATACGTGTAACAGGTTTGAACGCATTGGTTTTCTTTTGTGTCTGTCTTTCATGAAGAAGAGAGCAATCTCTAAACACCAGTGCAGATGTACCTGAGCTGTGTATATTTCTGTTCATTAAGGGGTCCTTAGAGATCTGTATTCAATTAGTAACCTAGCAAAATGTTTTGATAGCTATTCTTCCACAAGAATATGAATTCAACCACTACAACAGTGATAACTGATAACTAACCATTGACACTGCTGCTACTGTATACTACATTTCCCATGATGCTTAGCAGCTAGCAATACGTACGATTGTAAAGAACTTCCTCTGTAGTATCGCAGTCAAGTTTTTGACGTAGACTTTTTTATGTATCATTAAGCTGTTATGACTGGTGATGAGTCTCTAGCAAAATTAAACATATAATATATTAAAGATGTGGCAAAGGGTCATACATATACCATTGAGTTACACAACCATGATTACAGGCCAGATATATCAGAATCCCAAGAGGGAATCTTGGGAGGGGGTGGGGGTCAAGGTATTTCTTCCAGAATGGAATAATTACAGGGTTGTTTATTAAAGTGGGAATTTCAAATTTTAGACCAAAGTTCCTGGAAGCATAGCTAACTTAGGAGAAATTTTTCAGCTATTTTATCCCTAAATTTGACATTCACTTTGAATTCCCAACAACCCTCATATTACTAAGAACCCCGTCAGTCTAAAAATTACATTTTGGCCAGTCATTAGCTCTAGGTGAAATGACTTCAGAAGAATGCAGTTTTTATTATAAATCGTCACATTTTCTCATTTTGCTCTACAATTATCAAGCCTGTTTGCATTTACTATCTCAATCTTCCAAGAAGAGTTTTATACCGTTTGCATTTAAAAGGAAGAGGTTTTGGAGAATAATCCACCTTCTAGAATGTATTAAACACATTCCACAGCAATACATTGGGCACTCAAGTTGTTATGTATTAAAAATACTTTTTTTTTTTAATTTTACAAGTGTTGTGTGTAGAAGCATTTCAGGATATAAGTAAGGCACAGATACACAGATCTGTAGAATTATGTTATGCTCATAAATAACCATGTCCTACAGTGCATGTTTGGGGTAGCACCTATTCCATAATAACCTGAACACAAATTACAGGATATAATGATTTCTGCAGGTATAAATCTAGGGGGGGGGGGGAGGGGTTAACAGTACTGCCTTACATTATAAAAATGAAGGGCATTACCATACAAAACCCTTCATACCACATCAAGATAGCAATTATGTTCTGGGAATCCAGTAACGAAAATTCCAATACACCCACTGTTCTTCATCACACAATACATCTTAATGGGTGTGAAATCAATGGTTTCCGAATGAGTGCCAATGTTACTTACTAGAAAGAATCACAGGAAACAAAATCATACAGATTGTTTCAGAGTTTCCATATATTATTATAAAATTGGTGGTGAGCAAAGGACCAAGAAAACTGACCCTAATAAGGTAGGTAAAGCCTAAAAGTAACTGAATTCACTATTCTTCGCCAAGGCAAAGAGGCCAATACAGCCGTCCTGTTGGCTTAAACTGGCATTTTGGGATTCATTTTAATTCAATAAAATCTAATTGCTAAGTTTGACGCAGGTTCAGCTGGGCTGAAATAAACAGCAGCTCAGTATATAGACTACAGACTGATCTCACCTCGGTTCCACCTGCTGAGAGGTGACGCTTGGTAAATTAGGTTTGTGATGAAACTGAACTCTGAAATAGCGCAAATAATTGTTAGATTTTCTGAAATTGGTTCAACAGGTTTACTGAATAAATTGATCCTTATACTTTCTTTACCCCCCAGAGAGGGGACTTTAAAAAGGTTATGGTGCTTGGATTGTCACGCAAGCAGCAATGCTTAAATCGCATTGGATGCGTCAATGCCCTAGGCATGCCTTGTGCCCAACCCAACATCTCTCCCTGTCCCCACCATAGAGTGTGTGTGGGTACGGACCATAGTGTAGTGTGTGTGTGTGTGTTAGTTGTGGGGTCTCTGTTTTGCCCCATCCTGCTTCTGCAGGGAGGGTTGCTATTGTCACTGGTGATTAAACTCCCAGGTGGCTGAGTGTAGAAGCTCCCTTACAATCCGTGCGAGCTGAGGATACCAGCAGCATACTGACACAAGGGAGAAAATCCTTTGGTTTGCACTCTCCATGCTCCCTGCCCAGCACTGCACCCCAAGACTTCCCTGTATCAGCCCTACTGCTTGTCCACCACAGAGCTAAAAACCCAAACAGACCCTGACAGACCAGCTCTATCACCTAGTGTCCGGAGGACAGAGGGAAAGTGTAGCGTGATTGCATGCATTATCCACACTTGAGTTACACTTGCAATGCAATCCAAGGAATTTAAATGGAACACTCTTGGCACCAACATTGTTACTAAAAAAATAAGTATATATATATATATATATATATATATATATAAAAAAATTATTTTTTTAAAATACAGTTTTGTAGCTTTCTGCAACCTAACCCCACTCCTTTAGTCACATCTCCAATTCACAAAACATCTTCCTGAAGGTAGACAATGCAGCTCTGGCCTTGAGAAATGAGCTGTGCAACTGCCTTGACTCTGACCCACAGCCAATCGTTGTCCTTTTACTATCTATATCAGGGGTGCCCAAATGGTAGATTCCCCAGATGTTTTAAAACTACAACTTCCATGATGCTTTGTCATTCTTTAGCATGCTAAAGACATGCAAAGCATCATGGGAGTTGCAGTTGTACAACATTTGGGGATCTATTTATATAGTATTTCAAAGCCATGCTAAGGGCAAAGGGCTAGATATTCAAAGGCAGGGATTGGCTGTGGGGCAGAATCATGTCAGCAGCTCAGTTCACACTGATCTCTCGTTGGCTGAGCTGAGTACTTCCAGCCAGGAAGAGGCTTTGTGAAAACCAAAAGGCATGGCTAAGGGGGCAGAGCTATACTAAAAGTTACAAAACTTTATTTTAAACAAAACTTTAGATTACAAGCTTGTTTTGGCAGGGCCCTCTTTACTCACTGTTTCGGTATGTATGTCACACGGTTTTTATTTTTTTTAGAATGAAATGTTTGTTTTGTTTCCTTATTGCACTGCGCTGCTGATTATGATGGTGCTATATAAATAAGTATTACTGTAACTAAAGATATTTTAATGTAGTGGAAAGTACAGCAAGAACATGAAGCAAAAACCCAAAATGTATTTCATATCTAGTGGTCACAGGGTTCTGACTAGAGTGTCTCATAAGAAAGAGTAAAAAATGTTCTTCGACTGTTGCAGTAAATTTGAAGTACTAACTTGCTTAAAGAAAAACAAAAAATTAAATTTCCACATTACAGAATGAATCAAATGAGCTGCCACAGCCAGCTGAATATAATCACCTGTTTTTTTCTGGCTTTCGTTTTATAGTTGGAAGTCTCTTTCATGACACAAATACAGAAAGTAATCAACTGGATATTAAACAATAATTTAAAATGCTGATTATTTAAAGGGGACACACTAGGCCCCAAACCACCTCACCTAAATGAAGCGAAGATACATAGATGATCTCCCCTTTTCTATACAATGTAAAACACAATATTTATCCAATACCACGCCTCTCACATCACTGAAGGCAAAGCAGCTGTTCTACAGACACTGACCTTTTGGATAAAAAAGGTAATTTTATGTTTATTTTTCTTTTTATTAAAAAAAAAACACAAAACAAAACAAACAAAAAAACCACTGGGTGGTGGCCAGTAATCTATACTATTACACTAACATTTAAAGGGACACTACGCACCCAGACCATTTAATCTCATTGAAGTGGTCTCGGTGCAGTGTCCCTGTCTCTCTTAGTCCTGCAATGTAAAACACTGCAGTATTTGAGAAACTTCCCTTGAAGGAGTAGGACTCTCTCTAGTGGCTGTCTATCAGACAGCCACTAGAGGTGCCTCTTGGATTCTAACAGACAACCAGCATCAGTGAAAGCCCCATAGGAAAGCATTGATTTAATGCTTTCTTATGGGAAAGGCCTAACGTGCTTGCGGTGCATGCCATGCATGCTCCTTAGGTCCCCCCTGTCAGATGAAGTCGGAGCTCAAATCACGTGAGTAAATAAAGGATATTTATTAACCCTTTATGTGCCAGGGATCACAAGGAAGTGGGTACCAGAGGCACTATAGTGTTAGGAATGCAACTAGACTAGATATAAAAGGCTGCACAACCTGCACACTGAAGCCAAGATGCTCAAAGGCTGGGATGGTCAAATAAGAATTTAAGGTGGAAACTGCATGCACATTTGTCACTTTATTGAGAGCAATTTGTTTCAACTTTTACTTTCCAACACTAGGAGAAGTGAAATCAGGATGGACCTAAGGGTGTGCTAATGAGACCCCTGGGGCAATACCCAAAATAGGCGGTCTGGCCCAGAAAGGGGTCAGGGTCGCCCACAGAAGATGTGAGTCTGCCCAGGCAGCACTACTGAAGCACTCTCTGCATAGACCTAGAGCCCTCAACACAACATGAGCTCATCTAACGATGGACTCACACCCCACTGGCTGGAGACAGATTCTTGGTGTCCTCAGAAGCCGGACTCCAGGGAATAAAACTGGGATGGCAGGACAGAAGACGTTGTGAGCGTCCCGTCAGGTTTGGGAGGGGTATGCAAAATCTGATACAAAGCCCAATGTGCCACCCCTGTTAATACATTTAGAAAGTGCATCACAAAGTCATGTCTAAACAGAATAAAAAGATAATGAAGACTGTGCCTTCAGCAAATGTTCAAGATCTACTGCCTCTGCCTGTAACGTCCTATGCAACTAGAAGACAGCTAGGAACAAGCACATAGTAAGCAGTGAGAGAGAAATTGGGAGTTCAACCAGTTTAGGTCCTGCTTTGACTTTTGAAGGGTTTGTTAAAGTGTTTTACCAGGAAAATATTTTGACGTATTTCATAAATCAAGTGACTGATTCTCATTCACAAAAAAAAAAATAAGGTTTGCACTTATGTAACAAGGGCATCCATTTGCTCAAAGCATTGCTTCTCATTCATGTTTTTTTTAATGAATGAGTGGCTGCCTGTGAGAGTCTCTTTCTGATGCTTGAAGTTATGTACAACTCTTCAACAGAAGGCAGAGGGTTTCTGGGAAAAATACAGTTAAAGGAACACTTTACTTCAAGTGTCCCCCTCCCCCCCCCCCTCCCCATTTAACACAAATTTACACTTTTAGAATTTAACACATTAAAATGTATTATTTATTAAAATTACACCCCCTGGCAGTCAGACAACTGGTCCTGTTACTTCCTGGTTTGTTCAGCTCAGTGCAGCTAAACTCAAAACACAGTAATTGCCCAGAGCACCTGCTTTGCAAAGACTTCTCATTGAGTTTCATTGGGAAGTCTGATTGGACAGCCATAGAAAGTCTGGGTGAGATTAGAAGAGAAGACAAGAAATCTGCAGCTTTTGCGAGCAGTTTTTAGATATACCTAAAAACCGATTATAAAATGCACAAATTTCATTTTGGGTTTATCTACTGAACAGTGATTTATATGGGAAGTGGTGTTTCAATATCTCTCTCCCCCTCACCTTTTTTTTTTTTTTTACTTTAAACAACACATCTAGTATCACAAATGCACGTTGAAAAAACAAATCTGGATTTTTCCTTGCATAATATTAAAACAGATTCATTCTTGCACCTTAAAGAAGTGCTTGAACAGCCAGCAGAGTTTTAAATATTTTTGTTCATATGAATCGAGAAAACGGGATAAAAAGAGATCATTGTCAGCTATATTGTGAGTTGGCGCTATATAAATGGCAATAATAATAATAATAATAATAATAATAATAAGATAGGGGTTATGTGTTACAGAGGACATTCTCTAAACATTCATGTATTAACATATTAAAAAATAGATATATAAATGTGCATTAATCAGCAACAAAATGTTTCATGCCAAGTACTTGCACACGGAATGGAGATTTGCCTTTTTACAATTAAAATAACATAAAATAATTTATAAAAAATAAATAAAAATATATATTTAATCATTATATTTCTTATTAAAAAAAATATATATGAAGTTTCTGAATGGCACAAATTGTGTATTTATTTATTTTTTAAATCAAAATATAAAAGCACAACCAGCAGAGGTCTAGCAGTTTTTAATGTACAGTCACCACTAAACTCTGCAATTTCTCAGTTGCAGAAAGTGAGATCAAAGCTGATTGAGCATTCTGACATTCTGGCATAAAGTAAAGGGGGCAGGAGGGGGAGGTAGACGTGCTGGTACACCAAACATACAGTCCCATATGCTAATAAGGTCCATCCCAAAGGGGTCTGGCAGTCCAGGAGGATGGAGTTATCCATTATTTTTCCAGACTGCTAGATGGGTTAAGCAGACGTGTCCCTCACACCATCAGCTCAGTGGAGAAATGTGGACACGTAAGCTTCTTCTAGAGAGGAAGGTCACAGATTGGGGGAGCTCCCTCACCCAGGGAGTTCCTCTCTAGAAGCGTGTATTAATTTTTCCATTACCAAAAGAAACAAACAAACAAAAAAAAAGGACTGAAAGATTTAATTACAAAATCATGGGAGTCATATATACATATATATATAATTTGTTTTTTGTAGATACTGTCTTTCCACAAGCTATCTAATAAAAGATCAAAGCTAAAACACGCAAAAAATATATCAGATCACACAATGAATCCGGCATATACTGATATATTGTTAACGAGGAAACATCTGCCTGACATTCCATTGAACATTCGGTATAAACATGTTACTCATAAAAAAGAAATTATATATATATATAAAAAAACAACACTACTTGCACATGACACTATATAACCTTCCAATGCAGGATTATCCATTAGATGAACTGATGACTATGCACTCCAGCTGATGTAGACTACATTACACATAATGCTTAGAAAACCAGACTAAGCGATGTAAGGGAGATCAGGGCAGCTTGGGAGCCTCTGGCTGCCAGGACATGATTGGGAAACCTAGTCCGAAGCTTATAGTTTGCATAGTAAATAGACACGTAATGCTTTCTGTAGAAAGAATAATTCTGGGGGCAAAGTTCTAAAAGTGGAAACCATTAGAACGTTCCTGCTGATTGCTCCACTTTTAGAACGTTGCCCCCAGAATGGTTCTTTATAGTCAGGACACACACCAATCCTTCCTGGTTTCCCATACAAAGTCCAAACAAGTTTTTTTTTTGTTCTCTCTCTGTCTAGAAGTGATCAGTTATAAAGTAACAGCAATATGAAGGAGCTATAATTCCCTTCCTTATATGTAGGATCCGGTCTGACATCCTTGTCTATTCAGGCACATTCCAGCTGCTCAGTCTCCAGCAGACCCTTTTTCCAGTGATGCCATTCTGCATGATTAATAAAAAGAATTTACCCCAATCCCTAGGGGAGTGTTATATCCTAGGACAGCAGTGATTCCTGGATGGCACAGTCTGAGCACACCATGCAGGCTATTCTATATAACAGAATGGGAGTCAGTGGTGACAGAGGTGCCAGTGTCTGCAGTATTGGGTATAGGGTGGCAGGGCATTGCCAGTGGCAGAGAAGGCACAATGCAGCTATTCCTGCTCTTACCTGCACAGGGGAGCTCTGAGTGGTGCAGGCAGGCTGCTGTGACAGTGCTGGAGAGGCTCAGACAGTGGGAGCTGCGGTACACTTGGAATCCTCCTGGTACAGACTCGCTCTCTGAGCCGGCTCAGCCTCTGCTGCTGACTCTCTGGAGTCGTGGCACTTTTCTTTTCAGGCTTTTCGATTTTTTTTTTGTCTTCAACAAAGCTTTATTGAGAGGATTTTAGTGAACAAAATCAGGGCACTGTAGTATTTCCTATTGTCTGCTGGTTGTATTATACGTGTTGAAGAGTGAATGATCCTACGTCATCAGTAATATCAGGGATACGTAATCTTAGTTAAAGTGATTCATATGGAGATTGATTTTTTTATATATATCATATTAATATATATAGAAAAACATTAACATTACTTATGGTTACGAAGCTAAATAATATACAATTTATATATATTTTATAAATATACAATTTATGTATTATTATGGTTACGAAACAAAAAATAATTATATATATATAAATTTATTTTTTTATTAATTTATTAGTGTGTCTTACTGCAGTTTGCCCAATTAGTTTGATATCAGTCCTATAGCGGAGTGTTAACATTTATAATGAAATAATTTGAATTCCAGGTGTGATAGTTCTTACATTTGATAAAACTAGTGGAAATATATTTTAATGCACCATGAAACCAAACTACTTTAAGTATGGCTTCATCATTTGTATATTTTTAGTTATAGAGTTTGATGAAGTAGTTTTGGTGTATAGATGCTGCCTCTTCTGTCTGGCTGAGTAAAACATTGCCAATTCTGATAAACTACATATTTACATTTTCCATAAACCGTATCTGTGGTGAATGTTGAAAAGGCATAAGGTGTAACGTTTATATCTATCGTCTTTAATAAATGTGTGTAACATTGTCAGGCATGCCAACTATACAGCTTTTGGCTGGACACTCCCTATTTTACACCAGCACAGTGCAAGCACATCATTAGATGCGTTCATGCTGTACGGCAGGAACTAAGATCTTGCAGAAAGAGCTCAGGAGCTTTCTCTGCATGGTCAGGAGGCTGTCCATCAGTATGACATGCTTGGCACCAGGCTGGTTCAACCTTTCCGTGGATGTGGCAACCCACTACTGCATGTGCCTGCCCATTATGGGCATTGCCAGTGACACAAATTGCATCATTGGTGTTGCCTCCTGAAGGCGTGCCCACCCATCTTGAATCCATACCTCCCAATGTTGGAGGTATGCCCTGTTATTTACCTTGCATCCTAGTACCATTGTACTCCTTGTTTTGTTTTTTTTGGTTGCACATATAGTGGCTGTCAGGCAGACAATCACAAAAGGTGCTTCCTCTTTAATATTTTGGATTTTTCAAGGTCTTTACATATGCAGAGTTACCAGATTCACCATGTTTTCCTTGACACATATCACATATACATATTGATGGAAAGCACATGAGAAGGATTGCCCTGTATTATGTAGCATTCAGAAGAAGCTGTATAAGATTCAAGGGACACTATAGGCACCTAGACCACTTCAGCTCATTGAAGTTTTCTGGGTGCAGTGCCCCAGGTCTCTTAACCCAGCAAAGATAATTAATGCAGTTATTAATTAACTGCAATAATTTCCTTTATGAGTTAACTCCACCTCTAGTGGCTGTCTACCAGACAGCCACTAGAGGGAGTTCCGGGCTGTTGAACGACTTTTGGTCGCCTAATGCTGGACGTCCGGCGTCTCCCAAATTCCCATAGGAAAGCATTGTATAATGTTTTCCTATGGGTCAATCTTAATGGGAGCGTGGCCATTGCCACGCATGCACATTAGGTCTCTACCGCCAGCTGATGGGGGGGAGCAGAGGAAAGTGACAGAAGGGGTTTTTATTCCCTTCTCAACCACGGGACGGGAGCTATAGTGCCAGGAAAACAATTTTGTTTTGCTGGTACTATAGTTTTCTTTTAAGCAATTAGGCACTGAATAATCCTGTAGAATATGGTAATTGCCACTCTTATGTTCTTATTGTTTTTCTATTATAAACATTTGACTAAACAAAACTGATTAATTCCCAGGAGAAGGAGCAACTACAGAAAATACACTGTCCCTGTGCTGGACTACACATAAGTTATTTTGTTTTTTAAAAATTATTATTGTCACGAACGCACCCTACTTCAAGAGTGTGCGTGACGTAGTTGACCAGAAATAATGACAAAATCCCCCTAAACACCACCCACCTTTAAACATAATAATATAACTATTACTATTTTAATGCTGCCACCACCAAGACAATTTATAAATGGGGTGCCCTGGTCCCCTAGGTAGATCAATAATAAAAACCCACCAAATACAACTTAGCACAATATTTAAGGAATTGCAACAATACAAATTAGTCTCTTCATGTAACGTGATTCTTAACCAGACAAAAGGCAGAACTTAATAAAGGAATATTTATTATGAGCAAAAAAATAGTCACAGTGCATACTAAAAAACCAGATGAGAAAAATAATTTACATCAACAACAAATAAAAACAAAAGGGATAAAATAACAGAAAATCCTAATCACTTACTCAGCTCTTCAAAGTAAATACTTCAGCCCCAGTGGTAGGAAAGATGGTGACTTACTTAGAATTAGATTCTGGCCAAACGGAAGTACACAGACATTTCAGTATCATTGGATATATACCCTGTGGATTACCACATCTGGTCTAGAGGTGGAGTAATGGCGTATCTATAATGAGTGACCACCCGCTTGTGTTCCAGACCAACATCAATCCAAATGGAAACATTTGGTTCTATCTTCTCTTATGTGCCTGCCACAGAAATAATAATTGCATCTAAGAATTTGTTATTATTTTCCCATTCTATACATATGTCGCACAATTTACTTGCGACTCAATATGGCGGACATCACAATTCCTTCCCCTATGGTTAAAAGTTATGCCAATCGTGTTTGGGCTTGTTTAGAAGATGGCGCTTGTCACATTCCAAATATAACAAAAATGAGGCTTAATTATTATTCTGTGGGTAAATAGTAATGTCTTTTTCCTTTTTATATGATACTGGAACAATGGCTAATGGCCATTAACATATCAAAGAGATTGACCCATCAATTAAGACACACAGGCTATATGACCGAGCCAGACATTCAGGCTTTTCCATTGTAGAATCTCACACCTTGCAGCGCCTTTGAGTAATCACAGGATCCATGCATAGGATAAAACCCTTTTACATTCCTATGCAATTTACATTACCCCTTCTGTCATCTGACCTTTCATACAATCAAACTAACCCCTTTTGAACTTGACAATATTGCATCTCTACCAGGCAGGCACTACCCAAATTACATAAAGGATAATATTACATAGTGCAAAAACGAACTATGCATCCTCAGCGTGACAATTATTATTTTAACAAATGCGGGCGTGGGACTAATAACCTTTGTAAAATAAGATCACTCTACAATAAACATATTGTTATTGTTGCAATAATACCCACAAAGCTGCAATCACAGCAGCACTGCAACAACGATATGTAATGTTTTTAATTCAAGCATTTCAGCAGAGTATATGATGTATCTATATGATAAATAAAATTATATATTTATTACGTATAGGGGGGTCAGTTAAAGTTAAACGGTCATCTCCATTTGTGAACCTGTCTGTTTCCTGTAATAGGGATTGCTGCAGTTCATCTTTGGATTAAGATACACTCTTGGATTATTCAGCATAATATGACATATAATATGTTCCACACATAGACCGATTTACTGATCTGTTTGCTCAATATAAATCCTCATATAACAAGTAAATTAGGAACTTAATCACAAATATAGGAAAACTACTTTACTGCATTGTATGAGAGCACATCTGAAATGGCATGTCATGCAAAGTGAATTTAAATATTTGAGTGTGTGATCACTCAAACCTTTTACAAATTAACAGCAATTAAAAACTCTTATATTGCAATAAATCTACACCATGATTCACGCAAGATCTTTGGATAATGAAGTGACTGCAGTGTTTAGTTTTTCATATACTAAATTTCTATATTTAATGAGCAATCTAGCGTTAGACATATTAATGTATGCCTAACATTAGAAGTACTTCTTATTTCTTTAGGGCCCCTGTTAAAAAGTTTTACTCACCTTTTATCCACCTCAGCAGCAGTTATAACACGACAGTCACTCCTTCTCAGGCTGCAATCATTACTGATTATCTCAGCTGACCCAATGCTTCTCATAGACTCGCTCTGTATTTGCAGTAATCATGGTACCTTTCAGCATTACATCAATGCATCTCTTAAGGGAGTATTTGGCGTCTTCATGCAGTGTGAGAGAAGTTGAACACCATAACTGCAAAAATTGCAGGACTATACTACGAAGTACCCCTTGTTGCTGAATGAGTGACAGCCACTAGAGGTGTTCATAGAGACAAATATAAACACTGCCTTTTCACAGAAAATACCTTTACACTTATTAGACTGCACAAACAATCTCCTTCCACCAAAACCTATACATTAAGCTGTAGTTGCTCAGAGTATCCCTTTAATTGACCATTTATTCCTGGCCAGGACAAACACTCAACATGCACATCACAAATATTCCGCTGTGCTTATATGGAAGTGATTTAACCTTTGCATTGTGTCTTGTTCAGACATTCACATGGTTATTTAATAAAGTAAGAATTCAAAGTAAATGTCAGATTTAAAGGACCACTATAGTGCCAGGAAAACATACTCGTTTTCCTGGCACTATAGTGCCCTGAGGGTGCCCCCACCCTCAGGGTCCCCCTCCCGCCCGGCTCTGAGAAGAGGAAAGGGGTAAAACTTACCTTTTTCCAGCGCTGGGCGGGGAGATCTCTGCCTCCTCTCCTCCTCCGATCCTCCCCACCGGCTGAATGCGCACGCGCGGCAAGAGCTGCGCGCGCATTCAGCCGGTCGCATAGGAAAGCATTTACAATGCTTTCCTATGGACGCTGGCGTGCTCTCACTGTGAAAATCACAGTGAGAAGCACGCAAGCGCCTCTAGTGGCTGTCAATGAGACAGCCACCAGACGATTAGGGGGAAGGCTTAACCCATTGATAAGCATAGCAGTTTCTCTGAAACTGCTATGTTTATTAAAAAATGGGTTAACCCTAGAAGGACCTGGCACCCAGACCACTTCATTAAGCTGAAGTGGTCTGGGTGCCTAGAGTGG